TACTTACTTGTATAGAGATCAAGGCTGTGAGATTGTTACTATTTGTTACTTACTTGTATAGAGATCAAGGCTGTGAGATTGTTACTATTTGTTACTTACTTGTATAGAGATCAAGGCTGTGAGATTGTTACTATTTGTTACTTACTTGTATAGAGATCAAGGCTGTAAGAGTGTTACTAAGAGGTATGGAGAACTGGTTGTGATATTTTTTCTTTATCGTAACTTTGATTTATAGAAGGACCGATCTCGTATTTAATTCGTACAAAAAAGAATTGAAGTAGACTTGATATTAACTCTTCAAAAACGCGTACTACTTGGACACGCTTCTACACTTCAGTTTAACATGTAAGATATATGTACAGAGTACGTAACAATCCCTGTTTTATTAAAATCAAACAGTGATTTTGGCTAGACAGAGAGGTATCCAGCTGGAGGTATTCGGTATTACCGACACCCACTAGATACATTGTCAACATTCCGATAATATACCCACAATTAAAGAGACGACGAAAGCAGAAGTAGAAATGTATTGAGGTTAAATAAGGTGTAACTTTGAGACCTGTTTAATCATAAGATAAACAAACATGTCCGATCAGGTAAATTGGCCTTGAAATAGGGTAGAATAATCCCGACCTCGGACATTCATGTCATATTTTAAAGTTTTAAGAACCTTTTATTGAACTCGTTTCTTAAATGTCATCCTAGAAGTAACGTCTTTTCATTAACGGTGGAATCCGAAGCCAAGTCTTAATAACACTTAATAACTGTGTTTTACGATATCAATCTTAGTCGCTCTCGCGTTAAAAGAAGACTGGTTTCTGACAGCAGGAGATAGTATTACACAAATTACGTTCAATGCATTTGTGAAAAATTGTCAATATAAAAACCACGTGTAACTGTTAACTTATTAAAACTAACACATCACCGTGTTTACACCCCGAGGTCACTGATCTACCTGTATTTTTATGTCCTGGTTTTATTTTGTTTGTAATTGAAGGGCGTTTTTTCTACATATAGGATCAGTGATATATAATTTGGAAGATATTGGTTTCTTGTTTGAACGTGTACAACAAACCATGACATTTATAAATAATCACGAGTTCTGTATTCGAGTGTTCGAGTGGTTTTACTGATGGGGATTAGGTCAGCTCTGACACGTACCAGTCTGTTTCTAATACGTAATATTACTGGACTATTTGATAGAAAGGAAATCTTGTTTTAATCTATTCCTTGTTGGAATAGAAATGGATGTCGACCATTTCTTGGTCAAGGTATCTTTGTTTCCTTGGTCAAGGTGTTTTCAATCCCACTTGAGACTCCAGATGTCGTTTGTGATACTGAATAAAATAAACGTTCTTTTACAAACAATAACACACAAATTTACTGTTCATCTTTAATGTATTATAAGCGCGGCCTTTCAGTGCAGATTAACAACGGATTCGAGTAGACGTGTCTAGGTTTGAGGTTTCAAGGAAACAAATTATGAATTTACGCCGGTTTTCGGTCATTGTCACTTTTTGCATGTGTATAGGTATAATTGTGTCTAAGTGGGTGGGTGGGTAGGTAAGTAGGTGGGTTATAGTAGTAGTAGGAGGGTTATGGTAGTAGTAGGTAGGTTATAGTAGGTAGGTAGGTGGGTGGGTTATAGTAGGTAGGTAGGTAGGTGGGTAGGTAAGTAGGTAGGTAGGTAGGTGGGTTATAGTAGTAGTAGGTAGGTAGGTAGGTGGGTTATAGTAGTAGTAGGTAGGTAGGTGGGTTAAAGTAGTAGTAGGTAGGTAGGTAGGTGGGTTATAGTAGTAGTAGGTAGGTAGGTGGGTTGTGGTAGTGGTAGGTACAATGTAGGTAAGTGGGTTATGGTAGTAGTAGGAAGGTAGGTGGGTTATGGTAGTGATAGATAGGTAGGTAGGTGGGTTATGGTAGTGGTGGGTAGGTAGGTGGGTTATGGTAGTAGTAGGTAGGTAGGTAGGTGGGTTAAAGTAGTAGTAGGTAGGTAGGTAGGTGGGTTATAGTAGTAGTAGGTAGGTAGGTGGGTTGTGGTAGTGGTAGGTACAATGTAGGTAAGTGGGTTATGGTAGGAGTAGGAAGGTAGGTGGGTTATGGTAGTGATAGATAGGTAGGTAGGTGGGTTATGGTAGTGGTAGGTAGGTTGGTAGGTAGGTGGGTGGGTTATGGTAGTAGTAGGAAGGTAGGTGGGTTATGGTAGTGATAGATAGGTAGGTAGGTGGGTTATGGTAGTAGTAGGAAGGTAGGTGGGTGGGTTATGGTAGTAGTAGGAAGGTAGGTGGGTTATGGTAGTGATAGATAGGTAGGTAGGTGGGTTATAGTAGTAGTAGGTAGGTAGGTGGGTTATGGTAGTGGTAGGTACAATGTAGGTAAGTGGGTTATGGTAGTAGTAGGTAGGTAGGTGGGTTATGGTAGTGATAGATAGGTTGGTAGGTAGGTAGGTGGGTTATGGTAGTAGTAGGTAGGTGGGTGGGTTATGGTAGTGATAGATAGGTAGGTAGGTGGGTTATGGTAGTAGTAGGTAGGTAGGTGGGTTATGGTAGTAGTAGGTAGGTAGGTGGGTGGGTTATGGTAGTGGTAGGTAGGTTGGTAGGTAGGTAGGTGGGTTATGGTAGTGGTAGGTAGGTAGGTGGGTTATGGTAGTAGTAGGTAGGTAGGTAGGTGGGTTATGGTAGTGATAGATAGGTTGGTGGGTTATGGTAGTAGTAGGTAGGTAGGTAGGTAGGTAGGTGGGTTATGGTAGTGATAGATAGGTTGGTAGGTAGGTAGGTGGGTTATGGTAGTAGTAGGTAGGTAGGTGGGTTATGGTAGTGATAGATAGGTAGGTAGGTGGGTTATGGTAGTGATAGATAGGTTGGTAGGTAGGTAGGTGGGTTATGGTAGTAGTAGGTAGGTAGGTGGGTTATGGTAGTGATAGATAGGTTGGTAGGTAGGTAGGTGGGTTATGGTAGTAGTAGGTAGGTAGGTAGGTGGGTTATGGTAGTGATAGATAGGTTGGTAGGTAGGTAGGTGGGTTATGGTAGTAGTAGGTAGGTAGGTAGGTGGGTTATGGTAGTGGTAGATAGGTTGGTAGGTAGGTAGGTGGGTTATGGTAGTGGTAGGTAGGTAGGTGGGTGGGTTATGGTAGTAGTAGGTAGGTAGGTAGGTAGGTGGGTTATGGTAGTAGTAGGTAGGTAGGTAGGTGGGTTATGGTAGTAGTAGGTAGGTAGGTGGGTTATGGTAGTAGTAGGTAGGTAGGTGGGTTATGGTAGTAGTAGGTAGGTAGGTGGGTAGTGATAGGTAGGTAGGTAGGTGGGTTATGGTAGTAGTAGGTAGGTGGGTGGGTTATGGTAGTGGTAGATAGGTAGGTGGGTTATGGTAGTAGTAGGTAGGCAGGTGGGTTATGGTAGTAGTAGGTAGGTAGGTGGGTTATGGTAGTGATAGGTAGGTAGGTAGGTGGGTTATGGTAGTAGTAGGTAGGTGGGTGGGTTATGGTAGTGGTAGATAGGTAGGTGGGTTATGGTAGTAGTAGGTAGGTAGGTGGGTTATGGTAGTGATAGGTAGGTAGGTAGTGATAGATAGGTTGGTAGGTAGGTAGGTGGGTTATGGTAGTAGTAGGTAGGTGGGTGGGTTATGGTAGGTAGGTGGTTTATGGTAGTAGTAGGTAGGTAGGTGGGTTATGGTATGGTAGTGGTAGGTAGGTAGGTGGGTAGGTAGGTAGGTAGGTGGGTTATGTGAGTAGTAGTAGGTGGGTTATGGTAGTAGTAGGTAGGTAGGTGGGTTATGGTAGTGATAGATAGGTGGAGTAGGTAGGTAGGTGGGTTATGGGTAGTAGGTAGGTAGGTGGGTTAGGTAGTGGGTAGGTAGGTAGGTAGGTAGGTGGGTTATGGTAGTAGTAGGTAGGTAGGTGGGTGGGTTATGGTAGTGATAGATAGGTAGGTAGGTGGGTTATGGTAGTGGTAGGTAGGTTGGTAGGTAGGTAGGTGGGTTATGGTAGTGATAGATAGGTTGGTAGGTAGGTAGGTGGGTTATGGTAGTAGTAGGTAGGTAGGTGGGTGGGTTATGGTAGTGGTAGATAGGTAGGTCAGTATAGCAACAATACGAGAAAATCGCAAAATCAACTATACTATTTAAGTGACTAGTTTCTAAGAGAAGGGTAACAACACTGGACTATTAGGCATTACTGATTCAATGTGACATGTTTGGATTATTCATAAGGAATTCATATAAGAATATCTGTTTAAGCCTGTGTTAATCCCACTTAAATTTGAATGGCTGCGCGATTACCATGGAATACGTATTTATCAAAGTAATAATATATATACGTTACGGGTACTCCATTGATATATTGAGTGACCAATGCTTTTATATTCATCTTTATCAGTATAAACTAAGAATTTTGACTCTAAGCTCAGAGAATTAACACAATAGTCTCGTGAAAGACTTAGGGTAAATACAGCCAGTCTAACGGCCTACAACATAGGAGCTATGACATGTCAGTGGAGATAGCGGACCATGTCTGTTTATAATCAGATTATAGCTAAACCTGACAGTGTGAACATTCTATTTTACTAATATAGGTGCTGTAAACCAGGGGATCGAGATCCTGGGCAGATGTACGGAGATAAACCACGAGAGACACGAGTCAGTACAACCAAGGGGAACAACCAAAGGACATCTCGTGAAATTCGAATTTTTCCCCCCGACACACCATGCTCGTACATGGACACCAACAGAATTAGTGTGGTTATAGCTAAATCTAAACTACCGAAACATCGTCTTGTTTTAGATATATGTGCATTTGAGATGTGGAATTATTTGTTTACGGATCTCAGCCTGTGAACAAGTGTTAAAATATGTATTCAGTTGCCATAAACTTCTAATAAACACTTACCTTTCAATGCTTAAGCGGTAAATTTTTAAACCGATGTGCCCGGGGACACCAAGTTTATGTGAATACTTGGTCGTCCGCCAGAAACGACTTTTAAGTGAATTGATTATCTTAATATATTCTAAAAATGAAAGGACCTAAAATGTCGACGGGGTCCATTTGTAACCATGGCAAAAGACATGAAAACCTCGCGGTATCCACTAAAGGTAGGAGAGTGCCATCTACAACCAAATCCGGACTCAGAATTGTAGACTCAAAGGAAACACACCTTATACACGACGATGTCGCGAACCTACACAACGACAAAACAGAATCAGAGGAAAACGGTGAACCAGAAGGAGACTGTGTCCATGGCGACAAGTCTGTCACACATGAAACAGTTGTAGTAGCTGGGAGCAGAGACGATATCCAGGATCTGGTGGATACCGAATCGATTGACTCTGAAACCACAAAGACACACTCGTCAACTGACATTGCCACTGAGAAACGACAGATCGTGGTTAATATGAACACGCAGGAGGGCGAGGAGGAACCAGAGGATGATGTTTTTGAAAACGATCTGAAAAACTGCCAGGAAGAAACTGTCTGCAAAAAGGTGAAATCTTTAGATAGTAAGAAAGAAAATGACTTGGACCCCATAAATGAGTGTGATGAAAGCGACATCCCGACAACAGGGACAGACGATCAGGAAACGGAAATAGAAAAAGAGACACCGGATAAGGGGTTGCAAGCTTCCCTTCTAACAAATGAAAACACAGATATTAAATCAACCGTTAAAACTGATAAAGTGAAGCACCATCCCCTCAAAAGACCGAAATCAGAGAAATTTAGGAGACCCAAGTCATCAACCATATCCGATAAAACAAAGCGTCGACCTCAGTCTTGTGTGGTGCCTGCTAGACCTAGCTCATCTTCCGGTAGAACTGCTCGGGTTACAATAGTGCCGACTTTACGTGTAACGAAGGCGGAGCTTGAGTATTACTTACCGAAACGGAGTTTCTTTAGTTGTCATGACAAAGCTCTGAAAGACGCTGGGTATGGTCCTGCTAAAACACCTCGTCAAACTAGAATGATAGAGGCTTGGGCAAAACAAGCGGAAAGCAAAAGTAACGGAGAAGAGGTGCTAACTCCTCTGGATATAGAGAATACGTTGGACAACCAGCCAACAGCTGTAGAGGAACTGGGAAGGACGGGTGACGATGACTTGCAAAGATACCCAAGCGAGAGTTTGTCAGAAGTAGATCATAGAGAAAGTGTATCGTCTGTTTCACAGCTTCACGACAACAGACTATCTCGCCAGGTTTCCAATGTCTCACTTCGTTCCAATGCAACCGTGACTCGGAAGTTGTCAAGACTATCGCGCCGGCGCGGTGACTACGAGGAAGATGAAATAAGGGTTGACTTTCAGCCACTTTTGCAGTATCTTAAATATATCAGTGAAAATCCGGATGAATATCTACAACAAAACAAACAATTCAAATATGGTGTACCATCCCAAGATTCTATTGTAAAAATGGGAAATATCTTCCGTCGTGGAAGGCATGGGCTGTCAACAGACAGTTTACTGGTGCATGTTGTTCATGGCATCAACCCGAGATTTAGTGACCCAAGCCAATGGACAAATACAAACAAGGAGAAAACCTTATATAATTTAACATCATCAAAAAAAGAAAGTGGCCCATTATTATCTAAACACGAGTCACATGATTCTGGGACTGGTACCGATGAACCGAAGACAGAGTTTGAGAAAATAAAACACAAAATGGACGCGTGGCTGAAAACTGTTACTACGGCACAACTTGTGAAGGCCAAAGAACTGGCTCTTCGAGAGCTGGGCGAGGAGGATGTAGCCCAGTCCCGCTGGTGGGTCTCCCTCAAGTCCTGTCACTACTTAAGGTAGTGGGTAGCAATTCAAACCATTATCGCCGGAGTTGTTGACATAGCAACAACCTAAATCATAAGAAGTGATTGGCCATACCGAAGTTATATGACTTTGTAGTGTCCACAGTAGCTCTGTTGAAGCTGATCAGTCTTACTTGATACATTTCATTAGATTTCTACGTCGTGATAGTTTACAACCATATGTACAAGTATGGACTTGAATAAATGTAGAGCATTAGGCATTGTTTTACTGTATTATAATATAGTCTTACAGATTTGTATTTTTCATGGCATCGTTAATCAAGAGACCAGTTCCTTAAAACGGGTAAGAGGATTACATAATACTGACATAATCACAGATGGAACCATCCTTTTGTCAGGTCCAACTGATTAAACATTCTGTATATCTCGTTAAACAATCCGCTTTCTGCACGAAACTAGGTTGACTGTGTAAAATACGTGGTTATTTCCGAGTCGGAAACAATAAGTTTATCTAGATAATTGGAATCACGTGACTCAGACTAAGCTGACTGTAAAATACGTGGTTATTTCCGAGTCGGAAACAATAAGTTTATCTAGATAATTGGAATCACGTGACTCGTACTTAAATGGCTAGGTAAATTATTTGTGTTTTTTTTCTGAGTTGGTAACACTGAGTTGATCTAGATATTAGGGATCACGTGACTCAGATTAAGTTGGCAATGTAAATTATACGTGGTTATTTCTAAGTTGGTAACACTGAGTTTACACATTTCTAGCACGTTACCATCAGCAACTTTGTCTTATTACGTTTTTAAGCGACAAATCCGACTGTGGTTCAGAAAAGGTCGTCCAACAAACAGAAGTGATCACTCCAATATATTGACAAATCACAAAGTAAAAGTATCGATCGGTTTATGTAAACTGTGAGAGACATGCTACAGAGCGATTGTGTAATGTAAGTTATATATCTTAATGCTATCAAAAATATTATAAGTAGAGAAAAGTCCCTCCCCATCATTGTAACAGGATGTATTTATCAGACTATAATTAAGATTAATGTGATAAGGACTTGAATATGGAAACAGTGCCATGCGAGGCCACTTGTATGGCTTAGTACACCAATACCACACAGGCTGTTTAAATACGCTTTGAACCGCCTGATCGATTAAACCCCTCGTGTATGTTGACAATACAATTTATACTGCTCATACATAGTCAATAACACTTGTTAGAAATAATAGAAAAAAAAATCTTTAATTATGTCTCTTAGTTTTTTGTCAATGAATTGTTTGATGCAATAACGATCATTTGTAATAATTAGGAAAGTGGTGACTGACATTGGTCTGAGTATGTGTAGCTCTGTTTTCATTCATATAGAGATTTTCTAATTTCCGATTATTCACCATGTGCTCATTCCTAGTAACATGGCTCTTAACTACCGCTAGAATATCCTGGTCTACCATATGTATGTATTCGTCCCCTGTGAACTATCCTGTTCTCACTGATAACCACATCTCTCAATCTCTTTCATATCTGGTCTACCATCCCATAACAATAAAAATATCATTCAAACTTCGGTAAACGATCATGTTCAAGTGCTAATTGTATCTCTCAAACTTCCGGAAGACAATCTTGTTTACATTAACAAAGACATTTCTCTAACTTCCGGAAGACCATCCTTCCCACATTAATTACCACGTCATTCAATCACGAAACGTTTGATAGACTATCCACTTCATACTGATAACTTCGGGTAGGCCATCATGTTCACATTATTTACCACAGTAGTCAATCACGAAATGTTCGATAGACTATCCTTCATGCTGATAACTTCCGGTAGGTCATCATGTTCACATTATTTACCACGTTAATCAATCACGAAACGTTCGATAGACTATCCTTCATTATGATAACTTCCGGTAGGCCATCATGTTCACATTATTTACCACAGTAGTCAATCACGAAATGTTCAATCCTTCATGCTGATAACGTTCATCATGTTCACATTATTTACCACGTTAATCAATCACGAAACGTTCGATAGACTATCCTTCATTATGATAACTTCCGGTAGGCCATCATGTTCACATTATTTACCACAGTAGTCAATCACGAAATGTTCGATAGACTATCCTTCATGCTGATAACTTCCGGTAGGCCATCATGTTCACATTATTTACCACGTTAATCAATCACGAAACGTTCGATAGACTATCCTTCATTATGATAACTTCCGGTAGGCCATCATGTTCACATTATTTACCACAGTAGTCAATCACGATGTTCGATAGACTATCCTTCATGCTGATAACTTCCGGTAGGCCATCATGTTCACATTATTTACCACGTTAATCAATCACGAAACGTTCGATAGACTATCCTTCATTATGATAACTTCCGGTAGGCCATCATGTTCACATTATTTACCACGGTAGTCAATCACGAAACGTTCGATAGACTATCCTTTTCATTATGATAACTTCCGGTAAGCCATTATGTTCCCGCAAATCATCCCGCCTACATTGATAACGACATCAGTCTAACTTCCGGTTCAAATTGATAAAGACATATCTTTAACTTCCGGCAAAGCATCCTGTTCACATTTATCAAGTCATTTCTCTGACTATCTGTAGACCATCCTGTTTACGTTGATAAAGGCATCTCTCTTAAGACGTCTAGCCTCATCTTTTCATGCGAAGCCATTACGGATTAATTCTACATCCAGCACTACAATATGAGAAACATAATTGGGAACATTACGATCGTATTCTCGTACATAACGTCTGACAAATTATCAACAGCAGACGCACCAACACTGACAATTTCTGCTTCACTTCCGGAAGACAGCACTAGCTCTCCTTCCACTACTTGCCATGCGCCGTCTCATAGTGTCCATATTGTCCTGGTATTCCTTGTCCTGTTCCATCATTTCCTTGACCATCTGTTTAGTCGTCCGCTGGTTGACGGACAGGGGTCTATTTACGCCTCCAAATGACATTTCTGAATCGCTAAGCATTGATGTTGGAGTGACCATTTTACGTGATGGAGTTTTCATTCTCCTCCCGAAGTGACTGCCGGCTATGGACGTGGTGCCACTGGCTCTGCTGGCTGACCGGATATTTCCAGGTTGTTTCCCTGTCCCTCCCCGTCCATCACCTTCAACCAACATACGAATCATCTCTGTCATGTCTGCATCCGTGCCCTGGAAGATAACACTCTCGCGTCCCGACATTACAGACACTGACCTGTTGAGTGGGGTTCCACGGTCCGGCCCTTCAACACCATGAAGCGTTCGGCCATTGTACTGCTGGTTTCGGCTACTGAGTGAACGCTGTAACGGGTCTTGACTGAATGACGAAGAGAGAGACATACGCGAGTCATTACGCGCGTGCTCGTATCCTCGCCGACTACCGAAACTGCTGGTTCGAATAAAGGCACTGTCCGTGTCGTTGGTGGCATGAATGATCGGCACCCGCCCAGCTTTGTTATGACTATCTCGCGTATACATCGGCGTCGAACGATGATTAGTTAAGTTCTCGCTTAAGCCTGGTGTGTGCTTCAAATTAGGTTTCTTTGGAATTATAGGCGTTATTGAAACTTGAATTGGCACGGTATTTTCGTCTTCCTCCTTGTCCACTTCATTCACAACTGGTTCAGGAATGATGCTTCGATTTTTCGAATTTTTCAGTACGATTCTGAAGTGCCTTGTTTTTCTATCCCTGCCATTGTCAAAAATTTCAGATACTGTTTTTTTCTTCACTTTTATACCCATTAAAGACTTCATAATAGCAATTCGATTGTTTACTTTCAAATCCGTCGCAATTGTGGAGGATTTGCAGCTCGTGTTTTGTCGAACAAGCGCCATCTTCTCCTTCGTCGGATCTTTTGCAATAAAAACGGCATCAACCTCGTTTGGAGTATAATTCATATTGATTGGTTTTATCTTAAATTTTCCATCTTTGTGTTTGAGTTTGGCCATGATCTCCCCGATAGATAGTTTAGCAAAAGACATCGCGTTAATTGTTATTCTACGAGCTCTGGTTCTTTCTGTTTTTGCATCAACAATACCATCTGTTTCTTCATCTGACTCCGCTTTACCCCCTGAATTTTCACCCGGGTTCGGGGTAGCAAACCGCACACGTTCGGTAGTTTTGGTCGGCTGTAGTGTATCCATGTCTGATGGATTGAGAACAGGATGTGTTGTGGGTGTTACAGGAGCATCACTTATTCCAAGTTGGCGCTGATTCATCTCTATTTCCATCGTGATGTCATCCAAGAAGTCCATATGTCTGTAATTAGTGTTTGATACTGTCTGAGGCCGTCCCTCTGTGTCGTCCCCAGGGTCGTTTCTCTCCTCTGATTCCGTGACCTTCCGTGCGGGTGCCGTTTGAGGACGCAGTAAGTCCTCGTCAATAATATTATCAAGTCCCCAGGGAGTGTTCATCCGGTTATCATCGAATATCAGAGGAGACACAATAGCCATGCTTTCCATCATTTTTTGGCGTTTTTCTTTAGCGGAAGAGAACACATCCTCGCCTGCAGACCTGTATAAAGAATATTTCATATTCGTGATCTTTTCTTTTCGTAATCTATTTAATTCGTCTCTGACTTCTTTTTCGTCTTTTAAATGACAGTTCATGTTTTTAATGAATTCCCTGTATATATGTAAACACTGCTTCTGGTAGTCGCGACTAGCCACACTCGAGGCTGCCAACGCACTATCAGCCATTTCCACGTCGAGGCCATAGTTCCGTGAAAGCACAGTCGCCTTACCCTTGTTGTCTATTACTTCCGCTTCCGCTGAAAGAGAAGATACAAAATAACGTATTCTGATTAGTGTAAATCTTACGCCCCTTTTCCTTAATGGGCGTTTTGAGTACACGAAACCTCAATTTGTTTCCAATATTATATCAATGAAGAGTGACGAGCTAAACTTGATAAAACAAGACACTGTTATCATCTATCATTTCTATCTTACTTCTTATAGAAAAAAACAAAAACAAAAAACAAAAAAATCTCATTCCACCATTAGTGACACGTTTCCCTTGTAATGTATGACTATAAGGCTCTTTCGTGTGTTTGGTTTAGGAAAGGGATAGTCCACCTGGTAGGTCACTATCTGTGTTAATGTTTTACCACATTTTGCGGTACCTCCTACACCCCGACATATGAAAAAGTCTTATAATGCCGGAAGTGAACAATTATTACTAAACTTACTCATCGTGGCAAAAACTAGTTGACCCAGCCTTAGTGACGACAGTGGTACAACTGTGTCGCGATAGTGACAACTGTAATGGATGGTACGAATGGTTTCCTCTTGTCTGCACGCGTTACGTTCCACATTATACCATATTCTCCCGTCACTTGTCACTTTCCATAGTTTACACTATCCCACCAGCACGTTTCCATACTTTACACTATTCCGCCAGCACGTTTCCATGGTTTACGCTGTTCTACAAGCATGTGTCACTTTTCAGAAGTTACACTGTTGTGTCAACAGGTATTTTTTAAAACAGTTTTACAATCTTAGGTCTGAACGTTACTATTCCCTGTTCTACTCTGTTCTAATGTTTTCCTATTGTGGTGATTTTGTTTTAATCCCAAGGTGAATCAGATAGGACAAAAGATTAGCACGGGACAAATAACTTAATGCGATAATCCCACTCTCTCTCGTATAGTTTCTTTGTCGATTAGCTGGTCAATACTCGTATTAAATACGGTGTAGCCGTGACCACCGATGATATAATTCTGTATTAATTCTAATGGGATACAAATTTGTTCACACTACATGTAACCTTCAATGTACCATATATATTATCATTAACTATTTAATATACATTGTCGAGCTTTTTTTTGAAATACGGACATCCAAAAAGCATATATTAATGAAACAAGACATAACAACGAGTCTCACATTTTCCACTGAAACGAAAGTGTATACTTGTTTAATTTCTTTCACATCAAAGAAAGAAAGAAAGACTCAATGACATTATTGGAACATTCGTACACACGTGTGTAAATCGATAATGAAATTCTCATATCAATAGTTTAAACTTATAAAGTCTTGAGTCGGTGATAAAATTTTGATAAGATACAAATAATTATATAAATATATTTCGTCACATTTTGTAGAAAATCGGCCCGATTTAAGTGTGTAATTCTGTACAGGAAAACACATGTGAGCTTGTTTTCATCCAGACATTGGGATCTAACAGAGTTGCTTCCCTTTGTTTCATCTTTTCAGAGGTGCCGCGAATGTAATATCAATAAAATGGGGCACAGTAACATAGAGTGACGTAACCCCAACGTTATCTTACTTAAAGCTTAAAGGGGTATTTTTAATGTTTTAATGACATAATGGTCAAGTCGGAAGAGTCATTTCCGGATAAGGGGGTGGGGGTAGGTATAGTTTGTGTTGGAGGGACGGGGGCGGGAATGGGTGGGTGGGTTTGAGGGGTGATGGGGCGTAGGGGTGGGGGTGTGGGGTCAAATGTCGAATCCATACCTGGCCCTATTTTTGACAAACTGTAGAATATAAAACTGATTATTTCTTTATTTTGTTATACTACCCAAAACATTTATCAAAGAATGTCATGATAAAAGTACTGTTGTTATGTGTATTTAGGCATAAAACAGAGTTTTTGGTATACATCAAGATAATGGAGAAAGACCCCATATATGGGGTATCCCCCACTAACACCGCAAAATAATTGTCTGAACATGTTTCAGTTAAACTTTTTCCGTATTGTTCCAAAGCTGAATAGGCAGTTTTTCAGTCTGTATTGAGTGTCAAGTCTCCATAACATAGTGCACTCTGTCACCTTCATCAGACATTTGACCAATAAAGCCGTGTATACGCCAAGTGTCCAAGATAACAATACAATCGACGGTTCGTTGTATGATATGCTGTCATATCCTATTACTTAGTCTGGACGTCAAACTATACTAATGAAACATAAAAAGTGTAAAGAGTGTGATAAATTTAGTTTATAATTATTTTCTAGGTGAAATACACTTGATAACGGAACGATTACAACGTGTAATACACAAACATAGCTAGACGGAAACCGTCGCTGTTCGTTGTACATGGTCATAGAACAATCATCAATCGTCAAAAACAAACATTAGTCTGCACCGGTGCCAACAAAAACTGTGACCGCTCTAATATTAGTACTGTTGAGACAAAGGTGAACAAGAGCGACGCGGATAACCTTCCGAAAACACGAGTACCACGATATAAATACGATACTGTGTCTGATCCTAACAGACATAGACTATTCCAGCTGGAAACGTGGGACTGAAAGACCGGCGATACAATATACTATCCAAGGAAACGTCGGACTGGAAGACTGTTCAAGGAAACGGGGGACTGGAAAAGTGCAATATAGTATCTAGACTAGCCAAGGAGATGTGGGACAGGAACATTGGAATAGAATGGTAAAATTTATAGACTGTTCCACGAGACGCGAGATTGGAAAACTGCGATACAGTGACACGAAAATAGACTGTTCCAGGAGACTTGGGACTGGAAATTGAGATACAGTTGTACATTATACAGACTGTTCCAGGAGACGTGGGAACGGACAAGTGCAATACAGTGGTACAATTATAGACTATCCAAGGATACGTGGTACCGGAACATTCGGATACAGTGGTACAAAAAAATAACCTGTTCCAGGAAACGTCGGACTGGAAAACTGCGATACAGTGGCACAAAAAATATATTATTCCAGGAGACTTGGAACTGGAAATTGAGATACAGAGGTACATTATATAGACTATCCAAGGATACGTGGGAATATTCAGATACAGTGGTGTAAAACATAGACTGTTCCAGGAGACGTGGGAACGGAAATCTTGGATTGTTTGGTGCGATATATAGACTGTTCCAGGAGTCTTGTGACTGGAAAAGTGGGAAACAGTGGTCAAATACATAGGCTATTCCAACAGGTGACGTGGGTCTAGAAAGCTTGTTTCTAATAGACTCTTGTGATTCCAGATATGGGCCAGGAAAATAAAAATCCAACTGACGGTCAGACTTTGAATAACAGCAAACCGAGTATTCCAAGGCTGTTTTTACCACGAAGACGAACAGGTTCCCATTTACCTGTTCTACAGAACACTGTCACAAATCCAGCACGTGGTGTAAACCAGGGGAAGATCCGCGAACATGGGGCTTCTCCTATACATAATAGAAAAATGACACTATCTTCTTTATCGACGAAAACCAGAAAAGCAACGTCAGAGAGAGCTGTACATAGAATATATGACTGTGGTGATACGGTATCGACAACCTTCTCTCCGAATCGCATTCTTCAAAAGCACTCACTGTCATTGGCTTCACAAAGTGATGGTAACAACATACCGGAATTGTCGATCTCTAACGTCCGACGGGACAGCCTAGAGGTCCAGGCAGCAACGTCTCGGCGTTCGTCACAGCAAACCGGTAACAAAGGATCCATACTGGGATCTTCATCTGGTACAGCCGCCTTGCAAACATACAGGTGTTGTGACGAGACCCCGACACACACAGAGATATCGGACACGGAAGTGAGTGAGAGGACTTGGCCCCAGTGGGAACGAGACAACAGTTCTGAGGACGTGGAGGAACACTTTGTAGGGGTTATCCGTCGTGCGTCGATGTCTGTTGTACTGCCTTACGTGCACGAGGACACCGGCACCGTGGATGTTGGTGGAATAGAAATTACCCCCGGACTCTATCTCCGGCGCAGGGTCAAACATATAACCGACCACGAGAAGCCACGTGGTACAAGGAAAGCCACACAGAGGTTCGACAGTACGACATCACCAAACCGACTTAAATCTGGGGCACGTAAGGAAGGATCAAAAGCACCGGAACCACCATTGTACCCGCCTATCAAACCTCATGTACCTATACGGAAGCGCTGGTCAACGCTAGGAACCTGCTTACAGGTATGTAACCGAGATTTACTGGACAGAGAACCCGCACCTGTGTCAGTGTCCAGACTAGTTCCGTTTGACACCTCTGTTAACACACCTAGAGTAAGAATGGACAATATGAAATCCACACGAAAATATAGATTTACAAAGAACATTCATTCGTCATCAAACGACTTACCAAAATCAGAAGATGACGTCGGAGATGTTTTTGAGACCGTTGTACCGTTGTCTAAACAAAAACAGGGAATTCCTTTCCACATAAAAGAACGCATGCGCTCAAAAAAGACGCCATTTAAGTGCAAAAACTACTTGGACAATACGAGGAACTACCTTAAAGCTATGAGAAAACTCCAGGAGAGAGTGTTCCTTGGCGATTCCCTTGAAGTGTTCCCGATGAAAGGACTGTAGGCTAATTGACTTACATTTGCATTATTGTGAAAAAAACTTTGGCAGTGATATATCCACCAAGTACAAAAGTTTGTCACTATAGTGGAGTGAGATGCGTGGCCTGTCTGTCACATTGTTCGCCAATAAAGTAATTTTAACTTTAATGGAGTGGCCGCGCACTTTTTAAGACATCGATTTTGAAGGTTTGAATTGTTAACAAATTTTAACATTGATATTGTCCATAAGACTTTCTTTTTAACGATTAAATGATATCTCCCATTCATTATGGCGACACAACCCATTCATTATGGCGACACTATCCTTTTCATTATGTGATATCACCCGTTTATCATGGGGATATCACCCGTTTATTATGGCGACATCGGTGATATCACCCGTTTATTATGGCGACATCACCCATTCATTACGGTGATATCACCCGTTTATTATGGCGACATCGGTGATATCACCCATCGGTTTATGAATTAGTGATACCACCAGTATCTATCAATTAAGACATATTAGACGGCAAGGCTTGCCCCTACTTACAACATATTTGACGGTATGGATTGTCCACCGATTAAGGCTTGCACACCAACTATAATATGTATTGACCGTTGGGCTTGTTGCGAATTCAGACACATTTTAAGGGTAAGAAAAATCTTCACCAATTAATACATGCATCATGTAATTTGACTGAAATATTTGTCCCAAATTTATATTTTGACGGTTAGGTTTGTTGCAGATTCAGAGGCATTTTGACAGCAAGGCTAGTCAAACAATAAAAAACCTTAAGTTGGACAACAAGATTTGTTCAACAAATAAGACATAAACAAATGTTACGACTGAAAAAGATCATTAAACTTCCTGGCAATATCCCTGACGTACAAGCCAAGTACTCCACTACCTTTGTCAGTATTCACGAAGTATCGGATATCTGTCCTTAAAGAACCCCGCGCCATTTTTATAAGTTACTGTGCTTCAGCAAACATTTTGATGTACATACAAGACTGGTCTGTTTTAGGTAGGTGTATGTTGTTTATTCGAGAAAGTTAACATGTGATATGTCAATCAAAATCGAACAATAAATGCAATTTCACATCCTTATCAAATATCTTATATTGACCAGTTTAATTGGTTGTAGTAGGTAAGGGGTCTTTCTGGGTTCCGTTCCACTGATGAATTGGGAGTCCACTGCCAAGACGTGTGTATTTCCGGATCTAGTCTATAGGTGCACAGGAGGTCACTCAGTTACTCCAAATTTGTACGTGGTTGTTTGTTGATAAACTTCGTCTGGTCTCAGTATGGAACTTGGAAAATTATCCTGAAGGTACAATAGTGTAATAGGTTAACATTTGCTTTGTTTATTGGTTTGTAACCATACGATTAGCGAGGACATTTTGAGGTGGAGTATCAAACTTTATTTATTTTACAACAACTGCGTAACAAGCTATCAGCTTATATAAATCACGTTTATTGGGCCGGATTGAAGCGCACGAGGGGTCTCTTTGGGAGGAAACCGGAGTACCTAGTGAAAACCCACGTGGTCGTGTTGGTCTTTCCATGACGGTTCCAGGAATCGAACCTCGGACGTGCAAGTTCCATCCGACTACCCACCCAAAGCGGGGCAGGATCTCCTTGCATTAAATACTTGCTAAGTCACTTAACATTATGGGGACCTCTTCGCAAATGATACTTAAAGAAATTGTAGTAGGTAAAGTGTTTTACCCCAGGATACCACCACGACAGTTGAGATCCAATCGCTCAATCCTGTCGTACGATTTCATTTATTCCTATATAGGAACTAGACTTATGTAAACAAATAAAGTGTTTATGTTTATGAAAAAGACGGTACATTAGCATTTCTTCTATGTTGTTAAATGACTAAGTTTAACTTTATATACTGAACAAAATAAGTTAAGGATCATAAACTTGAAACAGTGCAGTTTTACATACAAATAATAATATGATTATATTTTAAATTTTAATGACAGAACATTCATTTTAGTCTTTAATTACACAAAACAAATTCATTTGTGGTAATTGCTACCAAGAGCAGATAACCCTGAGTAACAGCACCCTTGAAATCAAAGTGTAAGAGGAAGTAGAGCAAGTTAATCATGTAGACAAGGAAAACTCATCAAACTGCAATTGGCAGTTTAATAGGCAGTATGACCTCCGTTGACATCAATAACTGCCCTGCAACGTCTGCACATGCTCCTTATTAGTCGTCGGTGGCTGATCTGTGGGATGCGCTGCCATTCCTCTTGCAGAGCAATCATAAGCTGTTGGCGGTTCTGTGGCGGATTAGGTCGAGCTGAAACCCGGCGTTGCAAGGTGTCCCAAGCATGCTCGATAGGGTTCAGATCAGGAGAACGACTTGGCCAGTCCATGCGAACGATTGCTTCACGTTGAAGATAGTCGTTGACCACACGAGCACGGTGAGGACGAGCATTATCATCCATCAGAATAAAATCATGGCCAACAACTCCTGCAATGGGCCTTACTATAGGGTGTAGAATCTCGTCCCTGTATCGAACAGCTGTTAAAGATCCATTGTCTATGATGTAGAGGTCTGTATGGAAGTCAACACTGATCCCTGCCCAAACCATCACTGACCCACCACCAAAGCGATCATGCTGGACAACACAGCAGTCTGCATAGCGCTCTCCTTGGGTTCTCCATACCCTCCTCCTACCGTCATGGAAGTCAACACAAAACCTAGACTCATCTGTGAACATAACATTTCTCCAATGACGTAATTGCCAATTCAAATGATGAGTGGCCCATTGATGTCTGGATTGTCGATGACCTCTGGATAAAATTGGTCGGACTGCTGGTCTTCTAGCTCGTAAATTAGAGGCATGGAGTCTGTTTCTGATTGTCTGGGATGAAATCCTTAGATTTGTAGCACGCTGAAACTGAAGATTCAAGACAGGAGCACTCAAAAACCGCTGACGTCGTGCCGTGATGCAAATGAATCTGTCCTGTCGGGCTGTCGTACAGCGTGGTCGTCCAGATCTGGGGCGTTGACAGACGTTATTTGTCTGTTGATAGCGATTCCATAGCCTACTAATCACGCTCTGAGAAACATGAAGCTGTGCCGCCACATTTCGTTGAGTTTGACCAGCTTGAAGGAGCCCTATAGCTCGCGCGGCTTCCGTATCATTTAAATGTCTTCGCATGATTAGTTTTTCAAGTTTTCGTTACAAATTGATTAAATGTTTCCAAATTCAACTTTTTTTAGCTTAGAGGTAACAGAATCAAAACCTGCAAGATTCCTCTGTAGTAATAGACCAGTCAGTTTTTCACACCACCATAGTTAACTAGAGCGGAACGGCAAGACCTTCAGATGCACGTGCTTTCACCTTTGACATGACTTTAGGTACATATTGGAGAAAATACAAGTGCAATTACCGGCAATACATGATTTGAATTTTTAAAGATATTATGGTCACAATTTATGATCCTTAACTTATTTTGTCCAGTATATATGTTCGTCATTATCATGTTATATCAATACATGGAAGATATTCATAACACTCCCTGTCATCAATTGTCGAGGCAATGTGAAAAGAAAATTGTGAGAAAAACAAAATATGTTCATGTACATATTTGAATATATTTAATGTAAGAAATAAATGACATAAAGTGTCGGGATGGTTGATACTTACATGATGGACACTGTCGGGATGGTTGATACTTACATGAGGGACACTGTCGGGATGGGTGATACTTACATGATGGACACTGTCGGGATGGATGATACTTACGTGATGGACACTGTCGGGATGGTTGATACTTACGTGATGGACACTGTCGGGATGGTTGATACTTACATGATGGACACTGTCGGGATGGTTGATACTTACATGATGGACACTGTCGGGATGGTTGATACTTACATGATGGACACTGTCGGGATGGTTGATACTTACGTGATGGACACTGTCGGGATGGTTGATACTTACGTGATGGACACTGTCGGGATGGTTGATACTTACGTGATGGACACTGTCGGGATGGTTGATACTTACGTGATGGACACTGTCGGGATGGTTGATACTTACGTGATGGACACTGTCGGGATGGTTGATACTTACGTGATGGACACTGTCGGGATGGTTGATACTTACGTGATGGACACTGTCGGGATGGTTGATACTTACATGATGGACACTGTCGGGATGGTTGATACTTACATGATGGACACTGTCTGGATAGTGCTGAGCCTCCAAACAAAATGCAGAAAATTGTTGATAGGTGACTCCACTTTTCCCGAGTGTGGGTTTGAGGTTTTTAGCGGTGTAACATTGGAGTCCTGGCTCTGTAGTACTGACGTCCATTACACGTCCCGATGGAACATGCTCCACTCTGTAACAGTTATAACAATTTATCAATCACATCTCCTGACGGATAATATATCATTCTGTGATAATCGTTAGTACTATGAAAAGACAACCCACTATTTCAAATTAATTTTTTACTTTAAATTCCAACAGTTTACATTCAGTAAGGTAGTGGTATTATATATTAACAATAGTACTTCCTGGTTTGGAATGTATAATCATGTTAACTGATCGAGGGACACTACTCCATCATCGGTGCTCTACGGGTTACCTGTGAGGTATCGAGGATTGCACCACTCCGTCTATTAGATATCACAGTAAATACATCTTATTGATCTAAATTGTATGTTACCTGGCGACAAATTTGAGTTTGCCTCCTTCTCCAACACAAAAATTGTGGTCGAACCCAAGACCGCCATTGACTTCCTTCATCCTATCACTGAGAGGTACTGGCTTCCGAAGGTCCATCGGAGTTCCCGCCACCGCGGCAACCTCACCTGACGTCATAGAGGTTATAGGTCAGGTAATGAAAATAACGTTGACGCATTTTAAGCTTGAATTTTGCCTTTTATGACGCAGGCGATATTACCGGAATTTCATTTATCAGGCAAAAATGTAAGAAGAGTTCCAATCTACCTGTTGGGATGGTGTTCTCATTGAGTGGGGTGTAGTGGTCCCCGAGTAACTGTATCACGTGACCGTCTAGATTTTTCGAACCCTATCAAATAAAACAAAGACACGTGCATCTATTAAAGCAACCTTGGCTAGGTCGAATATAGAATCATATTATATAAATCGGATTCACATGTGATACAACGAGTGATTTTGGTTTGTGTTGAAGAACACTTTCTTTGGAGATGTTGTAAGTTAATTAAGGTAGCCAATCAAAAGCAATATGTTAAACGACGAATCCATACTCAGCTTGCCTTTTCCAAGAACATGATGGACAAATGGATATTGTAGATAACTCTTTATAGGCGGTTTAGAAAGTTATTAAGTATGTTAACTGTACTTCATGTTAATGTTGCTATAATCCAACTTCGTAGTTGCATCCAGACTTTTCAACTACAAACAAACGCTGCACTAACTGAATGTAGATGACCTTAGAACTACTCCTCCGTCAGCTTGTTCTTGTTCTACTTTCACTAAATATGGCCCAACTGGGCACATGGTAGACGATGATTAAAGCATTATTCCAAATGTTAAGCTACGAGAGCTTTTCATGAAGGGTCCTAAATATCGTGAAACCCCGTCCGTTAATTAGAATGTGAATTTCAAGACACTTGTGGATTCTATTGAAAACTATGCCAGAGAATGGGCGAAAAGAGAACATCCTGGGTTGGATTCACTTCCTGAGTAGGTTAAATCTATTCGGTCCATCATTCGTAAAAGAATTTACAGCTTGAAATCGAAAAGGAAAACAAAACACAGATCAGCTTTCCTCGATCCTGATGTTAAATCCACACTTCAAGATTTACTTGACAGGTATGTTATTGTGCTGCAGATAAGGCGTTCAATAACTTGATCCTTGTCTGCAAACATTATTACATTTCCTGTTTACAAAAAGATCTGGTCTTGCTTGATTACGAAGGAAATCTCACCTATAAGTTATCCAATTTTTCAAGAGACGAAGTAGTAGCTAATTATGTTTCGGTATTACAATGATTTAGAGTGCCTATTAGGATAAAGTTACGGACCTCCCCCGTTCATTCTGGACTTGACTTCATATAGAATCCATATAAACAACCATTCCATACCTAGCTCGTTCAACTGTTCAGCCAAGCCTTTGTCAAAACTGCTAAACACCATTCTATGTACTATCAAATCTGTGGTACGGTCTTATTGTGATACTGTTTACTTAAGAAGTGGACTAATAGTATGTAGATTTTGAAGAACTCCAAAGAGCTTTTACCAGTCTTCAACACTCTCCTCAAAAACATTTCTTTTGTAAAAAAAGCATTTGATTTTTCTACCCTGTACACCACCATACCTCATTCTAAACTGAAGGAACATCTTCGTTCTCTTGTGATGAGATCTTTATTCTCCAAGAAAGGTAAAAGGCGATATAAATATATAGTTGTGAAATATACTAAAGCGTATTTCATGAAATGTCCAAAATCAAAGAAGAAATATAAAAATGATCAAGTTGATGGTTGACAACATCTTCGTCGAGTTTCGTGGTATGATCTTGAAACAGACTATTGGCATACCTATGGGAATCAACTGCGTCTCTCTGTTGGCTGACTTGTTTTTATTTTCATACGAGGCTGAATTATTGAAAAGCTTATCAAATAGGCCATACAGACCTTGCAAAGTCGTTTTATCTCACATTCAGATACATTGATGACGACTTGTCTTTAAATAACAAGAAATTTATTGACTACGTCCATCGTATATATTCACAAGAACTGGAAATTAAATATACGACAGACTCTTCTACATCAGTTGAAGCTTTGTGATAATTGTGATGATTTCAGTTCCCCTATTGTGAATTCTCCATTCTTTATATCAATGTCCCTGCATTTCCAACCTATGGTATTTACATGTCACAGTCGATTCGATATTCAAGGTTATGTTTCCATTATCACGATTCTCGTGCAAGAAGTTGTCTAATGATGGACAAACTCATAACACAGGGTCCCAAAGACGCAGGCTGATAAAAATTGTGGGGAAGTTTTATAGTCACCATAGCGATCTCATTGAAAAATATTCTATTTCTTTGTGTGACATAAAGCTGGACGTTTTTGATACTTGTATTTTGCCTGTTGGTTCCGTTGTTGTATAACTTGTTCTAATTTGAGAACGTGACATTACTTACTTGGATTGGCAAAGGTTTACATGGCGGATGCCATCGTTGAAGCAGAAGACGCTTACTCTTCAAGAATGCCTGGTCTTTTTTCCTTGTACTTTTCAGGAGTCTCCGTGTAAATCTTTCTTTAGTTTTATGGAATTTGAGTTAGAATTATGATTATGTTGTCATGTTGGTATTTTTTTTCTTCATTTTTGTGTCCAAAATATGTTTAAGCTTTGTAAGCATTAATTTTTCGATTTCCCAACATCTGGCATACCTGACCGGCAAGGTTGAAGTAGGCGTGGTTAGTCAGATTGATTGGCGTGGCTTTCGTGGTTGTGGCTGTGTACTCGATAGTAAACACGTTTTCATCAGACAGTCGATAGGACACGGTTGTGGTTACCTCCCCTGGGAAGCCTTCCTCGTTGTCAGCACTGACGTAACGCAATTGCAGACGATCACCATCCACAGTGGTATCCCAAAGAACCTGAGTGTGGTTTAAAATAGCGTCACATTTAAAGTATGGATAGTATTAGTGTCATATCCTGTCTTTCACAGTATAAACAGCGCTACGATAGACAAAGAGAATAGTTGTGTATCTGACAAACGTTTGCTAAACCAAAAATTTCAATAGACTTTTGAAATAATCAACAATAACTTGGACATGTGAAGGAGAGATCCGTGGTTGCCGAAGAACTTAATTCAAGTTAATGACAAACGGACATAAATCCAAGTCAATAACAAATGGAGAGAAATCCTAGTTATGGACAATGGACAGGATTTCTTAACAGTAGCGTTTTTGTTTTTCCTTAACAATAGAGTTCAACGTCTACAGCTGTACGTCAACTTAAGGACAAACGGAATCTAGTAAGGGTCATCTCTAAGCGGCGGCGTAAAAGTTTGTGGAAGACACACGCACATGTGGAAATGGAGAGAAAAATGAGTCCTTGAGCTTAACGTTTGCATTTTATAGTAATTACCTTATCGAAACCCTTGACACCTCCATGGAGGCAGTTTGGGCCATTGTTGACAGGCAGTTGAAACTCTTGGCCATCCAGCGAGAACTTCCCACCCGCAATTCGATTGGCCACACGACCACAAACAGCCCCAAAATAAGGAGAGCGCGTCAGATATCCTGTAATGATGGTACACACCAATATTTAAATTTTACACAATGGTCTCCGGTTAACTCCTTGTATATTTACATTAAAAAGATAATAACATGACGTATTTTTACCCCATTCTGACCTACGTAACAATAACACACATTACAGCTGGCCACGTGACCCGTAATGACGTCATATAACATGTAATCAGAAACGATTTCGTTTTATCATATTTTGAGACTTTACGTCAACAATCGTACCTTCCATATCATCGAAACCCAGATTAACGTCCTTGACCTCTCCCTTCCTGTCAGGGACAAGTATTTCTGTGATGATACAGCCGTAATCGAGAACACGGATAGTGACCTGGTTCTTGTTGGTAAAAGTGAACCTGTAAATGATCAATGTCAAGGTCACTACAGGTAAATAATATAAAAGTTTCTACAGATACATCACATAAAGTTAGGTCATTTGATTTCTAATTCAAGAAACGCAATTACCAATACCAATTACTCTTCTATGTAACTGAATAGATTTTGTAATATAATGTAATTCGTACCAGTCTTAATGATAAATGTTATGTCACTACAACATAAATGATACGATTCGTCGTGACAAAACATCTGTGTGTCTACGATAAGAGGAATCGTTGTATACGTCACCTATGGACATCCTGGCCGTCCTTTGTCTTCCCGAACTTGTCCTTCGTGATGGTAGTGTCGGTCATCGTGGCGATGAACAATTAAGGTTCGAGAAATATACAATTCGGCGTAACAGCTGAGTGTGAACTGGTCGTGTAGTTTTATAAAATTGACAAGCTTATCTCGCTCTCATAGATCGGCTAGTTTATCAAACCTCAAGGAGGACAGAATTTGTCAAGGGTTAAGATAACATAATATATTATCAACTTCATTAAACAAATAAAGGGGAGATAATTCTAAATGGACATGAGCATGTAAGATGCGTAAGAAATAATCCAGTTGGGTGCCCTTAGTTTGATATAAATGTACCCGAGAACCTTTACTGCATTTAGGAGAATGAATCTCCAACACAGAAAATGAAAACAAGTACATATTTGGTATCACAGGAAAAGTCAATCACAATGAAGAGATGCACTGACCCGACGGGTCACAAGTCCATCACCAGAGTTATTTGATGGCGTGTGTATCAATCTTCTCCACCTAGATATTGTGTGTAATTGGAGGTGTTACCGTCGGTTGTGGAGAGTCTGATTCATTGGCTTTAATGTAGTCAGAAATTGTAAAATAAAAACTAAACATTGTTATTGTAATGACCTGTTTGACGATTCAGGGAAATGCCGTGCCCGGGTGTTGAACCGAGTGGTTGTTCACACCTTACCAAAATTAACGTCAATGCAAGATAAGGCCGCTCCTGACATTGTCGGGGAACTAAGGACTTCCTGGGTACCAATGGTCATCAAATTCCCGGACATAGCCAAGGAACTAAGGACTTTCTGGGTACCAATGGTCATCAAATTCCCGGACATTGTTGGGGAGCCAAAGACTTTCTGGGCACCAATGATCATCAAATTCCCGGACATTGTCGGGGAACTAAGGACTTTCTGGGTACCAATGGTCATCAAATTCCCGGACATAGCCGAGGAAATAAGGACTTTCTGGGTACCAATGGTCATCGATTTCCCGAACTTGAACCCACTATATAATTTTGCTGAGTTAATTGCCCTGTGAACAGCCCGGGCCATTTTGAGGTGGGTATCCTTATAGTAGTTGGTGATTACCTCACTGGATAGCATACGGGAGGCACGTCGCATGCCAGCATGAGTAGTAAGAATTAAGTGTCTTGATCAAGGGCACAACCACGTCAGCACGTACCAACGTAAACCTCTACAGGTAGGGATCGTCAGACCACGCACCATTAGTCTTCTTCAACTGAGCTTCATTCATTGTATGTTAATGGTATGGCGCATTACCGTAACGGAGCACCTATTTCAGTTTAACGCCTTTTTGTCGATCTAAACATATATACTAATGACGGCAGTAAACGTGCATTCGCAGTCTAAATATAGAACATGGCCATCTGGAAAGTGGTGTGTTTCCGTGTATGGTGGGAAACGTACAATGAAAGACCAATTCAATAGCTGGTTAACCCTTAATTTGTGACCTTTTATAATCCTGACGTTACATTGAACATTGAGATGACATTCAACCAAATCTTCAACACTGCCAAGCAGGATTCTATGTCACTAGCACTGTCGTGTGTGTATCATGCAATGCACGCATATGAATATGAACAATCAAATTAAAGCACACTCGCTACTAGAATTAATTTAACAATGTTTTTTGAAAACCAAAAATAATGATATTATGATGGAGGTAGCTGAGACCGAACGTGCGACTAAAATATTCTTGGGAGTAACATCTCACCGCCTGTATTATAGAGCAACGACATTTTAATCACAAAATCAACAAGCATTAAACAGTTTTGGTTCAATTCGATTTTAATATCCAAATTTTTCTATAATAGGATTTAAGTTATATCTGACCACACTAGATTAGGTTCAGTTGCCTAAACGTTGGTACAGGTGTGCGCTGTGTGTCAAAATTGCATTTAAAGCAGGGAAACCCTTATGTTTTAGTGAATATTGCTTCAGGTAGCAACTTTGACGATCGGTAAAAACAACACCTGACAAATATCCAAGATAATTTTTCTGATAATTAGTATTTGGATATAGTTCACTGAGGATACCTATCCAAAATGATTTTATTGATGGTTACATTTAGGTCGAATCCGGCGTTTACACGCCATACCTCCTTAGGTGAAATCGAACTACTACTGGGGAATGTTGTTTTCGTTATGGACTGAATAGATAAACTCCAACTTTGACGTATACGGTGGGTAAACAGACCCTGCGTTCTGAATCGTGATCAGATCTGCTTTGTCATCATGTGTGATGTCCCCATATTAAATACAGGTTAAGGATATTCAGAAAACCAGTTCCAGTTTGTACAGGGGTTCAATTGCATGGCTGGATTTTGTGAATAGATAGTCTCACTTCAGGTTTGAGAGTCGAGGGGATGAAATGAATAACAAAATAAATAAAATCTTTTTGGATAGTATTTATCACAGATAATTTATAAATAATATTATGTACAGCATGTTTGACACATTATATAACAACATAGCATACACTTCGCATATTAATGTCAACGAAATATTACATTGCAATACATTCTCAGATAACAAAGAGAAACAGTATCTGTCACGCTACATCATTACAGTATATAGTACACACAGTATGACAAAGAGAAACAGTATCTGTCACACTACATCATTACAGTATATAGTACACACAGTATGACAAAGAGAAACAGTATCTGTCACAATACATCATTACAGTATATAGTACACACAGTATGACAAAGAGAAACAGTATCTGTCACACTACATCATTACAGTATATAGTACACACAGTATGACAAAGAGAAACAGTATCTGTCACACTACATCATTACAGTATATAGTACACACAGTATGACAAAGAGAAACAGTATCTGTCACACTACATCATTACATAGTACACACAGTATGACAAAGAGAAACAGTATCTGTCACGCTACATCATTACAGTATATAGTACACACAGTATGACAAAGAGAAACAGTATCTGTCACATTACATCATTACAGTATATAGTACACACAGTATGACAAAGAGAAACAGTATCTGTCACACTACATCATTACAGTATATAGTACACACAGTATGACAAAGAGAAACAGTATCTGTCACACTACATCATTACAGTATATAGTACACACAGTATGACAAAGAGAAACAGTATCTGTCACACTACATCATTACAGTATATAGTACACACAGTATGACAAAGAGAAACAGTATCTGTCACACTACATCATTACAGTATATAGTACACACAGTATGACAAAGAGAAACAGTATCTGTCACGCTACATCATTACAGTATATAGTACACACAGTATGACAAAGAGAAACAGTATCTGTCACAATACATCATTACAGTATATAGTACACACAGTATGACAAAGAGAAACAGTATCTGTCACGCTACATCATTACAGTATATAGTACACACAGTATGACAAAGAGAAACAGTATCTGTCACAATACATCATTACAGTATATAGTACACACAGTATGACAAAGAGAAACAGTATCTGTCACGCTACATCATTACAGTATATAGTACACACAGTATGACAAAGAGAAACAGTATCTGTCACAATACATCATTACAGTATATAGTACACACAGTATGACAAAGAGAAACAGTATCTGTCACAATACATCATTACATAGTACACACAGTATGACAAAGAGAAACAGTATCCGTCACGCTACATCATTACAGTATATAGTACACACAGTATGACAAAGAGAAACAGTTTCTGTCACACTACATCATTACATAGTACACACAGTATCATAGCCACCAACAAGTTAATACATATTTTCACATATTTTTAATTCAATCTTTTCTTTCAACTTGAAGTAAATATGACACTAGAAATGAAAAGACATCATCAAATTGCACATGTTACTCTTTAGATACTGACATAACCCTGTGATACTGGCCTAACCTTTGGATAATGACCTAACCCAGGGATACTGAACTTACCCTTGGATATTGGCCTAACCCTTTGATAATGACGAAACTCTGGGATAGTGGCCTATCCCTGGGATACTGGCCTTACCCTTGGATACTGACCTTACCCTTGGATACTGACCTAACCCTGGGATACTGGCCTTATCCTGGGATACTGACCTAAGCCAGGGATACTGACCTAACCCGGGGATACTGGCCTTACCCTTGGATACTGACCTTAGTCTGGACTACTGACCTTACCCTTGGATACTGACCTTACCCAGGGATACTGGCCTTACCCTTGGATACTGAACTTAGCCTTGGATACTGGCCTTACCCAGGGATACTGGCCTTACTCTTGGAAACTGACCTTACCAAGGGATACTGGCCTACATTCTGAATACTGACCTACCCTGGGAATACTGGCCTAAACTCCAGATAGTAACTACTGACAATTGCACTTAAATCTTTATTTATATTTGGCACAGATATGGTGACGATAACAACAACAAATAAATTTTTTACTGGAATACTAATCACAGAGAGTATTGCCAAGCTGAAATGAAAATTTTAAACAACAATTTATATTAATAATAATGACTTGACATTTGACCTGAAAAGCAAGCACTCATGATAAGAAAGCAGAAAGTGAAGTTTGATTTTGATCAGTTCTAAAGAACTCATACTATTGTTTGGGAACCCAGACAAATTTTCTGTTGACAAAACAGTGACATTGACATTTGATCTTGTTCCCAATAAGAAAGCAGTGAGGACATGATTTACAGACATTGGTATACAATATTCCCTTCTGATCTTCAATCATGGGAAGAAGGAGGATAATATATCTTAATGGATCAATTAGACTAAGTACAATAACTTTCTCTCACAGATCTTGTGATAAATACCATCTCATAAGAATATCTCATCAACTCCACCTTTTTCATATCATATATCATATATTTTACTGTCGACCTTAGTGCACACAAAGTCACAATTCAATTAATGCTTATTAAGCATCCAAAGTAAATTTCCATATATAACTGTATGTGTTATTTCCACAACCCTTCTGTATATTATATACATGTATGTGTTATTTCCACAACCCTTCTCTATATTATATACATAATTGACAAAATTAGAGTATACACACGACTAACTACATTGTAAACATTTTACCTTTGAGGTTAATGAAATATGATCTTTAACTACTACTTGGTGATAAAGACAGTGAGCTTTAACTACTACTTGGTGACAAAGTCAGTGAGCTTTAACTACATCTTGGTGACAAAGACACCAAGCTTTAACTACTTCTTGGTGACAAAGACAGTGAGCTTTAACTACTACTTGGTGACAAAGACAGTGAGATTTAACTACTACTTGGTGACAAAGACAGTGAGCTTTAACTACTTCTTGGTGACAAAGTCAGTGAGCTTTAACTACTACTTGGTGACAAAGACAGTGAGCTTTAACTACTACTTGGTGACAAAGACAGTGAGATTTAACTACTACTTGGTGACAAAGACAGTGAGCTTTAACTACTACTTGGTGACAAAGACAGTGAGCTTTAACTACTACTTGGTGACAAAGACACCGAGCTTTAACTACTACTTGGTGACAAAGACAGTGAGCTTTAATTACTACATGGTGACAAAGAGCGTGAGTTTTAACTACTACTTGGTGACAAAGACACCGAGCTTTAACTACTTCTTGGTGACAAAGACAGTGAGCTTTAACTACTACTTGGTGACAAAGACAGTGAGCTTTAACTACTACTTGGTAACAAATAATCATAGTAAACATATATAAATCAAATAACATATACAGGAAATCTTTGGACAATATGATACATAAAAACAGTGTATATATACACTGCTGTATTTTGTACACTACACCATGTAGTTTGTACAATATACAACAGAATATGTACAGCATATAACACATGAGAAAAAACAGCAAAAATAAAAACATGCAGCAAATAACAAAGAAGACAAATAAAAATTTAACTGTTGAAACTGTTTGTATACAACACATGTAGCTAGATAAAATACCCTATTGTTGTGTTTATGTGACATCCGATATTTTATATTATCAATCATTTACTTTACTTCTTGATCTTTTTCCAACCACTTGCGTATCGTGATGCTCCAAATCTAGTGTATTTGGAGTTACTTCCCTTGGTGACAGTTTTTCCTTCTTTTGAAGCCATGTGTTATTGTTTCTACCTGTAGTTTGGACCACTACATAACTAGTGTGTTTGGAGTTACTTCCCTTGGTGACAGCTATTTCCTCTGCTGAAGCCCCACTTATTAATGTTTCTAACTGCTGTTTAGTCAGCTACAGAACTCCAGTGTTTGGAGTTACTTCCCTTGGTGACAGCTATTTCCTCTGCTGAAGCCCCACTTATTAATGTTTCTAACTGCTGTTTAGTCGGCTACAGAACTCCAGTGTTTGGAGTTACTTCCCTTGGTGACAGCTATTTCCTCTGCTGAAGCCCCACTTATTAATGTTTCTAACTGCTGTTTAGGCGGCTACAGAACTTCAGTGTTTGGAGTTACTTCCCTTGGTGACAGTTATTTTCCATGCTGAAGCCCTACTTATTAATGTTACTAACTGCTGTTTAGTCTGCTACAAATGTCCTGTGTTTGGAGTTACTTCCCATGGTGACAGCTATTTTCCATGCTGAAGCCCTACTTATTAATGTTACTAACTGCTGTTTAGTCTGCTACAAATGTCCTGTGTTTGGAGTTACTTCCCATGGTGACAGCTATTTTCCATGCTGATGCCCTACTTATTAAAGTTACTAATTGCTGTTTAGTCTGCTACAAATGTCCTGTGTTTGGAGTTACTTCCCTATTTCCTCTGCTGAAGCCACTTGTTACAGATGTTTCGGACTGCTGTCTGTCCCATGCGTTGGGCTGCTCCAGCTATACGCTGGACATCGTCCACTCTCTCAGACTTCACTGCCATTAAGTAGGCTGACCGCAGCTTACCACATAGGATATATGCATTGATCTGAAACACAAGTCCCATACAAAGTTTTAATCTGTAAAAATGTTTTCCATTTCACATTTAAATAGGCAACTAGACCAGATCAGTCATAATCTGACATCTTTCCCCAAATCCCTATCAGTCTTTATCTCTATCAGCGCCTTGTAGAATGTCACTATTTCCACAATATTACTAGATAGTTTCACTTGCCGTATCAGTTTTTGCATGATTTGCTGGCACTAAGTTTGAGTATTTCAGTAATTTTTGCGTTCTCTGTGACTAACAAACACAGTTAACCTTGTCAAAGATTGATATCAAATATCTTCATGAAAGAATCACATACAACATTATATCTGCCTTTGCAGAATTACCAGTATGTTGTTCTACATTGTACACCAGTTGCTGGAGTATATTCACCCTAAGGTACATTATCTCAGTGTGAAGTCTTCATACCTTATTGGTGTCCTTTCTCAGCAGCTTTATCAGGTTATCTGCTTCTTTTGCCTGATAGTAGAAAAATCAGATTTATTTTTTAGTAAAAATCACAATATCATATTATAATAAGTAAAAGATGATTCAGCATTTTAAATGGTGAATACTTATCATGATTTTACTAACTAAATACTCTTGAAAATTGAACCTACAAAAATACAAAAATGTTATTAATTAAGCTAACATAATTACAATATAGGTCATACATAGATATGGCTGGGCTTATTACAAGGCATAGACTAATGAACAGATAAACATAATAAGTGTTATAAATAATCTTTCCTATGTCAGTGTTATCCATAATCTCTCCTATGTCAGTATTATCCATAATCTCTCCTATGTCAGTATTATCCATAATCTCTCCTATGTCAGTATTATCAATAATCTCTCCTATGTCAGTATTATCAATAATCTCTCCTATGTCAGTTTTATCAATAAACTCTCCTATGTCAGTGTTATCAATAAACTCTCCTACATCAGTGTTATCAATAAACTCTCTTATGTCAGTGTTATCAATAAACTCTCCTATGTCAGTGTTATCAATAAACTCTCCTATGTCAGTGTTATCAATAAACTCTCCTATGTCAGTGTTATCAATAAACTCTCCTACATCAGTGTTATCAATAAACTCTCCTATGTCAGTGTTATCAATAACCTCTCCTACATCAGTGTTATCAATACCTTCTCCTATGTCAGTGTTATCAATAACCTCTCCTATGTCAGTGTTATCAATAAACTCTCCTATGTCAGTGTTATCAATAAACTCTCCTATGTCAGTGTTATCAATAAACTCTCCTATGTCAGTGTTATCAATAAACTCCCTATGTCAGTGTTATCAATAAACTCTCCTATGTCAGTGTTATCAATAACCTCTCCTATGTCAGTGTTATCAATAAACTCTCCTATGTCAGTGTTATCAATAAACTCTCCTATGTCAGTGTTATCAATAACCTCTCCTACATCAGTGTTATCAATAAACTCTCCTATGTCAGTTTTATCAATAAACTCTCCTATGTCAGTGTTATCAATAACCTCTCCTATGTCAGTGTTATCAATAACCCCTCCTATGTCAGTGTTATCAATAAACTCTCCTATGTCAGTGTTATCAATAACCTCTCCTATGTCAGTGTTATCAATAACCCCTCCTATGTCAGTGTTATCAATAAACTCTCCTATGTCAGTGTTATCAATAACCCCTCCTATGTCAGTGTTATCAATAACCTCTCCTATGTCAGTGTTATCAATAAACTCCCTATGTCAGTATTAAGACAGGCCTTTTCAAAACTTACCTCATTAGGGTTATCAGAGATAACTAGAATACAGGCTCCCACAAGTTCATCCACAGTACAGTATACAGGTGACACCATACAATCTAGTGTTGATGAGTACAGTATACAGGTGACTACAGATCTAGCTAGTGTTGATGAGTACAGTATACAGGTGACTACAGATCTAGTGTTGATGAGTACAGTATACAGGTGACTACAGATCTAGTGTTGATGAGTACAGTATACAGGTGACTGTAGATCTAGTGTTGATGAGTACAGTATACAGGTGACTGTAGATCTAGTGTTGATGAGTACAGTATACAGGTGACTAGATCTAGTGTTGATGAGTACAGTATACAGGTGACTACAGATCTAGTGTTGATGGGTACAGTATACAGGTGACTAGATCTAGTGTTGATGAGTACAGTATACAGGTGACTGTAGATCTAGTGTTGATGAGTACAGTATACAGGTGACTACAGATCTAGTGTTGATGAGTACAGTATACAGGTGACTAGATCTAGTGTTGATGAGTACAGTATACAGGTGACTACAGATCTAGTGTTGATGAGTTCAGTATACAGGTGACTAGATCTAGTGTTGATGAGTACAGTATACAGGTGACTACAGATCTAGTGTTGATGAGTACAGTATACAGGTGACTACAGATCTAGTGTTGATGAGTACAGTATACAGGTGACTACAGATCTAGTGTTGATGAGTACAGTATACAGTGATACTAGGATGACTAGATCTAGTGTTGATGAGTACAGTATACAGGTGGTGACTAGTGTTGATGAGTACAGTATACAGGTGACTAGATCTAGTGTTGATGAGTACAGTATACAGGTGACTACAGATCTAGTGTTGATGAGTACAGTATACAGGTGACTACAGATCTAGTGTTGATGAGTACAGTATACAGGTGACTACAGATCTAGTGTTGATGAGTACAGTATACAGGTGACTACAGATCTAGTGTTGATGAGTACAGTATACAGGTGACTAGATCTAGTGTTGATGAGTACAGTATACAGGTGACTAGATCTAGTGTTGATGAGTACAGTATACAGGTGACTACAGATCAGGTGACTACAGATCTAGTGTTGATGAGTACAGTATACAGGTGACAGTATACAGGTAGATCTAGTGTTGATGAGTACAGTATACAGGTGACTACAGATCTAGTGTTGATGAGTACAGTGACTGTAGATCTAGGTTGATGACAGTATACAGATCTAGTGTTGATGAGTACAGTATACAGGTGACTACAGATCTAGTGTTGATGAGTACAGTATACAGGTGACTACAGATCTAGTGTTGATGAGTACAGTATACAGGTGACTACAGATCTAGTGTTGATGAGTACAGTATACAGGTGACTAGATCTAGTGTTGATGGGTACAGTATACAGGTGACTACAGATCTAGTGTTGATGAGTACAGTATACAGGTGACTAGATCTAGTGTTGATGAGTACAGTATACAGGTGACTACAGATCTAGTGTTGATTAGAGTACAGTGACTACAGATCTAGTGTTGATGAGTACAGTATACAGGTGACTACAGATATAGTGTTGATGAGTACAGTATACAGGTGACTACAGATCTAGTGTTGATGAGTACAGTATACAGGTGACTAGATCTAGTGTTGATGAGTACAGTATACAGGTGACTACAGATCTAGTGTTGATGAGTACAGTATACAGGTGACTACAGATCTAGTGTTGATGAGTACAGTATACAGGTGACTACAGATCTAGTGTTGATGAGTACAGTATACAGGTGACTAGATCTAGTGTTGATGAGTACAGTATACAGGTGACTACAGATCTAGTGTTGATGAGTACAGTATACAGGTGACTGTAGATCTAGTGTTGATGAGTACAGTATACAGGTGACTACAGATCTAGTGTTGATGAGTACAGTATACAGGTGACTACAGATCTAGTGTTGATGAGTACAGTATACAGGTGACTACAGATCTAGTGTTGATGAGTACAGTATACAGGTGACTGTAGATCTAGTGTTGATGAGTACAGTATACAGGTGACTACAGATCTAGTGTTGATGAGTACAGTATACAGGTGACTGTAGATCTAGTGTTGATGAGTACAGTATACAGGTGACTACAGATCTAGTGTTGATGAGTACAGTACAGTATACAGTTGATGACAGTATACAGATCTAGTGTTGATGAGTAGATCTAGTGTTGATGAGTACAGTATACAGGTGACTACAGATCTAGTGTTGATGAGTACAGTATACAGGTGACTACAGATCTAGTGTTGATGAGTACAGTATACAGGTGACTACAGATCTAGTGTTGAGAGGTACAGATCTAGTGTTGATGAGTACAGTCTAGTGTTGATGAGTACAGTATACAGATGACTGTAGATCTAGTGTTGATGAGTACAGTATACAGGTGACTACAGATCTAGTGTTGATGAGTACAGTATACAGGTGACTAGATCTAGTGTTGATGAGTACAGTATACAGGTGACTAGATCTAGTGTTGATGGGTACAGTATACAGGTGACTGTAGATCTAGTGTTGATGAGTACAGTATACAGATGACTGTAGATCTAGTGTTGATGAGTACAGTATACAGGTGACTACAGATCTAGTGTTGATGAGTACAGTATACAGGTGACTACAGATCTAGTGTTGATGAGTACAGTATACAGGTGACTACAGATCTAGTGTTGATGAGTACAGTATACAGGTGACTACAGATCTAGTGTTGATACAGTATACAGGTGACTACAGATCTAGTGTTGATGAGTACAGTATACAGGTGACTACAGATCTAGTGTTGATGAGTACAGTATACAGGTGACTACAGATCTAGTGTTGATGAGTACAGTATACAGGTGACTAGATCTAGTGTTGTTGGGTACAGTATACAGGTGACTACAGATCTAGTGTTGATGAGTACAGTATACAGGTGACTACAGATCTAGTGTTGATGAGTACAGTATACAGGTGACTACAGATCTAGTGTTGATGAGTACAGTATACAGGTGACTAGATCTAGTGTTGATGGGTACAGTATACAGGTGACTACAGATCTAGTGTTGATGAGTACAGTATACAGGTGACTACAGATCTAGTGTTGATGAGTACAGTATACAGGTGACTACAGATCTAGTGTTGATGAGTACAGTATACAGGTGACTACAGATCTAGTGTTGATGAGTACAGTATACAGGTGACTACAGATCTAGTGTTGATGAGTACAGTATACAGGTGACTACAGATCTAGTGTTGATGAGTACAGTATACAGGTGACTAGATCTAGTGTTGATGGGTACAGTATACAGGTGACTGTAGATCTAGTGTTGATGAGTACAGTATACAGGTGACTACAGATCTAGTGTTGATGAGTACAGTATACAGGTGACTACAGATCTAGTGTTGATGAGTACAGTATACAGGTGACTACAGATCTAGTGTTGATGAGTACAGTATACAGGTGACTACAGATCTAGTGTTGATGAGTACAGTATACAGGTGACTACAGATCTAGTGTTGATGAGTACAGTATACAGGTGACTACAGATCTAGTGTTGATGAGTACAGTATACAGGTGACTGTAGATCTAGTGTTGATGAGTACAGTATACAGGTGACTAGATCTAGTGTTGATGGGTACAGTATACAGGTGACTACAGATCTAGTGTTGATGAGTACAGTATACAGGTGACTACAGATCTAGTGTTGTTGAGTACAGTATACAGGTGACTACAGATCTAGTGTTGATGAGTACAGTATACAGGTGACTACAGATCTAGTGTTGATGAGTACAGTATACAGGTGACTAGATCTAGTGTTGATGAGTACAGTATACAGGTGACTACAGATCTAGTGTTGATGAGTACAGTATACAGTACAGGTGACTACAGATCTAGTGTTGATGAGTACAGTATACAGGTGACTACAGATCTAGTGTTGATGAGTACAGTATACAGGTTAGATCTAGTGTTGATGAGTACAGTATACAGGTGACTACAGATCTAGTGTTGATGAGTACAGTATACAGGTGACTACAGATCTAGTGTTGATGAGTACAGTATACAGGTGACTACAGATCTAGTGTTGATGAGTACAGTATACAGGTGACTACAGATCTAGTGTTGATGAGTACAGTATACAGGTGACTACAGATCTAGTGTTGATGAGTACAGTATACAGGTGACTACAGATATAGTGTTGATGAGTACAGTATACAGATGACTGTAGATCTAGTGTTGATGAGTACAGTATACAGGTGACTACAGATCTAGTGTTGATGAGTACAGTATACAGGTGACTACAGATCTAGTGTTGATGAGTACAGTATACAGGTGACTACAGATCTAGTGTTGATGAGTACAGTATACAGGTGACTACAGATCTAGTGTTGATGAGTACAGTATACAGGTGACTACAGATCTAGTGTTGATGAGTACAGTATACAGGTGACATCTGATGTTTTAAGTCTATACATTAAAAAGGGGTGAAGATGGGAACCACCTGAGGTCAAAGGTCAAACGAGGTCAACATAAGTAATGGTATGGAAATTATATGTTTTCATGATGCATCTATGCATATAAAATAGGATAGAGCATTTTGATACATGACATGGTGTCTTCTCATGTTATACCAAATACAAAATATGACGACCATACATTAGATATTGAGACATGCTTTAGGAACATCCCTAATTAGCCCATGTATCACATGGCTAAATCCTTATAACCCTTTATACATTCTTTAGAAATACCCCTATTGAATCCCTTTTGGATCTTTTATTGTACCCCTCAATAATATCCTCCAGGAATATCCCTATTTGGTCCCTGTTTCATGTGGCTAGATCATTTATTGTACCTCTTTATTGAATCCTTAAGGAATACCTCTACTGAATCTCTGAATCTAGACTAGGTTTAACTTAATTTCAAGAGATAACAGGCTATATATACAAACAACTCTGCAGAGTTTTATTTTCTCTGTTTGATTTTTTTTAAGACAGCCATTGTATATTTACCTTTATAATCTTATTTGCAAGGTCAAAGGCTCGGACAATGTCATTTCCACTGAGCAAGATCTGAAAGATGAAATAAAACAATAACTTAGTAATGTTAAGAATGAAGATATGGTTGACAACAATCCTTGTGCTCAAATAATATATTTATGTACTAATCAAAACATATAATTCAATGTTATTTTTGTAGGATCCTCAATGAAAACAAACAGACCTGACACTATCTATCTACAGTGTATATGTACCTACCACAACAACAAGGTGTGACCTTGGAATGTACCTACCACAACAACAAGGTGTGACATTGGAATGTACCTACCACAACAACAAGGTGTGACCTTGGAATGTACCTACCACAACAACAAAGTGTGACTTTGGTACGTACCTACCACAACAACAAGGTGTGACCTTGGAATGTACCTACCACAACAACAAAGTGTGACCTTGAAATGTACCTACCACAACAAGGTGTGACCTTGGAATGTACCTACCACAACAACAACAAGGCTTGACTTTGGAATGTACCTACCACAACAAGGTGTGACCTTAGAATGTACCTACCAGGATGATGAGGTGTGATCTTGGAGTGTACTTTCCACAATGACAAGATGTGTCCTTGGAACCTTGGAATGTACTTACCATGATGACAAGATCTCCCCTGATTTTCGAGCTGCCCATCAAAGTTGGTAATTGTTGTGAAGCAGTTGTATTGACATAGGGGGTGGCTACTTTAGTAGCATCAGCTTCAGTGTTGGTGAGACACTGGTGTAGAAACTTGGTCACTTCTATCTGTAGACTGATCATCACCAAATGTCTGTCCAAATACAAAAACATGTCACTTTACCAGGCATGATTATCATTAATAAAACCAATCTAAGAAAAATAACTTTCCAATCTGATCCATGTCGATACGTTCCATGTCTGACTTAAACAAACAATTTCTATCATTCTTTTACTATATATGACAATGAGGTATCATGAAGACAAAAATGATCATCTAGGAGAGGGTTAAGGTGAGCTTGACACAGTCTCAAGACGATGAGATTCATAGTAATTGTTTGAGGTAGCTATACAACTCACCGTGAGACTTCCTCAGGAGTCTGAATTAGTCTGATGGAAGCCTCTGCTGGTCGTTTGTCCCAATCAACAGAGGGATTATCCGAGCGGAATATTGGGCGACTGATGTTCCCCCACTGGGAGGGATCCAGGTAGGCCTGGAGATGCTGGTGAGCTTTGTACAAGTAGTTAACTCTCCTAAACAGGTCAAGGTAACTCTGAGCTCCCTTCTGATAGAAGTAGGTTATACACGTCATAGAAGCACGAATGAAATCCTGAAATCCAAACCAATTGCATAAAATTACTTTTGGAAACTAAAAACCCAAGATTGGAAAAGATTAACCATGACCCTCATGACCCCATACATCATCTTCCATTCTGACCTTCAACTTCGGTTCGCTGACTTTCAAACCCCGTTCTCTTTCATTCCTTTGCAATGACCTTCACAATGTCCTATGACTGCCATACTGATCTCCATCCCCAATATAATGACCTTCATACTATGTCCTCTAACTTTCGTTCTGACATTCAACCCCTGATTTTAATTTTGATCATCACCCCTGTACATACCTTCATGAAGAGCTGGAACTGGTACAATGTGTGATGTAGCCTGTGTTTGAGGAGGTAGCGACAGGCAGTTGTAAGGTAGGGATGCCATCGCTCCAGAGATGGGTCAATCATTATCATCTGGTCCACCAGCTCCCCTAACCGTCCGTCCTCAATGGCTGGTGACAGTAGTGCATCAACAAAAACTTCACTCGAACATTTCTACAAAGCAGAAATTTGTAAAAAATATATAGAAGATTAAAACTTTATTTGCTTTACAACACGTGGTACAAAGCTTTATGCTTGTGTTTATCACTCTTGTTGGCCCAGATGGAAGTTTGCCAGAGGTCTTGTTGTGGTAGGAAACCAGTCTACCCAAGAAAATCCCACTAGGTAGGTGACACATTACCTTTTTATATATGTCTGTCTAAAGCCCCAAGATCCTAACAGTCTCAATTATTGGCTATGTTAGGATGACTATAGGACAGTCTATGATAATTAACACCTGTTACATGACATCAAATAGATATATGTCACCTGTCTTATATATGGTTTGCATGTTCGCTACACCTGTCATAACAAAAGACTGAAATGTCTGATACACCTGTCATAACACAAGACTGAAATGTCTGATACACATATCATAACAAAAGACTGAAATGTCTGATACACCTGTCATAACACAAGACTGAAATGTCTGATACACCTGTCATAACACAAGACTGAAATGTCTGATACACCTGTCATAACAAAAGACTGAAATGTCTGATACACCTGTCATAACAAAAGACTGAAATGTCTGATACACCTGGCATCACAAAAGACTGAAATGTCTGATACACATATCATAACAAAAGACTGAAATGTCTGATACACCTGTCATAACAAAGGACTGAAATGTCTGATACACCTGTCATAACAAGAAAAATTAGTGTCTTGTTACACCTAAACACCTGTCTTGACAAAAGATTGTAGTGTCAGACATCTGTCTTAAAAAGGTCTAAAGTGTCTGATCTGCATCTGTATCCATGTCTTATAAAAAAGACTAGTGTCTGATTTACACCCATGAATCTGGTTTACATTGATATACCTGTCTTAATAAGAAAAACTGTAGTGCCTGGTTTTAAAACATCTGTTGTCAACAGTACCATGGCTCATGATGTCAAATCTGTGAAGATTTCAACTTCATTTTTTACTTCAAGCAAGAATTATTCCAGAAGTAGTGAGATCTTTTTCAGGACTGTTTTAATACCAGCAGTCACACATCTAGTCAGACAGTCACATGTTTTTAATGACAAAGTGCCTGTAAACTTACATGATCAAGAATGTACTGAGTCGCCTTCATCCAGTAACCATTTCCTCTGTGGAAACTGACGATGGTGTGGAATGATGCATAGGTACGTAGGTAATATAAACATTCCTGATACTGGGCCGACTCCACGTCAGCTTCATCAGTGTAGCTCTGTAACAGAGACAATGAGTCATTAGAGACAACCAATAATAACTTTATTTTACAACAATTGTGAAGCAAGTTTTTCCAACTTATGTTAAGCACTCTTGTTGGCCCAGATGGAAGCACGCGAGGGGTCTTACTGTGGAAGGAAACCGGAGTACCCAGGGAAAACCCACGTTGTCGGGCAGGTGACCCCATACCTTTTCACATCCATTCCGTGAATCGAACCCTGGACGGCTTGGTGAAAGGCCAGTGCGTTACCACTGCGCCGCCCAACCACCCGAGGGACAACCGAGTCACGCACAATAGTACAGCAAGTTACTTTCAGGGACTGGGATAGTTATTAACTATTATTAAATAAATCATATTATGGAAACACTACATGTAAACTAACTTTTCAGCAAGATGTTGAAGGACTTCTCATGTTATTAAGAAACTGTGAAAGGTTTATTAATAATACAGCACAAACGGTTCAGGTACAAGTCAATTCATGGAATTCATATTCCAGGCTTTTGATGATTAATTAGTATTGCAGCTCAAAGATGGTATAATGTGTCTGTAAATTTGATACCGTCAAAAAGCATTTAGCAAAGTTATTGAACAGAAAACAAAGTAGCCAATCAGAAATAAGGCACCTAATTAATTATGCATAAATTTCACTAAATAATGTAGGTAGTCAAACTCAGGCTGAAGGATAGTAAGATACACCTGCAAAACAATTTGATAAAAATCCATTCACTTTTAGTGAAGTTATCACATGGAAACTAAGATCTAGAGCATTAATTCATTCAAGGTAATGACATCCTAGTCCTAATCTAGAAGGAAATAGAGTCACTCAATGTGGTAGCTCATCATCATACATAAAATAATTGTTAGGATTGTGAGTAGAAATGAGTGATGTCTGGTATATAAACTACACAAGTGGGACAAGTCAACATTGGAGTTATCACAGACAAGTCAACACAGGCAAGTTAACACAGATGAGTCAACACAGGCAAGTTATCACAGATGAGTCAACACAGGCAAGTTAACACAGATTAGTCAACACAGGCAAGTTAACACAAATGAGTCAACACAGGCAAGTTATCACAGATGAGTCAACACAGGCAAGTTAACACAGATTAGTCAACACAGGCAAGTTACTCAGATGAGTAAACACAGGTAAGTTAATGCAGATGAGTCAACACAGGCAAGTTAACACAGATGAGTCAACACAGGCAAGTTATCACAGACAAGTCAACACAGGCAAGTTAACACAGATTAGTCAACACAGGCAAGTTAACACAAATGAGTCAACACAGGCAAGTTATCACAGATGAGTCAACACAGGCAAGTTAACACAGATTAGTCAACACAGACAAGTTACTCAGATGAGTAAACACAGGTGAGTTAATGCAGATGAGTCAACACAGGCAAGTTAACACAGATGAGTCAACACAGGCAAGTTATCACAGACAAGTCAACACAGGCAAGTTAACACAGATTAGTCAACACAGGCAAGTTAACACAAATGAGTCAACACAGGCAAGTTATCACAGATGAGTCAACACAGGCAAGTTAACACAGATTAGTCAACACAGGCAAGTTACTCAGATGAGTAAACACAGGTGAGTTAATGCAGATGAGTCAACACAGGCAAGTTAACACAGATGAGTCAACACAGGCAAGTTATCACAGACAAGTCAACACAGGCAAGTTAACACAGATTAGTCAACACAGGCAAGTTAACACAAATGAGTCAACACAGGCAAGTTATCACAGATGAGTCAACACAGGCAAGTTAACACAGATTAGTCAACACAGGCAAGTTACTCAGATGAGTAAACACAGGTGAGTTAATGCAGATGAGTCAACACAGGCAAGTTAACACAGATGAGTAAATACAGGTGAGTTACCACAGACGAGTAAATACAGGTAAGTTACCACAAGCAAATACTTACAGCAGTTGGAGAGGTCAGCATACCTTTGACAGATCCAGGATTGGTCAACAACATCTGAAACTATCAAATAACACCATTTCTAAGTAAAATTTTGTACCTCTTACACTTACATCGATGAACTTTTCTATTAAACAGTATAATACGATACATTAAATATTATCTCTAACATCCTAAATATAAAATTGCCTCTGATGACCTTATACCCCTGACCTAAGACTGCCCTCTGTTAACCATACTTACACTTTACAGTATATATAAACATACATCATTGAACTTTTCTAACAAACAGTACAATAAGACACATTCAATATTATCTCTAACATCCTAAATATAAAATTGCCTTCGATGACCTTATACCCCAGACCATAGACTGCCCTCTCTTAACCCTACCTACACTTTACAGTGAATACGTTTACATCTATATACATCTACACTATACAGGTACACCCAATCAGACAGGAGCTGACCTCTGTATAGCCAGTCCCAGACATTGATTCTAAACAGCTGAGGATGTCAGCCAATAAGGTAGATTCCTGCTGGCGCTGATTCCTGTCTTTGGGCACCTGGAAAATAAAATATCAATATGCTCAAAATTATTCTAGTTAATTGAAGGTTTCTATCTATTATGGTACAAATAAAATATCATAGGAAATATAGGTCACACCTGTACTTTGACCCACAATTAACAAACCATCAGATACCTATACCACAACACACTTGTTACCTACCTAGAGACCCTGACTCACCTGTATTGTGACAAACTTGTTACCTACCTGGAGACACCTTTACGTAGACATAATTGTTACCTACCTTGAGACACCTGCCTAACTTTTCTCTTGCCCTGATGAAGTCACCGCCCTGGAGACAACTCATGCCCCATGCAGCCCATACACCAGCAGGGTCAAGACCACACTTTGTTGATACTTCCACCGCAAGAGGCAGACGCTCTGCTTCAATCAGCTTATCTCGCAGACGTCTGAAAAGAAGGGGACAAAAAAATTTTGTTTTAAATAATTTACTGAAAGTGAATATCAAGACCTAAAATTAAAGGTGTGTGAAACATTTTCCCTTACCTTGGAGGTAGTCCCTGTAGTTGAACACTAGAACTCCCTTTCTGGGAACAGTTGTGTAGGTTAGGTCAGCTCCTTATGAGGGATGGTCCCTGTAGTTGTCATCCCCAAGGACCCCCTCCCTGGGGACAGTTATGTATAGTTACCTGACAGTGTCTGGTCAGGTCAGTTCTTTATGAGGGAAGGTCCCTGTAGTTGTCAGTCACAAGGACCCTCTCCCTGGGGACAGCTATGTATAGTTACCTGACAATGTCTGGTCAGGTCAGCTCTTTATGAGGGAAGGTCCCTGTAGTTGTCAGTCACAAGGACCCTCTCCCTGGGGACAGTTATGTATAGTTACCTGACAGTGTCTGGTCAGGTCAGCTCTTTATGATGGCAGGTCATTGTAGTTGTCAGTCTCTAAGACCACCCCCTCCTCCCCACTGGGGACAGTTGTGTTATGTTACCTGACTGTCTGGTTAGGTCAGCTCTTTATGAGGGAAGGTCCCTGTAGTTGTCAGTCAAAAGGACCCTCTCCCTGGGAACTGTTATGTATAGTTACCTGACAGTGTCTGGTTTGGTCAGCTCTTGAAGGGAGGGAAGGTCCCTGTAATTATCAGCCACTAGGACACCAAGGATGTCTATCCGACCCTGATACAGATCACACTGCCCTAGGCCCTGTGTCACACCACATTCACTGAACTTCATCTTGGCATGAAACAACAAGGTCTTCATCATACTGTGTTGGAGGTAAAAAAAAAGGATTTACAAAGGTGACAATATACAATATAACAGATCATTATGTACATCACAGAAAAATGAAAGATATATAAATGTTCCCTTGTCAAAACCTACCTCAGAGCAACATTGTAATGGTCCTATCAAGGTTACCTAGCCTACCTCAGAACATGGCTATACTTATCTTACATGGGTTACCTAGCCTACCTCAGAACATGGCTATACTTGTCTTACATGGGTTACCTAACCTACCTCAGAACATGGCTATACTTGTCTTACATGGGTTACCTAACCTACCTCAGAACATGGCTATACTTGTCTTACATGGGTTACCTAACCTACCTCAGAACATGGCTATACTTGTCTTACATGGGTTACCTAACCTACCTCAGAACATGGCTATATTTGTCTTACATGGGTTACCTAACCTACCTCAGAACATGGCTATACTTATCTTACATGGGTTACCTAGCCTACCTCAGAACATGGCTATACTTGTCTTACATGGGTTACCTAACCTACCTCAGAACATGGCTATACTTGTCTTACATGGGTTACCTAACCTACCTCAGAACATGGCTATACTTGTCTTACATGGGTTACCTAACCTACCTCAGAACATGGCTATACTTGTCTTACATGGGTTACCTAACCTACCTCAGAACATGGCTATACTTGTCTTACATGGGTTACCTAACCTACCTCAGAACATGGCTATACTTGTCTTACATGGGTTACCTAACCTACCTCAGAACAAGACTGTAATCTACTTCAGGGTTCGGTAGGCCAGGAGCAATGGACTTCAGGTGCTTTGACAGGTCATCACAAAGCTGTAGGACCAACTGACCACTGGCCTTGGTGTTACTATGGAGGTCCAGGATAGACAAACACAATGATGTACTTGGAGCCTGCAACAAATAAAATCATGATTTATCAACTAACTGTACTATTAGCAGAATCATAATTTTCTTAACATATTTATCATGTTACTTATGACTGACTCTCTCTCACTCACCTGCTCTTGTCAACCTCTCTCTACTCACATACTCATAATGGACTCCCTCTTACTAACCTGCTCATAAAAGACTCCACATAGCTCACCTGCTCATAGCAGAAATCTTCCCTGACCACAGAGTTGTGAGGGTCATCCCCTGCCTTCAGTTGCCACTGCAGTTCTAGCTGTTCCATATAGCTAGTGTCCTCCCCTACGCTGTCCTCCTTTATAGATATGACGTCTCCTAGGTTGTTTGTAGAAGAAGCACGTTGGAACCCTGTAGGACTACCTCCACGTTTGGTTACCTCACGCTGAAGTTTTCCTATTTTACTACAGAAACAATACAACAACTTACTTTACCATCCAAAATTATTGCATCCCAAGAAATAATCAATTGATCAAGACTGAGGGAGACTCTGTGATAACCTGGGTTATAATATTGACCATGGGACTCTGTAATAACTTGGGTTTTAATATTTACAATTGGACTTTGTGATAACCCGGGTTTTGTTACTGAGTGGGATTATGTGATAACCTGGGTTTTGATACTGACTGGGATTATGTGATAACCTGGGTTTTAATATTGATCATGGGACTCTGTGATAATTTATATTTAGGAGATAGTGTATGGTTTTTATGCATAACCTGGAAATTATATACTGAATTTTGATTCTAGCATGACAAAATACTATCCCCATTCTAGAATAATTTGTGTCTAAAAGTGATGTAATTCCTTGTGTACATACCTGAAATTCTGAATGATGAGTTTCTGTTTGTATAAGTGTGAGGTAACTTTGTATATGTAAATTGTGAGTTTGTATCTGAGTAAGAGATGACTTTGTACCTCTGAATGGTGAGTTAGTATCAATGTGAGGTAACTTTGTATCTGTGAATTGTGAGTTTGTTTCTGAGCAAGAGATGACTCTGTACCTCTGACTGGTGAGTTTGTATCAGTGTGAGGTAAATTTGTATATGTAAGTTGTGATGTATCCGAGTAACAGATGACTCTGTACCTGTGAATGTTGAGTTTGAATCAATTTGAGGTAACTTTGTATATGTGAATTGTGAGTTTGTACCTGCGTGAGAGATGAGTTTGATGGAAACAGTCGTTGCATGTCCTCGCCCTTACACCTTGTATCATGGTTGTCTTGGTGGAACACTGGGCGCACACTAGACGTCCACATCTCCGGCAATGATGACGTCTATTGAACTGAAATGAGCAAAAAGGTGTTACAAGAAGTGTTTTAAATTGTTTATAGTTTTCACTTCCAACATTCAGAATCTTAAAGACAGAAGATTTATTCCTTTTAATCAACAAGCAATTGAAATCTAAGGAATTCACTTTGACAAATCAGAAAGTATAGACAGAGTGTACAACAACAGCTGTTAACATCTGGTGCCTACCATGCTGAATTTCTCCACCTGACACACCATACAGGTGTCTGTGGTATTGTCCTGTACCCACTGGTCTTTAGGTGGTGGCTCAGGTGGCATCACAAACACGCGGCTGCTACTGATGCTCTGACGATGTGGCATAGAATTGCTTGGAGAAAGGCCAGGTGAGGGAGCACTGACAGATGTTTTCTGTAGGGCTGTTCAAGGGAGACAATCAGAATACATTTATCAATTAATTCTACTACCTAAAATATATCACAGTGAAATACATTGCATCAAAGTCTAGATTAACATGTTAGGATTTACCATTCTTCTGTTATAGATGATTCCGTCTGTGATAACATACAATATATATTTGTTACCTATTATCAAGCAATAGTATACCATCTAGTACCAATAAAGACAATAAACAGTCACTGTATCATCTAGTAACAATAAAGACAGTAAACAGCCACGGTATCATCTAGTAACAATAAAGACAGTAAACAGCCACTGTATCATCTAGTAACCATAAAGACAGTAGACAGCCACTGTATCATCTAGTAACAATAAAGACAGCAGATAGCCACTGTATCGTCTAGTAACAATAAAGACAATAAACAGCCACTGTATCGTCTAGTAACAATAAAGACAGTAAACAGTCACTGTAAGTATAAGAGGTTAGGTACCTGATATATCCACACTCCTCCTGCTAGTCCTTAGCGTCTCAAACACAACTGATTTTCTAGGAGACAACAGTTCTGAGAGCCCATCATGTTTCTCTGCTGTCGATGAATTTGACAACTGGGAGTTTGTTCTTTCCTTCCCTATAAAATACAATTTGTGAATTATGAGATAAGATTATGCAATGGTTGTTTACAGTACATGGATGTTCCTTGAGAGTAACCACATACAAACACAATTGATGATGACTTTCTATCATAACCTTTGACACTGACAGGATTCAAAATAACAATGATCTTGGACACTGATCTGATACAATGATTTTTGACATTGACATGACACAATAAGTTTTCATGTAAGATATGACAATGATCTGTGATATAAGCTTTGACAATGACATTTAAGTCTGACCTGACACAACGACCTTTGATACTAACATGGCTAAATGATGTGTAAAATAACCTTTGACACTGACCTGACACAATGACCTGCACTGTGACAAAATCCAGGGCCTTGGTGGCATATGTAACTACAAGATGGTTGAATTGCTCCATAGTAAACCTGAGGTTTGGATTTTGAACTTTGACTTGGTCCTTTCTTATGGTTTCATATGCTTTACCAGCAAGGTCAATCTGCAAGGTCAAGGTTGTAAGAGATAAGTTACTGACAATGATTGTAATTTGTCCAGTGAATTGTTTAATTCATCAGGTAAAGACGTTACAACACACACATAACATAGTTACATGGTATTTCACTATTGGTACCTACCTTCATGTTCATGAGCAGCTGTTCAATAAGAAGAGTTGGAGACGACACTAAGTGACAGTACTCCCCCCGGATACTATCTGGTAGACACAGCAATACCTGGTAACAAACAGTATAATTACATCTGTCACCTCTGAATGCCTTGTGGAATGTCGCGACTTTGAAGAGGTCATGGATCAATAAATACACCTACCCATGTTGAATTATTTGTGATGAAAAGCAGTTCAAACCAGATTCATAATCAATCCTATATAGATATTTAATTCAATCTGTAATTATATAAATCTCTTAAAAACATATAAATTATAAAACATAGGATTGTATCTTATGTCTTTATCCTATACAACCATAATTAAATACTGCACAAATAGATAAGGTGACCACTCCAAAAAATGTTTATTTTGTAGACTCCCACCTTAGCACCCATACCCATACCCACCTTAGCACTCATACCCACCTTAGCACTCATACCCACCTTAGCACCCATACCCACCTTAGCACCCATACCCACCTTAGTACCCATACCCACCTTTGCACCCTTACCCATCTAAGAAACCACACCCACCTTAGCACCCATACCCACCTTAGCACCCTTACCCACCTTAGCACCCATACCCACCTTGGCACCCATATGCGTCATTTTGAGTTGGTCCTTCTTGTCATCTGGCAGCAATGACTCCAGCTGAGTGATGATGTAACTTGCTATAAAAAGGACATCTCTCTGATTGGCTACTTTCTCCAGCAGTCTCTGACACAGAGCTAAACACTCTTCTGATGACGTTACTTTAACTTCCTCAAGTACCTGTCAAAGAACAAGTCAACAGTTAGGACCACTTCATAGTCATAAAAACTTCAAAGTTATGTGATAGCTTTCAAATGAGTTTGAACATCACAAACATATGCTGTTAATATTTAGTGGTAAACCCACATCATTTTATATACCTAGCTACTAATAAGGTTTAAATATCTTTATCATTTTGATTTAGTTTACTACTACACACATATATCATTTTTTGTAGTAATTATGATGAAGCCTCTGTTGATTGAAGTAGTTCTTACAGGGAATACCTTAATATATATATTATGTAGTATTTATGGGGAATACCTTGCAATCTTACGTTGTAGTATTGACTGTTATCTTATGTTGCAATTATGGGGAATGTGTTGCTATTGTATGTTGTAATTATGGGGAATGTCTTGCTATTGTATGTTGTAATTATGGGGAATGTCTTACTATTTTATGTTGTAATTATGGGGAATGTCTTGCTATTGTATGTTGTAATTATGGGGAATGTCTTGCTATTATATGTTGTAATTATGGGGAATGTCTTGCTATTGTATGTTGTAATTATGGGGAATGTCTTACTATTTTATGTTGTAATTATGGGGAATGTCTTGCTATTATATGTTGAAATTATGGGGAATGTCTTGCTATTATATGTTGTAATTATGGGGAATGTCTTGCTATTGTATGTTGTAATTATGGGGAATGGGGAATGGGGAATGTCTTGCTATTGTATGTTGTAATTATGGGGAATGACTTGCTATTGTATGTTGTAATTATGGGGAATGTCTTGCTATTATATGTTGTAATTATGGGGAATGTCTTACTATTTTATGTTGTAATTATGGGGAATGTCTTGCTATTGTATGTTGTAATTATGGGGAATGACTTGCTATTGTATGTTGTAATTATGGGGAAAATCTTGCTATTGTATGTTGTAATTATGGGGAAAGTCTTGCTATTGTATGTTGTAATTATGGGGAAAGTCTTGCTATTGTATGTTGTAATTATGGGAAAAGTCTTGCTATTATATGTTGTAATTATGGGGAATGTCTTGCTATTTTAAGTTGTAGTTATGGGGAATGTCTTGCTATTTTAAGTTGTAATTATGGGGAATGTCTTGCTATTGTATGTTGTAATTATGGGGAATGTCTTACTATTTTATGTTGTAATTATGGGGAATGTCTTACTATTTTATGTTGTAATTATGGGGAATGTCTGGATATTCTATGTTGATATAATGAGGGATGATATACTTATGAGGGATGTGCTGTAGTTTTCTTAAGTACTTACAAGAAATGCCTTGTTATTTTCTGATGATTGTGAGGACTTCTGTTCCAGGAATGAAATAACTTGATGTTCCACCACATCCTACAACATATATCTCTACCTCAGATAACTTGCTCACCATACATATAAACATAGATTTAGAATAAGTTTACTGAAGATTAAAGAAAAAGACTAATTTATACACAGTTTAGTATTTAAACACAAAATTTCAGCTATCAATCAACTTACGAGGTACTTCTCATCAGCGAACTTCACATGCCTACACCATAACTTGGCAGTTTCATAATCACCGGCTCTCAACAGTACCACCAGGGTCTCTTCAGGGGAGATTATCTCTGGTTGCAGAAGGTTGCGCCAGTCGATGAACTTATCAAGAGATGTATGGTAACCCTTCTTGTGATCCATATCCACAAAGTCTGTGGTCTTCATGGCTAGTTTGAACTGTAGGTTCTTAGCACATTCTGTGATCTAAATATAAGGCAACAATATATTGAACAGGAAAGACTAACTTTTTATACTGTCAAAACTCTACACACTGTCAAAAATATCTACCCAGGTATACTAAATCTAAGTCCAGCACTTACTTTATACGCTGTCAAAAATGTCTATTCCAAACCAAAGTACAACATTTAGCACATGTTAGACTGCCAAAATCAATCATACTACAAATACAGTCTGTCACTATGGCCATTTAGTCTTTTAACATGTAATTTTACATGTATATATTATGTATTTATATAAAAATTGATGAATATATTTAGATTTTAAATACAAAATTGTATCAATGTCATGTTTAACATACACACTTGACAACAAAGTTTTTAAACATTTTTGGTTTTTGTTCACTAATTTTGAAGATAATGTCACAAAAACTGACATCTTGATAATCATATGAACATTTTGTTCAATTTTCTCGCAAATTTTTGTAAAAGGATGAAAAGTTGAATAATAAAATGAAAAACTGTAACAGCATTTAAGAAGACTAGGACATCAATAAGTTTATATATACCCTGTTAAACATGCTGAGCTCCTTAAGTTTGTCTTGAATCACAGCAATCATCCGCTTTGCCATCACAAAATGCCGACACATTTGGAACAATTCTATGTTGTGGTCCATTGGCAACTTCCTGTATACAGACAGCAGTAGACGAGTCTTTGTTACAGGACACAGAAACCTGTGTAAATAGTTTAGCACAATGTCTGCTTCATGTTTAGAAAGCAAGGCCACTGAGGTGACATCAGTTGTTGTTATGGTGTTGTTTGTCCTGTTAAACACACTCTGGACAAGACATGTCAGAGACAAGTCATACAAGGAACAGAAGGAATAGGTCTCCCGTAACAGTGAGGGTGGCAGACTGTCAAGGACAAGCAGAATCTCTGACCACTTCTTGTTCAGCAGAAGGTCGTTCAGTATAGAAATGACCACCGTCTGGAACGGCCAGTTTCCAGGCAAATTTAACATACATGCTTTCACCTTCTCAGAAAAGTTGCTTGTTATCAACTTGAGAAGAGAGTCTCTACCTCTCAGTATTTCAGGGTCTTCAGCACCAGCGATAGGTATGACATAGTTTAATAGGTGGCGCTTCAGTGTTGGGTACTCATCAGTAAGTTTCTGGTAACGGTAACTCCTGATGTCCATCAGACTCATTTCAGATTGTGATCTATCTCTCAGATTCTCACTCTTGGTGAAATAATCCATCTCCATATGATCCTCAATGTCATCAAGATCATCTGAACAAACCAGACTCACCAAAGTTGCCACCAGGGGGCACTCAGTCTTAATATAGTCCAGTGTGACAGGGGTCAGCTGATAGCATGGGGCAACCGACGGCTTCGGATTGGACAAACTACGACTTCTATCTAAAGAAAGTGACAAGTTCTTTGGCAGAGATGTGATACGTCTGTGACCTTTGACCTTTTGTGAATGGTCTTGTAGTACAGAGAAATCAAAAGTTACCATGAAATCTGCCTTGTAAGATGTGACACCAGTCTGGAACGGCAACTCCTTTCTACCTGTTATATCTGTTAAAAAGCGACATTTTAGTACAACATTTTGATAATTTGTACAGTGAGACACATTTTCTACATATTCAGGAGGTGAAAACAGGTGTATACTTCACTTTAAAAGGACAGAGTTAGCTTGTATTAAGTCATATTTATAAAAAAAAACCAATTCTAATTAGAATAAACAATCATACAACATACTGAACAGTAAAAATACTGCAGGTAGAAACCACTTTGTATAGTTAGATATATGATGAGCCAGTTAATCTTCATTAATGTAACATAGAACACAATGCTTGATAGCATGTAATACAAACATCAATGACGGCTATGTAGTGTCACTAGAGAAGTCAAAACTGAAAAACCTTGATTTTATAGACCAGATTAATAATGGTTAACTAATATCATACATAACATCTGAACACTGACCTATGTTTTCTGAGTAACCATGGAGACTATCCAGACTGATGAGGTCCTGCAATGCCTCCTGGGTAGTGCCAGTCATGTGACCAGCAATGATGTTAATTATGCCTTCATTTCGTGCGTTGAGTTCCTGTTCCTGGTCGCTGCTAAAGTCACGTTTGTACCACATCATCAATTCTGGAATGGTCACCTGACCAAAACATGTTTGTATTACATACATTCCAATACAGAGGGTACAATCATTACTTTGTATTTTGTTTATGTGATTTATAAGAATATAAGTTAGAATTACTTTAACATTTAGATAAGTAAGAGCTATACCGACAGTGTCTACACAGCTATCTACTGTTGTCATAGAGATACCTACTGTCTTTCGCTCCTTATCAACCAGAACTGTATGGTTGAGGTATTTGCTCATGGCTGTCTCGAGTTGATTCCTTAGTAACTCTGGTATCAACACCTACAGATAAAACATATCACAATAGTAGTACATGTATTGCCGATTCATAACCCCATGTAAATTCAATATGTTCAATATTTAATAACAGTCAATAGAGGATATATATGAAAAATTATTGAATTCTCCCTAGAAATTACAGGAGACATTGTATTAGGATAATATTAGTTCTGTACAGCAGATTTCAAACTACACAAGGGTCAATTTAGACAGAAGCTAAGGCTACATCAGGGTCAGGTTAGACAGAATGTCAGACTCCATCAGAGTCAGATCTGACAGAATGTCACACTTTATCAGGGTCAGATAAGACAGAAGGTCACACTTGATCAGGGTCAGATCTGACAGAATGTCACACTTTATCAGGGTCAGATAAGACAGAAGGTCACACTTAATCAGGGTCAGATCAGACAGAAGGTCACACTTTGTCAGGGTCAGATCAGACAGAAGGTCACACTTGATCAGGGTCAGATCTGACAGAATGTCACACTTTATCAGGGTCAGATAAGACAGAAGGTCACACTTGATCAGGTAAGAACAGACAGAATATCACACTTTATCAGGGTCTGATCAGACAGAAGGTCACACTTTGTCAGGGTCAGATCAGACAGAAGGTCACACTTTATCAGGGTCTGATCAGACAGAATGGCAGATTTTATCAGTCAGATTTGACAGAATGTCACACTTTATTAGGGTCAGATCAGACAGAATGGCAGATTTTATCAGAGTCAGATTTGACAGAATGTCACACTTTATTAGGGTCAGATCAGACAGAATGGCAGATTTTATCAGAGTCAGATTTGACAGAATGTCACACTTTATTAGGGTCAGATCAGACAGAAGGTCACACTTGATCAGGGTCAGATCTGACAGAATGTCACACTTTATCAGGGTCAGATAAGACAGAAGGTCACACTTGATCAGGTAAGAACAGACAGAATATCACACTTTATCAGGGTCTGATCAGACAGAAGGTCACACTTTGTCAGGGTCAGATCAGACAGAAGGTCACACTTTATCAGGGTCTGATCAGACAGAATGGCAGATTTTATCAGAGTCAGATTTGACAGAATGTCACACTTTATTAGGGTCAGATCAGACAGAATGGCAGATTTTATCAGAGTCAGATTTGACAGAATGTCACACTTTATTAGGGTCAGATCAGACAGAAGGTCACACTTGATCAGGGTCAGATCTGACAGAATGTCACACTTTATCAGGGTCAGATAAGACAGAAGGTCACACTTGATCAGGTAAGAACAGACAGAATATCACACTTTATCAGGGTCTGATCAGACAGAAGGTCACACTTTGTCAGGGTCAGATCAGACAGAAGGTCACACTTTATCAGGGTCTGATCAGACAGAATGGCAGATTTTATCAGAGTCAGATTTGACAGAATGTCACACTTTATTAGGGTCAGATCAGACAGAATGTCACATTTTATCAGGGTCAGGTTAGACAGAATGTCAGACTTCATCAGAGCGAGAATACACAGAATGACAGACTGCATCAGGTGTGGTTCAGGTGTAAGCAGGTACTAAGACTTACCTGAAGAGGGGGAGAAGACCGAGCACAAGCTGTGGTGAGAAAGATGAGACGTGGCTCAGGTGTTGGTAAGTACTGATGCCAGGGATCTGCCTCATCAATTTCTGTTGAAAACAATGAATATATATAATATGTTATAATGTGGCAAGAATTTGTATTGCTTTGATACATTCAACTTATGATCAAGTATATAGTTTAGGATTTATTGACCCATGAAAAGCAGCAGTCATTTTGAAGCAGAGTCTCCTTGTAAAACCTGGTGACTACCTCACTGAACAACATATGAGAGGTCCATTGCATGCCACTAACAGCAACTGGAGTAAAGTTTCTTGTCAAAAATTTGTTCTGAATAAATAGTGAGTCAAGTTAAAATAACTGTTCAAAAATGCAGTTTACACACCAGTAAAAAAACAAAACAGAACAATTATTTCTCTTATTTATATTTTGAAAGCATTTTTGTTTTACTTTACCCTTCTTGAAAAACAATAACAATTTTTCATTGGATGTTAAATGTACTGCGGAAACAACCCCACAACTGATGGAATAGCAAAACAGCTGATTCCAATTTCACAGGAATGTTTGTCAACTACTGGAATTAAACAATTTCTCAATAATGTCATTTCTTATCAACATTTTTTTTTAGATATTTTGCAAATCTTATTCACATACTGTTTTGAGTTTTCTAGTTTATACAAAATATATTCTTAAAATTTCAAAAATCAGAACAAACGCAATAGCAGATTCTCACTCATTTGTACCACATATGTACAGTGGTCTGGCTTCCTACCCACCACACGTGATGCTTACTGAAGTGTAAATATCAATTTTGTTGGTAAGGCCAAATAGAGTATACACACCGGAAATGTAAATATATCAGATTAATAATAACCTACACAGTATCATTCAATGGGCAATAAGTCTGTCTGATCATAAACTCACCAATCTATTATATAATGTTTCTGTACAAAATGTCAATGAATGCTTTGTTTCTTTGTTATAGTCCTTTAATAAGTCCTTCCCTTGACTTTGAACATGATAATTTTAACATCCAAGATTCATAGCAGGATCTGTTCAGTTGCTATATAAATCTGTAGGTAATATATATATATGATGTTACCGTATGTTGCCCACTCCAGAAGTCCCTCCCACATCAGTGGCGGCAACAAGCCATTTCGATTGATGATAAACTTCAACTCAAACAAACTGCAACATATAAAGGTCAGGAACATTTTGAACAGTGTTAACAGAGACTTAACCATGTACAACAAGAACATGTCACAAGAAACTGCCAGATTCTCTCCTGATTCAGTTCTGTTTTATATGTAAGGATGGTGACAGTCAGGCAGTGTAAAGGGACAGAGATATGTCTATATAAGGATGTGTAACTAACAGTGTAAAGGGACAGAGTCTTTTCTATATAAGGATGGTGACAGTCAGGCAGTGTAAAGGGGACAGAGTTATGTCTATATAAGGATGTGTGACTGGCAGTGTAAAGGGACAGAGTTATGTCTAGATAAGGATGTTTGACAGGCATTGTAAAGGGACAGAGTCATTTCTGTATAAGGATGTGTGAGTGGCTGTGTAAAGAGACGAAGTTATGTCTATATAACGATGTGTGACAGGCAGTGTAAAGGGACAGAGTTGTGTCTATATAAGGATGTTTGACAGGCAGTGTAAAGGGACAGAGTTATGTCTATATAAGGATGTGTGACATGCAGTGCAAAGGGTCAGAGTTACGTCTATATAAGGATGTGTAACAGGAAGAGTTAAGGTACAGAGTTGTATCTATATAAGGATGTGTGACAGGCAGTGTAAAGGGACAGAATTAGGTCTATTATGGATGTGTGACAGGCATTATAAAGGACCAAGCTATGTCTATATAAGGATGGTGACAGGTAGTGTAAAAGGACAGGTGACGTAAAAAGGATATTGACTACCATCTTTTCTGTGTTACCGTTATACCATATACTGCAGATAAACATGCTGAGGTGGATACTAATCTGATAGGGCATAACTGTCCCACACTGTAGGTAAACATGCTGAGGTGGGCACTAACCTGACAGGGCCTAACTGTCCCACACTGTAGGTAAACATGCCGAGGTGGACACTAACCTGACAAGGCCTAACTGTCCCACACTGTAGGTAAACATGCTGAGGTGGGCACTAACCTGACAGGGCCTAACTGTCCCACACTATAGGTAAACATGCCGAGGTGAGCTATTTGTTCTGCAGTAGACATTTCTGAGAACATTTCCCTGCCTTGCCTTGACCTGTTGTATCCTTCATCATCATCCTGTTCACAGAAAAGTCAAATCATATACAATACAGACATATTATCTGATTTCCCATCTTTCTTCATCCTTCGGCTTCTGAAGGGATTATTTGCACATTACTATAATGGTGTGCTAGAATGATGCCAACATTTATTTTTATTGAGGCAGAAATAGGAACAATGCAATAAAACAACAAAGCATTTGAAATACATTTAGAAGTTTTCAGAATCGTTTGTATTCATGAAATGCCTTGAGCACCAGAAAATGATGAATCAAATCTCCACTCACCATGTTTTCTGCCTCCATGATCAAATCAAGGTTCATATGAATGGACATCAAGGTCTGTAAGTTGCCATAGAAACAAATTTTTTCGTCTTGACTTTTGAGCAGATTTAAGTCAAGTGTCACTAGTCTTTGGGTATTTATGATGATGTCATCATACTCCGGCATTCTCATCAACAATACAGCACTCGACACATCAAAGATACCCTTGGCGTTACATTTACTGGCTGTATCTGTGAAAATGTGATGACAACAAATTAACAACTCTACAGACTTTCCTCAGAATTAATTTATTTTGCAGTATATTGTATAATATTGTATAACATTGTATAGCTGATTTCACAATCCCAATATTTCAGGTTTGTCCTGGATGTGACCTGTTTACACAAATTAAATTTCATATCATTCTGCATATCTTTATAATAGCATTAATGAAAAAAGGGATATGGTATACATTATCCAAAGAATTTCAATCACAGTGAAAATATTTCCTTGGGATTTGATTTGACCCTGAAATTGAATCCTCTATGAATATCATCAACTTTACAGTATATAATCCAAGTGTTCATGTACAGAGCAGATTTTCCTGACTATGGTTGAACAATTACCGGTACTACTGTTACCATTTAAGTATAAATTCATCATAATGGTTGTCCTTGTTCATCTGCACAAATGTCACAAAATTGTTTGAGAACAAACCAGTCCTAAATATTTTTGTTACAGTATATATATATAAAGTTCTTTAAAAGGTTGGTGCATCATATAGTTCCCAGGGACATAACATAGTACAGCTTAGAAATATAAAACATGCAAGCTGTATTTGACAGTGATTGTTAGTGTGTCAGCTTTGTTTGACAGTGGTTGGTAGTGTGTCAGCTTTGTTTGACAGTGGTTGGTAGTGTGTCAGCTTTGTTTGACAGTGGTTGGTAGTGTGTCAGTTTGTATGACAGTGATTGGTAGTGTGTCAGCTTTGTTTGACAGTGGTTGGTAGTGTGTCAGCTTTGTTTGACAGTGGTTGGTAGTGTGTCAGCTTTGTTTGACAGTGGTTGGTAGTGTGTCAGTTTGTATGACAGTGATTGGTAGTGTGTCAGATTTGTTTGACAGTGGTTGGTAGTGTGTCAGCTTTGTTTGACAGTGGTTGGTAGTGTGTCAGATTTGTTTGACGGTGGTTGGTAGTGTGTCAGTTTGTATGACAGTGATTGGTAGTGTGTCAGCTTTGTTTGACGGTGGTTGGTAGTGTGTCAGCTTTGTTTGACGGTGGTTGGTAGTGTGTCAGTTTGTATGACAGTGATTGGTAGTGTGTCAGATTTGTTTGACAGTGGTTGGTAGTGTGTCAGCTTTGTTTGACGGTGGTTGGTAGTGTGTCAGATTTGTTTGACAGTGGTTGGTAGTGTGTCAGCTTTGTTTGGCAGTGGTTGGTAAAGTGAATGCTTTGTTTGACAGTGGTTGGTAGTGTGTCAGCTTTGTTTGACAGTGATTGGTAGTGTGTCAGCTTTGTTTGATAGTGGTTGGTAGTGTGTCAGCTTTGTTTGACAGTGGTTGGTAGTGTGTCAGCTTTGTTTGACAGTGGTTGGTAGTGTGTTAGCTTTGTTTGACAGTGGTTGGTAGTGTGTCAGCTTTGTTTGATAGTGGTTGGTAGTGTGTCAGCTTTGTTTGATAGTGGTTGGTAGTGTGTCAGCTTTGTTTGACAGTGGTTGGTAGTGTGTCAGCTTTGCTTGACAGTGGTTGGTAGTGTGTCAGCTTTGTTTGACAGTGGTTGGTAAAGTGAATGCTTTGTTTGACAGTAGTTGGTAGTGTGTCAGCTTTGTTTGACAGTGGTTGGTAAAGTGAATGCTTTGACAGTGGTTGGTAGTGTGTCAGATTTGTTTGACAGTGGTTGGTAGTGTGTCAGCTTTGTTTGACAGTGGTTGGTAATGTGTCAGATTTGTTTGACAGTGGTTGGTAGTGTGTCAGCTTTGTTTGACAGTGGTTGGTAGTGTGTCAGCTTTGTTTGACAGTGGTTGGTAGTGTGTCAGCTTTGTTTGACAGTGGTTGGTTGATTTGTGTTGTGTGGTTGTGTGTCATCTTTGTTTGACAGTTGTTGGTAGTGTGTCAGCTTTGTTTGACAGTGGTTGGTAGTGTGTCAGCTTTGTTTGACAGTGGTTGGTAGTGTGTCAGATTTGTTTGACGGTGGTTGGTAGTGTGTCAGTTTGTATGACAGTGATTGGTAGTGTGTCAGCTTTGTTTGACAGTGGTTGGTAGTGTGTCAGCTTTGTTTGACAGTGGTTGGTAGTGTGTCAGTTTGTATGACAGTGATTGGTAGTGTGTCAGATTTGTTTGACAGTGGTTGGTAGTGTGTCAGCTTTGTTTGACAGTGGTTGGTAGTGTGTCAGATTTGTTTGACAGTGGTTGGTAGTGTGTCAGTTTGTAGACAGTGATTGGTAGTGTGTGTTTGCAGTGGTTGGTAAGTGTGAATGCTTTGTTTGACGGTGGTTGGTAGTGTGTCAGTTTGTTGACAGTGATTGGTAGTGTGTCAGCTTTGTTTGACAGTGGTTGGTAGTGTGTCAGCTTTGTTTGACGGTGGTTGGTAGTGTGTCAGCTTTGTTTGACAGTGGTTGGTAGTGTGTGCTTTGTGGCAGTGTGTAAAGTGAATGCTTTGTTTGACAGTGGTTGGTAGTGTGTCAGCTTTGTTTGACAGTGATTGGTAGTGTGTCAGCTTTGTTTGATAGTGGTTGGTAGTGTGTCAGCTTTGTTTGACAGTGGTTGGTAGTGTGTCAGCTTTGTTTGACAGTGGTTGGTAGTGTGTCAGCTTTGTTTGACAGTGGTTGGTAGTGTGTCAGCTTTGTTTGATAGTGGTTGGTAGTGTGTCAGCTTTGTTTGACAGTGGTTGGTAGTGTGTCAGCTTTGATTGACAGTGGTTGGTAGTGTGTCATCTTTGTTTGACAGTGGTTGGTAGTGTGTCAGCTTTGTTTGACAGTGGTTGGTACAGTGAATGCTTTGTTTGACAGTAGTTGGTAGTGTGTCAGCTTTGTTTGACAGTGGTTGGTAAAGTGAATGCTTTGACAGTGGTTGGTAGTGTGTCAGATTTGTTTGACAGTGGTTGGTAGTGTGTCAGCTTTGTTTGACAGTGGTTGGTAAAGTGAATGCTTTGTTTGACAGTAGTTGGTAGTGTGTCAGCTTTGTTTGACAGTGGTTGGTAAAGTGAATGCTTTGACAGTGATTGGTAGTGTTTTGTTTGACAGTGGTTGGTAGTGTGTCAGCTTTGTTTGACAGTGGTTGGTAATGTGTCAGATTTGTTTGACAGTGGTTGGTAGTGTGTCAGCTTTGTTTGACGGTGGTTGGTAGTGTGTCAGCTTTGTTTGACAGTGGTTGGTAAAGTGTATGCTTTGTTTGACGGTGGTTGGTAGTGTGTCAGCTTTGTTTGACGGTGGTTGGTAAAGTGTATGCTTTGTTTGACAGTGGTTGGTAGTGTGTCAGATTTGTTTGACAGTGATTGGTAGTGTGTCAGCTTTGTTTGACAGTGGTTGGTAGTGTGTCAGATTTGTTTGACAGTGGTTGGTAGTGTGTCAGATTTGTTTGACGGTGGTTGGTAAAGTGTATGCTTTGTATGATATTGGTTTGTAAAGTGTCAGCTTTGCTTTATAGTGAAGGTTATTACATATGATAAGACAATATTTCTGTACAGGAAAGTGTTTTTGCATCATATTAAGTCTGCCCCTGAAATAACGACTGTGATGTACCTTTCATGAGTCTCTGAAGTCGTGTGAGAATTTCCCGCACCAATTCTTCAGGGTTCTGTTGTTGAAGAATGCATTTCTTTACACCCTCAACTGGAATGTTCATTAGGAATTTGGTCCCGACTTTGTTGTTCCCTGTACAAACAAGTTTGAACAATATATTCACCAGTTAAAATCAAACACAAAGTGACAACTTATCAAACATAAATGGAAGTGGCAGAAGCTGGGAGCTATTCTTTAACCGATGACACATTAGTATCTTAAACAGTGTTATAGTGACCTTAATAGAGAGGTAAGAACAACACAACAATATATCACAGTGTTTTACTGACCTTTATAGAGAGGTCTAGTGAACAACAAAATAGTATATCACAGTGTTAAACTGACCTTTATAGAGAGGTCTGGTACACAATACACCAGTATTTCAGTGTTATAATGACCTTTATAGAGAGGTCTGGTGAATAATAAAACAGTATCTCAGTGTCATACTGACCTTTATAGAGAGCTCTAGTGAACTGACCTTTATAGAGAGGTCTAGTGAACAACAAAATAGTATATCACAGTGTTATACTGACCTTTATAGAGAGGTCTGGTACACAATACACCAGTATTTCAGTGTTATAATGACCTTTATAGAGAGGTCTAGTGAATAATAAAAGCGTATATCAGTGTCATACTGACCTTTATAGAGAGGTCTAGTGAACAACAAAATAGTATATCACAGTGTTATAATGACCTTTATAGAGAGCTCTAGTGAATAATAAAACTGTATATCAGTATCATACTGACCTTTATCGAGAGGTCCGGCTGACACAACAGGAAGATGTTTACTTGGAATACTAGGACAACAGCTGTGTACAATGATGTGTGTCAGATTCAGGCTTAGGTCATGAGCAACCTTTTCTAATCTGCAACAGAAATATACAGCTGACATTGTAAACATCAAATTGTATTTTATTTTTTTTAATTCATCTTGCAATGTCTTTTCAAAAATCATAACACTACATGTATTTCAGATAACTAGAACAGATAAGTAAGACCAATCAGGCCCTATCAAACGTTGCTGAACAGTGAACTAACAAGAAATGATCGCTGCTCACCTGGAGGGTGGAATTCTCTTAGAAAATACTAGTCTTCCCAATGTATTGATGGGACCTTGGTCCAACATCTTGAAGTAATTTGTGGGCATCACCATGGTTTCTTAGAATGAAAATTAAATGTTTTCATTATTACAAGATTTTTAAAATCATACCTACAAGAAACATTAATTATTATAAGGAGTATCAATGAACATTACTACAGATAGCTGTGTTATAGTTTAAGGATTAAGTTGACAATAGACTGTATGTAGAGTATGAGAAGAATGTGAACTGCATTGAGTATAAGTATCTAATTTACATGATCCTTTATAACATTATTAATTTGGATACCTTATAAATACCTAAAAACTTGAAAAAGTTACAAATTGAAAGTTTGAGGTTCAGCTTAACAGTTTACTGCAAGCAAGTGGTAAGTGGTATCAAATATATCCCAGGTAAACATGAAATGAAGACTATTATCATGTGAGATTCTTTATCACATGAAGGAAGAAGTCACATGACTTTACATTGGTAATACTTCCTGATGAGTTTATTATTGCAGAGACTAGAGAATTTACCTTTGGACATTGCTTCGTTTTCAGCCACAACAAAAGCCAGTCGCTTGAGGTGTTCGTACAGGTGGAGAAGGTAATCTCTATTTCTTCTGTGATCTGAGCCTTTGTCCCTGTGTCATTTGTGAATCAATCATTAGTGGGGATAAAATTAGAAATAAAATCATCTAGCTAGAAATTTCAAACTTTAAAATGTCTGCGCTGGAGTGGAACTCTCACACAATGTATGTGATACTTACTTGTTGAAGAGCTGACATAAGCCACCAAGTGGTAGATCCTTGTCGAGGATCTGAATCAGCTGTTTCATGGCACCATGTATGGCTGGTTTCTCAGTCTGAACTGGCTCCTGTTTCTTAGGAGATACTTGGAAGCTGTTACTACTAGTACTACGTTTCTTACTTGGGCTACCATCAGCAGGTGACCTCTCAGCCAGGAAAAAAGCAGATTCAACATTACTGAGGCACTTCTTAACATCTAAGGTAAAGTGTGCATACAGCTTGCAGTGTTCAGGAGACAGGGGCAGGGTGGCCGTCTGTAGGAATGTTTGTATGCTATGTTTATACAGGGCTGTGGAGATCTCCTGTTGTCCTGGTGATGGTGACATATTGTCCACACCTGTTCCCAGCTGTAGAATCCTCTCAAACTGAAGTACCATGTCTCTCAGGTCCCTCTGTCTGGACCGTTTACTCTCCTCCCCATGCTCCTTACCACCCACTTCCTTCTTGCCCACTGCTGAGCTGCCTGGTTTGTCCTTCAATTGCACCTTGATAGAGTCTATCATGTTATTACACATTTCCCATGTCCTACAGCCTATACATAGCAGATCAAACAGGATCATTACTTCACAATTCTCCTGCTGGAATGTCCACTCCATCTTAGCAGGCACTGACCCCCAAGTCCGAGAACTTGGAACACTGGGAAGGTCTTGCTGTGATAGAAGCTTTTCTGCAACCCCACTAATGGATACTGTAGCAACCCCTGCTGCAGCAACAGAGGCGAGGGCCTTAATATTGGATCTACCAGGCTTGCTAGATTTTGAAGGAGAGTTCTTGTGTGACCCAATGTTCAGGCCATGGAGCTTTCGGACAGCTTCACTGTAGGACTGGGAGAATGATACCTCTGCCACTTCAGGTCGTTCATCAAGTTTCAGCAACTGTGGAACAGTGAAATCTGCAGTCAATTTCAAGTCTCTTCCAAAGTGTTATGAATATTTAAGTTATCATAAATACAAATTCTCTAATCGGTTTCATAAATACTTATCCCAGAGCACACACTTTCCCAACCCCCATCCAAAACCCCAAAAATATTTAACAATAATCAACCAGCATTTTTTTTCATAAGTAAACCTATTCACATCACCTACATGTACAATTTTGAATGGCAGTAAAATCATTCAAGTCACCTTGGACTTTGGACAACAGCAAACTTACTTATGTCACCTAGGAGGAATTTAGAAGGCAGTAAACTTACTTTTGTGACCTGGAAGGACTTAAGAAGGCAATAAACTTACTTGTGGGATCTGGGAGGATTTTAGAAGGCAGTAAACTTACTTATGTGACCAGGGAGGATGTTAAAAGGCAGTAAACTTACTTGCGTGATCTGGGAGGATTTTAGAAAGCAGTAAACTTACTTATGTGACCAGGGAGGATGTTAAAAGGCAGTAAACTTACTTTTGTGACCTGGAAGGACTTAAGAAGGCAATAAACTTACTCGTGTGACCTGGGAGGCTTGAGGGTAGTTTCCTTTACAAATGCACATGTTGAGAAGGGTTTCTGGGGAGGACAGCATCAGAGGAATGATTCCTATTGGGTAACGGCGAGGCCCTTTCCATCGAACAGAGTGACGACTACGTGACCTTCGTCTGCGCCTCTGACCTTCAAATCCACTTTCAAGTATAGTTTCACTTTCTTGACTTGGACTAGATCTACTTCCTAGAAACAAACAAACAAACAAACTACTCTCAAAGAAATGCTCAAAATGTGAGAATGATTTTAATATGATTTATTCAAGATGTAAAATGGCTGTTATAACTGTAGGTCACGATAGCTCGGACTATTGAAGCATTGGCCTATATAACCTTGAGCGAAGATCTGAGGTGCATAATTTGATGCTCAATACCTGTGGTGATTTGTGTTTCACAAGCTGAGAAGCTAACTGGTCCATGTTTACCTGGTTGTGTCCTTTCCCTTCTTGCTCTGAAAAGCATGTGATGGGCCTCCTGTAAGTTGTTCAGTGAGGTAGCCACCACCTCAAAATAACTCCCTCCCCAACAAACAACTGCTGTTATAAATATCCATTTGACTACTGCTTCTCCATATCACCAGTAAAACTCATTAAAATAATAATATATAGTACCTAATTCTCAAAATACAACAGGGTTATCATCTAATTCATTTATAAATTACACCGAGGGTCAGTTTCTCAATTTCATTTTTCCTTCTGGAAGAGTTGTGAATTCCTGAGAAAATGACCTGAAGTCATCAGACAGTCCCTATAAAACAGTGGTCATGTAAACTGGACTTCATGTTCTATATCATGTATTCTTTATAACAATTTCTACCATAACCTTGTAAAAAGACATTTGAAATATGGATATATTAAGTTCTTAAAAATCTAGCAAAAGGTCACATTTTACAGAAATTACAGTACCTCCTTCAGCACCAGCACTGACTTGAACATCATAATTGATACTACATGCTCTATTTTGGATTCTGCTATACTTACAATCAGCCTTGTGATGTGATCTGTATTGTAATGCCACATATTTAAGCCTGATTATAATCACACCTAATACATTGTATAGAATAATTATTGTAAAACCAACTTATCTGTCTTAAATCCGACACTTACTGAAATCTGATAAAATTCAACAAAACCAGGCAGTACCCCTTCAGACTAATTAAATCATCCTATACAAAATAAGTGAGAGCTGGGCTACCTGTACTTCCAGTGGGTGTATGTCTCCGGTTTATCAGCTGACTTTCCATGATGTGACTGCCAACACCTTGGTCTTCCTCCCACCTGTCATCCATCACATTGACCGCCTCCAGTAACACCTGGCCAGGTGACAGGGGAATACTCTCATGACAAACTAACTGGAACCGCCACTGTGCTTCATGGACATACTGTGTCAACTGGGCAATTCTCTTCTTGATGACAGTGGAGTTGATGCTTGACTGGACCATGTGATTGAGAGATTGTTCCAGCCGAACGTCTATCACATCCTCAAAGTCTACATTACTGGCATTTCCCAGACTTTTCTCTGTTTCTGGATCTTTCCCCAACACTTTAAAACGAGCTGCACTTAAATCCAGAAGGCAGTCTTTTAGCATGGCAAGGATATCCCTGACCAGATATTCATTAGTGAGGAAGCCAAACCTGGCTCGCCCAGATATACTATCAACACTATGGGCACTACATGTACCGTTTTCTGACGCTTTCTGTGCAAGTTCTATCTCTGCTTTGTGCAGTACTTTAACTTTAAAATCTTTTTGATTCTTTTCAGTCATGCGCTTCCGTTCATCCTTAGTAATAACATCATTTTCAGTCTTTTTCTTTACTTCTGCATTAAGTATTTTGTGGTTTGATTTCATCCCACTATCAATGAATGGTTCATCATAAGCACTGCCAGTTTGGAAGAATCTTTGATCTGAGTAAACAAGCTCAGAGGTTTGATTTCTTAACATGTGTTCCCTTTCTGTAGGCTGCGGTGACACACTTTCTTCTGAAACCAAGCTCAATGGCTGTGAGTCTTCGTCTAAAGTGTTGTTACGACTACTATCATAGTCCGCAGCCTCATCACTATCTGTCTCTACCAATGAGTTTTCCTGAATGTCTTCATGAGTAACAAACAAAAGTGAAAATAGATTTTCCAAAATTTCCAATCGAAATGTCAATGGCTGTAGACGAGCCAGGTAATGTCTTGCCTTACTCAACTTTTCTGAGACATTTTTAGTGTAAATTGTTTGGAAGTTCTCTGTGGTTTTCCTGTTACTGCTGTGTTTACTCTTTTTAACATTGTCATCTCCCTCACTAAATGACCACTTGTGGGTTGGCTGTATAGGGTTAACTAGTCGGCTGACCGGGTATTCAGCACAGAAATAGATCGCCTCCATCACATTTCTAATCACACAGAATCCACTGTATATACTCATATCTCTCCACCTCTCTATGTGTACATCAGTTTCTGGCTTGGAAGGCTCATCATCTTTAGATACAAACCTGACAAACTTCACTTTCTTCTTTGATTTACGACCTATAAGTAAAAGATGAGAGAAATTGATTCCCATCTACCTGCTATGTATGCTCTGATAAATGTAATTCTATGTGAAAGAAACATATATACACTAACCCCTACAGGTGATATGAGGCTTGACAGAAGTAAATTCTCTGACCAGCAAAACTAAATCACTCCTGAAGTTGATGTGAAACTTAACAAAAGTAACTTCATAATGAAGGTCACAGATTCATTCACACAAAAACGGCATGAATTGACATCAGTAATTTCTATAATCATACTGCCCTTAACATAATTCACTCAGATTAGAGAAGAAAAGATTTCTTAAACTGCTGACTCAAGTACTCTTTCTGCTCCAAACAAAGTAAAATTCTTTTTGTTAAGTTTGAGCTCAGCTTGGCTAACCAGTGTGTGATCTCTCTTTCTTACCTGCCTCTTCCTGTAGAGGACTTTTCTGAAGGAGATGGAAGACTTCCTCTTGATCAAGGGAGGATATTCTGGTGGATTGATGGAGAACAAATAACACAGAATGGGTTTCTAATCCAAGGAACATCTCTGCTGCACGCTTCTGGTGATTAGAAAGTCCATCCTCATTCCCCTTCAGAAGTGGCCTGTGCAGAGGAAGTAAATAAGTAGAACTTAATTTTTTTTTGTTTTTTTGTGTGAGTTAAAACACACGTCTCTCACAATAGGCCAAATCATACTCATTGTTTATTACTAAATATACACCGATGAAGAGATAAACATTTGATCCTGGCCATATGACCTTGACCTTTGCACATGCATGACCTTGACCATGGCCATGTAAATTTAACAATTGTTCAAACACATCCTATAGGACTCACTGACTCTGACCTTTGATTGTAAAGGTTAAGGCTGTGGTAACTATTGGAATATACAAATACAACTTGTGATAAATAGATGGCTGACTTACTTTGTACGATCAAGACACCATTGTATCAAGTCTATTTGGTAAGATAGCTTGCTGCAGCCTGCCTCTAGGGCTGGATGCTGGAACTGGGCCTGGACAAGGAAAATAGTGTATTACATGTGCAACGTATTTGCTGAACAATCAGAGAACAAATACAAAACATCTTGATATTCACCATTTATTAATACTTCAAGGTACATATGGGCAAAGAGTAAATTGCAAGGGTATATTTGGGTTGTGTATAGAGTTTAAGGTACATATGGGCAAAGAGTAAATTGCAAGGGTATATTTGGGTTGTGTATAAAGTGTCAAGTATACTTGGGTTGTGTGTAAAGTTTAAGGTATATATGGGCCTTTTGCAAAGTGTAAGGAATATATGGGCCACGTCTAAAGTTGAAGGTACTTATGGGACGTGTGTAAAGTGTAAGGTACATATGGGCCATTTGTAAAGTGAAGGTATATATGGGCCATGTGTAAGGTACATATGAGCCGTGTGTAAAGTGTAAGGTACATATGGACCATTTGTAAAGTGAAGGTATATATGGGCCATGTGTAAGGTACATATGAGCCATGTGTAAAGTGTTAGGTATATATGGGCCCTGTGTAAGGTACATATGGACCATTTGTAAAGTGAAGGTATATATATATATATATATGGGCAGTGTGTAAAGTTTAAGGTACACATGGGCAAAGAGTAAAGTGTAAGGTACAAACCTGATCATCCCACAGCGTATCAAGTAATATTTTGGCCTGAGTGCATGATTTACAAAAGGACCAGCCATGTAACAGTAGCAATGGCTTTAGAGGCCACAACTCCTCTGGTTTCAAAAGTTCTGTTAACTCCACAAATGAACTGTTCTTTATCAAGGTAATGGCAGTTTCCTGAAAAGTATATATGAATTTACACCAAAAGAAAACAACAACTTTTTACTTTATAAGAGGTATGATAATGGCAGTATGACAATAAATGTCTCAGATTTACAATTATCAAAGTATACATTTCCTCTACAAACAATGGATCAATCATTACTGTGTTAAGACAAGATGTACAGTGGACATATAATGATATGGACACATCTCACCTTTCCTTAAATAAATGATGTTATGGAGACCCTTTAGGAACCAATGTATGCATCGTGAATTAAAATGGTACAAAATGGAGGCATGTTTACAAAGAAGGAGTTTTAACTGCTGTTACATCAATTCAGTGCATGATATCAACCTGAAAATTTCTCAGATAAGTTAATTTTAACTGTATCTTTATAAATAGGTTATTTTTTTCCCTTCAATTTCTTCAGTGACAGCTATATATAATGGGGCTTTATTTTAAAAAATCTTTCCAGAGTTTTCCAGACCTAAAGTTTTAGACATAAACATGAGTTGACTAAATTTTGTAACCTATCCCCTTCGTTATATTGTACAGCCTCTCTATCCACCTGATTAAAAAAGTATTCATCAGTTTATACTTACTATTATCGTCTTTAGGAAATGCTCTTGTCTTTCTAAACAAAGAACAAATAACCAATGCAGACGTATTTTCACATCCGAGTTTTTTATCCATTGAATGAATTGTCTGCTATTCTCATCAAGACTACAGTCAGTGTAGTTACTAATAGGTACACATTTGTTTTCCAGCTCATATTCCAGTTTACAGAATTCCTCAACCAAGTAGGTACTGGTCTTTCCAATCATGGATGAGAGAATCCTGTCTTTGCTCAGCACATTGCCCACACCACCAGATAGCTCAAGGAATCTTGCGAAGAGCTCACGCAAAGGGACATAATTTTGATAAGGTTCTGGGTCGTACAGAGCTAAAAGTTCATATACAGTTCGTATTTTGTCTTCCCTTACTACTTCAGTCACCTCCTGGGTACAGAAATTGGAGTACCTATCCAAAATATTGTTAATTCCCTGTAGGTAAATGTTTTGAAGAATGTCATTATTTTTTTTAAAGAAAGTGTACTTCTTCTCTGCTAAAATTGAACGTATGACTGTATGTCCCAAGACAGGTTGTTCTAGTAGCTTGGTTTGGAGGAATTCCTGAAGATCTGCTGACAACGTGACCAAAGCTGCTTTGCTTGTACTTGTCAGGGAGGCTTCAGTAATACATTTATGATAACTATATAAATCCTAAAACAAAAGATGGTGTAAGAACATATTAATATGTCATCATATATCAAAATAGTGTAAATGGTAAAATGGTGCATAATTCAGGGATAAATGTTCATAACATCTCAATACTTTTCTGTTTTGGTATTACATGTACTTTTTTTCATTTTCAAGATAAAAATTAAGGAGAAGTTAGTTTATCAGAAGTCAAGACATTGATGAATGTCAGAATTATCAACAAACTTTTGATAAATCATATCACACAAATAAATGTTTGAAACTTCATCATAATCATGTGATAATAATAATAAACAGTATATTATCATTAATTCAGTACATTACTTCAGTAACATAGTAACCTACCTTGTAAATAAGTCACAAAGACCCTATCCTAATGACACCCAGGTTATTGCCATGATGTAGCACAATGATATCTACCCTGAAGTCACACACAGAAACTTCTCGTGATGTCGTAAACAGATAATAACCTGATGTCAAACAGATAATTACCCCAATGTCATACAACAATAACAACCATGTTACACATATACATGTAACTATCCTAACGTCACACACAAATAACTATCCAAATGTCACACACAAATAACTCTCATGGTGTCACACACTCTATCAACTACCCAGATGTCAAACACAGATGATTATTCAAACAGGCAATTGGCCTGATGTTATCCACAGATATCTAGCCTGATATCAAACAGATAACTATCCTGACATCACACACAGTAACCTACTCTAATGCCACCACACAGATAACTAAATGTAACTCTTTGTGTAACTACCTGTCACACAAACATCAAACCTAGTGACCTATCTTGAAAACAAACCTGATTACCTATCCTGCCAACAAACACAGCTATATACCCTGATAACAACCTCGGTGATTAGTCTGATGAAAAGCTTGCTAGCAATCAGACAACAAACCTGGGTAACTACTCTGTCAATCAACTCAGCTACCTACCTTGTCAATAAACCTAGCTACTTATCCTAACAAGAAACAGAGCTACCTTCTGTGTCAAAAACTCTGAATACCTACCCACACTACCAACAAACTCAGCTACCTCCTGTGTCAACAAATTCAGCATCCTACTAACTCAAACAACAAACATGGGTTCCTATCCTTACAAAAACTTTGCTACCTACACTGGAACTATTCTGGATAACTACCCTGACAAAAACCTTGCTACCTACACTGATATCAATTCTGGATAACTACCCTGACGAAAACCTTGCTACCTACACTGATATCAATTCTGGATAACTACCCTGACAAAAACCTTGCCACCTACACTGGAACTATTCTGGAACACTACCCTGACAAAAACCTTGCTATCTAACCTGATATCAATTCTGGATAACTACCCTGACAAAAACCTTGCTACCTAACCTGATATGAATTCTGGATAACTACCCTGACAAAAACCTTGCTACCTACACTGATATCAATTCTGGATAACTACCCTGACAAAAACCTTGCTACCTAACCTGATATGAATTCTGGATAACTACCCTGACAAAAACCTTGCTACCTACACTGATATCAATTCTGGATAACTACCCTGACAAAAACCTTGCTACCTACACTGATATCAATTCTGGATAACCACCCTGACAAAAACCTTGCTACCTACACTGATATCAATTCTGGATAACTACCCTGACAAAAACCTTAATACCTACACTGATATCAATTCTGGATAACGACCCTGACAAAAACCTTAATACCTACCCTGATGATACACTCAGACACATTGTGACAAGTTTCCAGGAGAAGCAGCTGGAATTCTGTGTTTTGTTGTAAAAAGTCACTGTTGCTTTTCTGTAAAAAAATTAATATATATATATATACGGTACAGTTTAATAACGTTGATTGGACATCTGTAGTTATCAGAATACATTATGCATTGGAGAGAGAGAATTTCCAACATGTTCCATGTGCAGAATGTCCAAAATCATTTACATGCTGATTAGGAAAAGCACAGTATATTTGATGAAAATACATTACCCTGACTTAAAATTATATGCTATCAATTACCTTGTCCCCTCCTTGACAGGATGAATCGAACTTCCGATACTCCTGGAGACTAAGCCATGACAACTGTTGAGGGGATGTCACTGAGCATTCTGGGCCAATACTGAAGCTGATAAAACAAAATTTCTTATTACAAATGCTGGTATAATGATATTGAATGAGAACTAGTTCCAACACCAGTTTGATTTTAAACATATTGTGAGTAATCTTCCTCATTGACACTCTTGAAATATAGATTAATCGTTCTTTGTATACCATTGGGAAGACATTAACATCACAATCACAACATTTTCTTAAATCTTAAAATCAACAATTATAATTATTTGTTTTTAAAAATGCCATCAAAGATTTGTAATACCTAGAGTCTGAGGACATTATTTTTATTTCACTGCCTCCACTACGATTCAAACCCCGGACCACTGGCTTCATTGCGTTACATTCAACCAATCAAACGAAAAAGGAGATCTCTCTAGCTGAGCAGCTAGTACTTAACAGGGTTAAAGATCGGATGAATTTTCATACAAACTTTTCTGAATTTACTTAATAACCTTGGAAATGATTAATCCTAGTCTGAAAAGTTATGATTATCTATCCTTTATGATTTTTTTCCTGTTAGATACAGGACAGGTGTAGCATTCATACGGATGATCATGCATATACAATGGTAGTTTGTTCTTTGAAAATTCCGCCATCATTAGACAAACCTTCTGTCATAAGGATTCTCTGTGATCTCCCGAAGTATGTCTTTGACATTCCTTCCAATCAGTTGTCCCTCGTGATGCAGCTGCTGAAGACAGGCGCGGGCAACCTCCCACTGTCCTAGGTACAGATTGTTACAGAAATACTGAAACAGCCTTTCAACCGAATATTGGCGCTCCTGTTTATAAGGAAAAACGTCTTTGTTGCCAGTTTTTTCCATCCTGAATCACGATAGCTATTATTTTGATAACGCCTTGGGTACAGCATCATATTTAAAAACTGCCATTGAAGTTCAGAAGTTCAATGTTTGTTATGATGGATATCGCCATCTTGTTTGATCACATGAGAGGTTAACCTTTGAACTGTGGCAGGATGATAATAATTCAATTACTGACAGGGGGAACGTTGGTACAAAATTCCAGGTTAACAATTAGGCATAAAATATAAAATAATTATGTTATTCATATGATACTCTTACTTGCTGTATATTTCATAAAAATCACAGCAAATAACACATTTTAAATTCCGGAAGTTGTGGTGCCATTACCGTTTCCATATAAATAGTTAGAAAACGGCGTGATATATCAAATAAACCAATCATAATCTCCGTTTCATTTTGCGGCAATTTCGAAGCATTGAAATGGACTTATTTTGCATTGTATTTTATTTATTGTGAATAAATAAAAATCAATGTAGCGGTTTCTGCAAAGATAGTAAGTATATCGAATTTTTATAACTGAACAATATTACAAGACTTCCATATGTAGGAAATTTCCAAATATACCATACATGGCGGGCACAGTGACAAGTTGAAACAAGTCCTGTGAAATATAAACAAAAGCACTACTCTATATGACATTTCCCCTGTGTTTGATAGGCTACGGGTAGACCTATTCCCAAATCGGAACAAGTCATCGTAATTCGTTTCCGAAATGGATTACTTCTACAAGATCAGCTGATTCGTAAAAGATATATAGTTTAGGAGCAGTTTGGTGAGGTCAAAAATAAGATATGGCTGGAGTGGTTGAAATTGATCCTCTCGCAGTTCCTGTGAAAATCCGAAAAAATGAGAATGGCACTGGTCACAGTCTAACAGGAAATAAGCTTGCTATCGACCTTGCATTCGGATTTGGGGATGCGCATAGACCCGTTTCAGCAACGGATGATTGCAAGTCTAAAGTGTAAGAAACAGCATGTTATGCAACATATCTCTATATCAATCTGCGTTTTAATTGAAAAAATAGAGCATACAATATTAATAAGGAGGTGTACACAATGTTGTATTTGAATTAAAGATAAGTAATCATTTGCCTTTATAACATGTAAATCTATTTCTTGCACATAGGAAATGTGAAATTTAGTTACTTCAAACGAATGAGACATTTCTATACAGATAACATCATTATAAAATTATCAATGTGCAGAAAATATGAAAATACATTTTCTGAATCTCATTTAAAAAAGGGGGCATTACAAAATCAATGCTTTTTTAGCATTCTTAAACATTATCCCTTTACATTAGCTTTTTATTCAAATGTTTTGTTTTTTTTTTAATTTGGAGTAGAATTAATTGAACTGGGTAATTAAGTACAAATACATTACATATATAACAATAATACCCAGAAGTCAGATTATTGCATTGGCTGGCTTGTAGTTAAATAGACACAGTATAACTGAATTTGTATATTGATAAATGTATTTAACACAAATGTTCAATGTAAATATAAACTGATATTTTATCATTTTAGGGGTAAATTATATAATCTCAGGATGTGGGAAATTTAACCTTTCCACTTCAAACATGAATTGGTCATTTAGTCTTCTTAAAATCAGTGCTAATTTTCCAAACTTCTTGCAACAATATATGCATAGCCTGTTTGTGTTAAACAGACACAAAGGAGTAATATCATTTCACCATTCTGTCCACACTCAGCTGTATGATATATATAGCATGTGGTCTCAAGTCTGAAACTCTTGTTGAATGAATGCACTGTAACAAACAACACCAATGTCACATTATCTCACAGGGTCCTGTATTGTTTACATTTATACAGACACTCTGATCAGACTACTTTTTCCTCCCTTTGATCCCTCTAACTAACTGCTAATTAGTCCAGGTATACAACTGTTTGACACCTGTATAATACCTATTGTCCAGCTTTGATAGATAGAGTTATTTTAACACAGTTTGTGAGAGAATATTGATGTGGTGCTAAAGTGCTCCCTTGGGGCTTGTTTGACAAAGCTAAGTGGAGATGACTATTACAATACAGGGACTGGACTAAGACATTCACTTCATGTTTACAGAACCTGTTTAACTGGACTTAAAACTATGTATAAGTCCTAGAGAAGCTAGAGTATGAGACATAGTGACAACATGCACATATATTTTATGCTGCTAATGTGGTTGATTCAAACGGGAACTGTAACAGCCTGAATACTTTTTTTTTGTGAGATTTTGATATTGCAAAAGCAGTTTCATACACACATTGTATATGTATATTAAGAATGAGGTGAGTAAGTTCCATGTTCAAGATATAAATGTATTTTTGATGTTTTCATCAGCCTGTTTGCATTTTGTCAACAGAACAGTGGCTTTGTTATGGAACACTTCTTATAACCATACATGTTCTACAACCTGTAGCATTCAACAGCTGGCTACTTTTTAATTCAAAGTTTTATTGTGAAAAAGTTATTAATAATGATTTATCATGGAGTATGATCAGAGAGGGCTTAATTATGTGATTTTGCTATCATTAGTCTTGAAACTGATGTAAAAGATTTGTTTGATATTATTTCAGCCCAAGGATGCCTAGTACACTTGATGATTTTGAAGTCATTTCAACAATAGGCTCAGGGTCATATGGAACGTGTCGCAAGATTCGACGCAAGAAAGATGGAAAGGTATGAATTACAACAACCAGCAGCCATTCAATATATTGAGTCAGTAGGATTTATATATATCATTTTTATTGACTTTGTTATTGTAAAGGCGTGGATATGTGTCCATCATCTCTGGTAACTGTCATCTTAATTTGAAGATTTTGAAACATCTGACCTGTATAATCTTGATGTAGATCAAGATCATTCATTTAAATAAATCCCAGCATGAAACTGACAAAATACAACTTTAAACATTTTGGTTATATTTTAATACATTTGACCTAAATGAACTTGACAGGATGTCAGTTATTTCAGCAACTTTTGTATATCATGTTGTTTTCCATCATACCCACATGCTGCAGGCCCAGTAGTTTAATCATTGACCTTTAGATTATTGACAACAAGATAATTGAACAGTTTTAAACATTTGGTGACTTGAAAGTGGTCACTCATTTGAATTATCTTTCTATAGCACTTCATATCAGCAAGCTGCTTACCAATGATCACTCTTTCTAATTGTGTTTCATATAGATGACAGGATGTGGTTTACTAATGAACTACATCTGAACAGTGTGTCGGATCCAAGATATACTGAACAAGTAGATGTTACATGTATTATAGTTAATTGATAAGGATACATGTACACTTACCTACATACATAATAAGACTAGTGGAATGAAGAAATGTTGATAGATAGTGATAATGTTCAGGTGTTGGCGTGGAAAGAGATGGACTATGGGTCGATGACAGAGTCGGAGAAGCAAATGTTAGTGTCAGAGGTGAACCTACTGCGTGAGCTGCGACATCCCAACATTGTGCGGTATTATGACCGCATCATTGATCGTAGCAACACCACCATCTACATAATAATGGAGTTCTGCGACCGTGGCGACCTCGCGTCCCTCATCACTAGATGCCGCCGTGACGAGTATGTTATAATCAATTATTTGTTTCAAACATGACAGAACACAGTAATGATAAATGTTTCCTTGTAAGAGGCAGCATCCCAAAGCTGTATCAGTGACACAATACAAAACAATGAGATGAAGCTCTGATTCACAAATTCAAATATGTTTTAAGCTACATCAGAATCCTAACTCTTGGGATTAAAGCAATACTATGTGAAATCAAGTCTCCCACATTTAGGACTTTGGTATTCATTTTAATGCACTGTCTTTATGTAATTTTTATAATTGTCTAGAATTTGGATCTGGAGCATCTAAAAGTGTATCAAAAGACTTCAAGTGTCAGCAAGCTTGCATCTTCAGTCACATTAAGCAAGAAAATCATTATTTGCCATTTTTCAGAGTGTACATGCAGGAGGACTTTGTGTGGAAGATTTTAGTACAAATCACCATGGCATTACAAGAATGTCATAGACGCAAGAATGGCAAGGCTGTGTTACATCGTGATCTCAAACCGGCTAACATTTTCCTTGACTCTGATGAAAATGTCAAACTGGGTGACTTTGGTCTGGCCAGAGTACTACACCATGAAACAAGCTTTGCTAAGACCTATGTAGGAACGCCCTATTATATGTCACCTGTAAGTTTCATAAGCTTAGAAAGTATCATACTTCTTTCATTGCCTGTTTATGTCTGAAGGTCATTAGAATGACGCAAGTAACTTTATAGTATAGATATTACAGTCATGTTTGATATCTGTTAATTGCCCGAGGCACAATCTCCTTGAAGTAGCTGGTGGCTACTTCCCTGAACAACATACAGGAGTCCCCAGTTAGTACTTCTGTAAGTCTTGATGTTGTTTATATAACACGTGTAAATGTTATGATAACTGACAAGCAGCTTATAAGATGTGCCTACCAGTAATTTTACTGAGAAATGAAAATGGTATTGACTACTTGAGTACCGGATAGAAATTGATGACACCTGTGTTTCAATGAGGATCAGTCACCTAATGTGTGATCACAAGTGATATAGATAAAGTGAATGTTTTGTTTATTTTCAGGAGTTGGTAAACAACATGTCATACAATGAGAAGTCGGATATATGGTCCATGGGCTGTATCCTGTATGAACTCTGTGCCCTCCGTCCTCCATTCACAGCATCAAATCAACATGAACTTAACAAAAAAATCAGAGTTGGTGACTTTGTGCGGATACCACACAAATATTCTGATGGGCTTAACAGCGTCATAGCCAAAATAATCAGAGTAGAGGTAAATTCACTCAAATATATCAAACTCCATTATATGGAAAAATCAGGAGGCAAACTATTAACCATTAATAGTATAGCATGCATTGAATACAGAACATTTCAGGCTCTACTATTTAATGGTGTGGGGTGGGTGAGAATATGACACTGCCAATGTCCTTCCCATCATACTGTGTCTGGAATCAATGTCATCTCTCTGCTGTCTTCATTTCTTTACTATAAAAGTCAGCTATAAGAAAAATCTTAAAAAGATGAATATTTGTTTATCTGTCAAGGTCATGGTTAATATTGTCTACGGAAAATAGTTGCACATGGAAATTTACATGGATGGGAGCAAGGGCAATTATGTCTACAAAATTTTCTAGATTGGTCTTGTGTAAAAATGTTATTTTTTTTCATTCTGATATCAAATCATGGTGAAAATGTATTAACATTTTCCTAACTCTATTTCCAAACAGGTTCACAAAAGGCCAACTATTGAGGAAGTACTTAATGATCCATTGGTGATGAGAAAACAGATATGTTTGGGTCTTGAGAAACGTGATGAGGGTCGTCGTGACTCCCGGCCAAGGTTGTCAAGCCCAGAGTCACGGTCACAAAAGGAGTGGGAGGAGGAGCTGCGTAGCAGAGAACGGAAACTAGACTTTAGGGAGAAGGAATTGGATGGTACTGGTGTTTTATATTCAGAGAAGGAGGTCAATTGATTGCTTAAACATTCCGTTTAAATACTTACTGTTGAGTACCAATGCAGTATTAACTTGTATTAATACACACTTATGTACTTAAAAATGGTAATTTTTTCAAGCTGAAATACTACATACTGTTGTATAAATATTCTTGTCCTCTTTGTACCATATTTGATCCTAAAACTATGATGAAGTGATGCAGTATGATAATAATTTTCTCTTTCATTCCAGAGAGGGAAAAACAATTTTCCTTGAAAGAAAAGCTTCTAGAAGAAAAAATGAAAAGGTATATATATATTTAATTTGTATATAATTTGTCTTGATTTGTGCCAAAAAGTACATACTTTTTAGGTGTCTGTCCTTGATGATAGATAGTAGCACTTGCTTGTGATTACTTGTTACTATTCAGCCTGCTTTCAAATTTCAAGGTCGATTGTAAATGAAATTGTTATTTAACATTTCATTCAGTTTGTTGTTATTTTTTAGAGTTAGACCTGGTATTAGTTTAAAATGTGCAATAAATGTCTCTAAGTGCTGTATTTTTGTGACAGAAACCTGACTTAATACATTACAGGGCAGAGATGCTGATCAGAGACTTTGGTCGAAAGGGCAGTATAGACAGAGATGTACTTCCAGCAGGGGATGCAGGTAGGCAGGAAAGCCCCATCCCAATCTCCCCTATATACCCTCCAACCAAAGGCTTTGTGTACCCAAACATTCCCACACGTAAGGTGAAGGTTGGTCGGTCCCGTACCCCTCTTAATCAGTTGGATCCAATATGTAACCGGACAGACACCACGCCTCTCAACCGGCTGGACCACATGTGTAATGGGAAGGACACTTAGATTTGTGTGACTGTTTGATACTACTATGTGCTTTAATACTCTAACATTTGTCAGCTGGAAATCACTTTAGTGTTTGCTCCCTATAAAAAAAGTTATACTGACTGGTGACTAGTGTCTTAATTATAGTGACACAGATGTTGTCTTTTCACCAGGGACTCAATTAGTTGTTTCAGTACAACCTAGATCTGATTTGTTTTCGTTTGATGAGCTTGATGATGTATCAGCAATGAAGTGCTGCTGTATGTTTTTGCAGGAAACTAAAGTGATTTCCCTTTTTCTGACTAGTTTGTAGTCTGTTTGTAACATGGCACAGATTTCCAACCCCAAAGTTCATATGTTTTATAATGTTCTGTTGGTTATCAACTTTCATGGAAGCAATCATAATTGTAATTTTTTCTTCTAAAATGAAAATTAATGTGATTATTGATAAAATACACATATGTTGGTGGTAGGGGTTAGGGATATGTGCCTGTGTGCATGTAATGCTACTGTACACTTACTGCTGTCTCAGCCTGTGTGTACTGCTATAACTACCTATATGTATTCTTTCTTTTGATAATGGTTGTGATAATGCATTTTTTTCTAGTTCCCTGCTTGCTTTTTTGTCAAGCTATTGTCTCTGTAGTTACCATACTCAGCTGCTACTTGTATGAAGTAACTTCACAGGACCCCAAATGGGACAGTACTCAAAATGGAAAGTATTTTTCATGTATTCAACAATTTTGAAATGCAAGTTAATAGTAAATGTTTTAAATGAAACTGTGATATACTTTTGCAGAATTTTTTTAAATGAAGAAAAAGTATATAAAATGTTGTTAGTTATTTTGTATACAAATGTTTATGAAGAGGTAATCCATTTTGGGTGCTGTTGCCAGAAAAAAATCAGGTGAACCTGGCTGTAATAAAAGGGCTTTGCAAATTAACAAAGGATCTATTGATATCTAAAAATGCACAAAATGAAAAGTTAAGATCTGTTGTTTCATCTTAGCAAATGAATTGATGCTACAGGATCAAAGTACAAAATGCTGATGATTTCCTGTGAAATCAGTGTCCTGTGATGTTATCTAATGTAGTTTACGCAGTGCTCTGTAATCTTTTTAACTGCGTGTCCTACATAGCCTTTGCGACAGCTTGGTCAATGGACATAATTTTTTGGGACTTGGGTGAAAAGATGTGTGGTTTGAAAATCCCTACCAGACTTGGTTTGTGTTTCTAAGGAAGCTGAAATCATGGATCCTCTTGTACTGTCGTGGTTGTGTCCTTTTGGTAAGATGCTTTAACGTTACAGCTTTGGATGCCATGTGGTGGAATTTCTATGTGGTGTTCAAGAAGGTAGCCACCAGATTCTACTGTCAAAGGAGTCTGCTCCTAAAAAGATCCTAGAGGGTTCATAAGGTGATGAGCCAAACAAACAGATCCCCTGAAATTAGTTTTTGTGGTAGCTATGTAGTGGTTTATCTGCAAACGTTTCTTGTGAGATGTTTTCTGTAGCATGGCTACACATATTGTCATACAGAATGATTATCCTGCTTGAAATCTTCATTCATGGTTATTTTACTCTCTAGATCAACCCATCCCTATAAAACATGATTTATCAGTAATCCTATTTGTAGATGATAAATACCTCTGTAGTTTACCTTTATTTGTTACTAATAGATTCTCCAGGTATATACAATCACATTGTCTTCTGGTGTACTATTCTACCATGTAAACCTTGCATGACAACATTTGAAGCTTTCACAGCTGTAACTTGTTGTAGTCATCATTGTACTTATCAACACCATGTATTCAATTGATTTAGATTTGCATTATCACCACCATTTTGTCTTTGAGGCTGTTTTCCATGGTAATTGTCATGTTGATTTTATCAAATATTATACATTATTCATTCCATATAGTTTGTACTCTTTCCATCATTTTATAAAATAAAGTTTTGCTTTAAAAATAAAATACAGAACTAAAGAAATTAAAACTGACAAACACTTGTGAGTTTCCACATAAAAATGTACTTCAGAGGTAAAATTTATGAAATTTATGAAAAACATTTTATGGTTTACACATGTTTTGTGCAATATTACTTTAGTTTGATCTCAATGCTTCAATACATAATGCCAGATTGATGTTGGTCTTAAATATGCTAGTCTTTTGGTAGATATTTACTTATATACATGTACTTTCACGTTTGCTAGTTATTATAATTATACATATACTTTATCTATTGAAGATATCATACTTTATTTAGCCAAAGATTAATCATTTTCGTGGTCCTCATAGAGTGAAAGTCACAAGTGGGTACTTGATACATTTTTACGTAAAGATATTGTCATATTGTTATCTTGATAATAGACACTTACATTTTGTTAATAATCATACCTATCGTCTTCATTCTTGTTTTTTTGCCCCTCCAACTTGTTTTTATGTTGTGATGCAGCATCTGTCGTCCCACTTTGCGGAAACTGTTCCCTTTAAAGAACTTCTCAATAACAAAGTGGCCCTGAGTAATGATATTTGGCCAGTAGCTTGCCTGAATAAAGGTCAACAAAGTTTGTTTTAGTGAATGACCTTGACCCCATTTCAAAGTCACAGTAGTCTAATGTGTAGCAACATTTCAGTAACCAAGAGACCCCATGTCATTATATTGTACCAAAAGCATGCTTGTAGGAATGAATGAAAAGTTTGCTCAAATAAGTTACCTTAACCAACTTTCAAGGTAACAAGTGTAAATTGCTTTAAAATCTTCACACAACTTCTTGATAACAAAGGGTCTCTTGGTCATGGTATCAAGCCAATAACATGTTTGGATAAAGGGCTACAAAGCTTGTAAATGGGTCATAGGTTCAAATCTTTAATAACTTAACAATAACCAAGAAAGCTAGAGTTTTGTTTCACCTGATGCTTATATAATATGAAGCAGGTGCTTCTTGTTACAGATATAAACATGGTAGTTATTAGATTTATTAGCAGGTGGGCAATACAGGCCCTGAGGGCCTCTTATTTTGTTCTACTAATTATGATTTGTTCAAATTTTGGAATCCTTTACATAACTATGCAACATGACATGATTTGATGCATAATAATACTTTGTGTTTGTTTACTTTATTGATTATTAAAACTTCTGTGTTATTTGATATAATCTGTAGTTGTGTATGTCTTGTGCATGCTTACAGCTTTATTCTCACTATTTACTTGAGACATTTTTTTGTTAAACTGTTGTCATAACTGCCTGTGTCCGAGTCCAGGAAAAACCATGTCTGGGTCTGCAGTCTATACTACAGTTCATGTGTCACTATTAGATAGCACTATACTGTCTATGTTACTAGATACCACTACACTGCTTATATGTGAGTTACTTACTAGATATCACTGCTCAAGTCTTGGTCACTACTCGCTACAATTACATTTCTCATGTCTGACTCACTACTCGCTACAATTACACTTCTCATGTCTGACTCTCTACTAGATACATTTTCACTTCTCATATCTGACTCACTACTAGATACATTTTCACTTCTCATATCTGACTCTCTACTAGATACATTTTCACTTTTCATATCTGACTCTCTACTAGATACATTTTCACTTCTCATATCTGACTCACTACTAGATACATTTTCACTTCTCATATCTGACTCACTACTAGATACATTTTCACTTCTCATATCTGACTCACTACTACATACATTTTCACTTCTCATATCTCACTCTCTACTAGATACATTTTCACTTCTCATATCTGACTCACTACTAGATACATTTTCACTTCTCATATCTGACTCACTACTAGATACATTTTCACTTCTCATATCTGATCACTACTAGATACATTTTCACTTCTCATATCTGACTCACTACTAGATACATTTTCACTTCTCATATCTCACTCTCTACTAGATACATTTTCACTTCTCATATCTGACTCACTACTAGATACATTTTCACTTCTCATATCTGACTCACTACTACATACATTTTCACTTCTCATATCTCACTCTCTACTAGATACATTTTCACTTCTCATATCTGACTCACTACTAGATACATTTTCACTTCTCATATCTGACTCACTACTAGATACATTTTCACTTCTCATATCTGACTCACTACTAGATACATTTTCACTTCTCATATCTGACTCACTACTAGATACATTTTCACTTCTCATATCTGACTCACTACTAGATACATTTTCACTTCTCATATCTGACTCACTACTAGATACATTTTCACTTCTCATATCTGACTCACTACTAGATACATTTTCACTTCTCATATCTGACTCACTACTAGATACATTTCACTTCTTATGTCTGATTCACTACTACATACATTTTCACTTCTCATATCTGAGCCAACCATTGTTCATGTGGGAGTTACTACTAGATATAGCTACTCATGAACAAGTCACTACTAGATACTTTTCATGTCTAAGTCACTACATGTAGATACCACTACACTCACTTGAGTCATTACTAGACATATCTACACTACTCATGTCTAAGTCACTACATGTAGATACCACTACACTCACTTGAGTCATTACTAGACATATCTACACTACTCATGTCTAAGTCACTACATGTAGATACCACTACACTCACTTGAGTCATTACTAGACATATCTACACTACTCATGTCTGAGTCTCTACATGTAGATACCACTACACTCACTTGAGTCATTACTAGACATATCTACACTACTCATGTCTAAGTCACTACATGTAGATACCACTACACTCACTTGAGTCATTACTAGACATATCTACACTACTCATGTCTAAGTCACTACATGTAGATACCACTACACTCACTTGAGTCATTACTAGACATATCTACACTACTCATGTCTAAGTCACTACATGTAGATACCACTACACTCACTTGAGTCATTACTAGACATATCTACACTACTCATGTCTAAGTCACTACATGTAGATACCACTACACTCTCTTGAGTCAATACTAGACATTTCTACACTGCTCATGTCCGAGTGATTGAGTCATTCCAAAATACCATTTCAATGCTCATGTCTGTGTCAGCTATAGATACTCAGAGTCACTACTAAATGCAAATACCATAACAATCTCATAAGCGAGTCTCTACTATATACCACTACACTGCTAGATATTATACCACTACACTGCTAGATACTATACCACTACACTGCTAGATGTTATACCTCTACACTGCTTGATATTATACTGCTAGATATTATACCACTACACTGCTAAATATTATACCGCTGCACTGCTAGATATTATACCACTACACTGCTAGATATTATACCACTGCACTGCTAGATACTATACCACTACACTGCTAGATATTATACCACTTCACTGCTAGATATTATACCACTACACTGCTGGATATTATATCACTACACTGCTAGATATTATACCACTTCACTGCTAGATATTATACCACTACACTGCTAGATATTATACCACTACACTGCTATATATTATACCTCTACACTGCTAGATATTATACCACTTCACTGCTAGATATTATACCACTACACTGCTGGATATTATATCACTACACTGCTAGATATTATACCACTTCACTGCTAGATATTATACCACTACACTGCTAGATATTATACCACTTCACTGCTAGATATTATACCACTACACTGCTGGATATTATATCACTACACTGCTCATTAAATTAAATATTGTTAGATCACTGCTCCTATGTGTGTCACTTCTAGATAATAATATACTGTTTTTATACCAGTTCAATACTCATGTTTGATTCACTCCTAAATTACACTACATTAAGTCTGAGTCAATACTGAAACCATAACACAACTCTATTAGAAGTTATAATGCAAACCAGTCACTTGAGTTTGACCATTTGCCTTGTTGACTCCTTACCAGTAGGTGTACAAACCACAGGATCTTTATGGAATACATTGCCTTGCAATCTTTCATACATTTGCAAATTTCATTTACCAGACTTGGTAATAAATTATATGTTCTAAACATTGAATTTTAACCTAATTTGAACTTGAATTGGCCTGTGGCACAGACCTGAAAATTGTTCAATTGCTTGTTTGATTTATTGCCATGGGAACAGCCAGGGTCATTTTGAGGCAGAGTATCCCTGTAGTAGCTAGTGGCTACCTTACTGAACAAGATATGAGAGGCCTGTTAATTCAATCCAGAGCAAATAGTTTAAAGTGTCTTGTCCAAGGACACACCAGGACAACACAGATTAATCTGTTTCCTTCACTCCTGAGAAATACTAATTGTCGCACTTCGGATCTTCACTTGTAGTCCAATGCTCTGAGCTATCACAGGTCCTCCTTGGAAATAGTACACTAACATACTTACCATCATGTATGTTGTCATAGAATTGTATTGACTTAGTTAGATTTATGCAGGTACATGTATGTAGGACAGCGGATGAACATTAAGTGGCATCTGCATGTATAAAATGTGTAACATTACATAACCTGAACCATTAGATTCCTCTTTAATCAGGACATTTAACATTTATATACATCATCAATATTTTCTTGCATATCCCGGCCAAATATGTGACCTCGGCACCTTTCACACCTTCGGAACCATGTTGGTAGTTGGTCATACAGCTAGGTACCAATTCAGATATCAGAGATGTTTGACATACTTAGACGAAATTGTCATCATTTACTTGCATCACCTTGGCAGACTTTGTCAGTGTGACCTGTATCTACAGTACATGAACATACAAGGACCATCACATTTGGTTTTTAAATAGGAACTGCTATTTGTGTGGTGGGAGGCCATGATAGCTCTGTTGGTTACAAGAGAAGACTTACCAACCTAATGTGAGAATTCTCAGGAGCCTGAGATCACAGAGCATCCTGTGCTATCATAGTTGTGTCCTTGGGCACAACACTTTATGTCACTGTTCCAGCTGGCATGTCTCTTGCATTGAGGTAGTCACCAGCTACGTACGTCACCCCAAATTGACCCTGACTGTTAATGGGCAATAAATCAAGCAAACAAGCAATCACTTGACATTATATATTGTAAATAAAAAGAAATTAGTTATGAAACAGATTAGATCGATTTATTAGCTCACCTGGACCAAGAGTGAAGGGGAATTTTTTTTTTTAAGTGATAGGTCTTAGGGGGCCCCCTGTGGCAGTAGGGGCAGGACCCAATATGGAAATTAAAGCAAATTCTTTACAATTCTTCTTCTTTATGAATGTCAGAATTCAGGCCCAATTTGGTGTGAAACAATCTTAGCTAAAGGAGACTTTTGTTCAAATGGTTTTGTATACCCCCTGGAGATAGAGGGGTGAGGCCCAATGGGCAAATAGGAATAAAATTTTGGATTCCTTTACCTTTAGTTTGGATAAAGCAATTTCAGCCAAACAATGCTTTCTAGCCGTCTTGTTGTAGGATTCCCTGTTGGCTGGAATAGAACCCACCACAGTTCCTGATTTGGTATGAAACAGGAGTGTTTGATGTGGTAGATTATCCTATTTCTTTTCCCATTTAATTGGGAATCACATCCTGTACACTGGTGGAAGATGAGTTTGCTCTCAACTTTTTCACCCAAACACCATTGTATTGTGTAACCATTTACTTTTCAGACTTTTCGCTGGAGAGTAGGTCCTCTTGTCTGTCGAAGGGGAAAAAGGATCCTGATACGCCAAAGAAAAAAGTCACATTTGACATGTATGGAAAGGAGAATTGTAGAAATAAACACACTGTGCCATCATCTGATACATACTTCTCCACTTTTACTGACTTAGAAGGAGATTACAATGACTTGTATTTGAATGAGCTTGCAAAACGGAGGGAACTGAAGGAAAAACTTTTCAAGGCTAAAGCCAGAGCAATGGAAATACGAGGAATTGAAGATGACATACGTCCACGGACTAAAAACTCCAATCTCTTGTTCTTTAGATAATGTTTGTCGTTACTAGTGCTTTATATTAATGGTGACATTTTATACCCAGGTATTTAAGCTTTAAAATGCAGTCTGGTTTAAACTGTATCTGTTACGTACATTTACTTAAAAATTATAAAATACAAAACAGAAGTGCATCTATGGTTGGATATTTATCCTGTTAAATGCTTTCCGTTACAGTACTACAATTCTTATTAATAATTGTCAATGATGAAGTACATTCCATCCGTAAACAGTCCGTCCCTATTTAATATTTCTCATAACTACTGTACATTCCACAATTTATATTTTACCTATGTAATTTATAGCTGGATGTCTGATTTGTTTATCAATCGGTGAAGGTTACGTTTCAGTGAAAACAATATTAGCTAGGAAAAAAAATCTTAATACAAGACTCCAGATAAAATGGTATCCATTGTAATGCAGAGTTTAGGAAGATGGTTTGCTCAAGTTACATATCAACTATATTCTTTAACAATAAATTCTTATATCATTTAGTGTGTGTGACAGTAGGACTTGGTTATTGTACATGTACATAAGTAATAGATGAGATGTCGGATCAACTGAGGATGAGTGTGGTAAGGCTGAACACGAGAGCATGTGAATGAGGTAAGGATTAGATTAAGTATTTAGTGAGCAAATGATTTGTGAACTAGGCAAGAACTAGATAAATTTTCAAAACTAGCCAAGAATAGGATAGTAGTTGTGGGCTTGGTACAGATAACACAATAAGTAATTTGTGAATCAGGGTTAAGTTGGGTGTGAAACTTACTGTAAGGTGAAGATAAAGTGATCTGTGTACTTTCTACCTAGAATTTTAAGCTGAAAGAAAGTAGACACCACTAGATGTGTATATAGTGACAGAATGGAGTAACAGAACATTGAATTAGTGCTAGCTTGTGTAAGGAGTGAATTAGTGCTAGCTTGTGTAAGGAGTGAAGAAATATTCTTAATTTATTGTTCAGACTTTGTCTACAATAATAACATGTGTGTGGGCAGTAAAACTGTCTTCATTGGAGGTACTTAATAAAGGTAAAAAGAGTAAGCTGGGTTGTAACATAACACAGATAGGAGATACCTGTACAGGTAAACAGTACAGCTGGGTTGTAACATTATACAAATAGGAGACACCTGTACAGGTAATCAGTACAGCTGGGTTGTAACACTACACTGATAGGAGACACCTGTACAGGTAAACAGTACAGCTAGGTTGTAACATAACACTGATAGGAGACACCTGTACAGGTAAACAATACAGCTGGGTTGTAACATTACACAGATAGGAGACACCTGTACAAGTAAACAGTACAGCTGGGTTGTAACATTACACAGATAGGAGACACCTGTACAGGTAAACAGTACAGCTGGGTTGTAACATTACACAAATAGGAGACACCTGTACAGGTAATCAGTACAGCTGGGTTGTAACACTACACTGATAGGAGACACCTGTACAGGTAAACAGTACAGCTGGGTTGTAACATTACACAGATAGGAGACACCTGTACAGGTAAGCACTACAGCTGGGTTGTAACCAGGTAAACAGTACAGCTGGGTTGTAACATTACACTGTTGGGAGATACCTGTACATGTAAACAGTACAGCTGGGTTGTAACACTACACTGATAGGAGACACCTGTACAGGTAAACAGTACAGCTGGATTGTAACATTACACTGATAGGAGACACCTGTACAGGTAAACAGTACAGCTGGATTGTAACATTACACTGATAGGAGATATCTGTACAGGTAAACAGTACAGCTGGGTTGTAGCATAACACTGTTAGGAGACACCTGTACAGGAACATACCTTCATTTTATAGTTTGATGGTTTAGATCATGTGTTGCTGTAGAACACATTGTTATATTTTTAACTAAAACATTCATTCTACAGGGATGAACTTCTGAAGGGTATATTTGTGCCAGGTGTTTTCACCCTTACCCTGACATTCTAATAAAGACTTAAAAACAACTTGATTTCATTGTTTCTTTGTTTTTATCCGTCTGCCATAGAAAATGAGGTAGTAGAAAAGATGTTTACAAATAGTTCTGTATTATTTTTGTGCCGCTGTTATTTTTCTGTGCAGGATATCTATCTCAACAAGCCATAATATCACAAGTAAACTTGCCCACATTTCACCTACTTCAGGTAAAACAATTTTTATTAGCAACGTCCTGATGAAGGCCACAAAGTTATGGGCCAAACCAGTCATCAATACAAATAAAATCAGAACTGACTTTGAACTTGTTGAAATTGATATTCTGTGTAGCTTGTCCCTATTCCTCAATTACCCAGTCACCCTGCATACCCAGTACAGTATCCAAGGTATCCATGTGAGGAGTATAAGGAACACTCTGGACCTGCTCTATTGTAGTAGAGTTGGCTTTATTCACTGATGGTTATCCATATTAGGAGATGGGTGGAGGAGGATATCAAATTATGCTTAATACTTTCCATCTGGTCCCAATACAGCTCCAGTAACTTCCGAAGAGATTTTCATCACACTTTACACATAGATCAACTACAACCATACCTAAAGGTCACAGCTACAATCTAGTATTTGTAGAAACCTTTCATCGAATTTAGTCACATTATTTTAGCAGCTTCATTTGTGGACAGATTTTGATCTTACTTTAAACAAAAGTCATCCACAATGTCTGACAATACTCAGCTCATAAAAGTTATCTTGTAATGGTCAAAGTCACCATTACCCAGTACTTTTTATAGAAAATCAACTAGTTCTACTTCTAGAAATTTGTCAATCAATTTTTACTTCTGTATATGGAAGGAACTGGAAGGCATTCATGTCTCAGACATTTTCCAGTTTTCTAATGTTTCGTTTGAAAATAGTTACACTGGATTTTGTATTGGTTTAATAGCACCTAGAAAGAAAGTTTGATGCATGTACAGTGAAATTAATTAATGTGGCAGTGTTAACCTACAACCTATGGACAAACCCGAGATTTATACGAAGATTTACACCATTATTAAACAAAAGGCCAAAATTTGTTAAGAATGGGTCAGAATGAAAATTTCATTCACAGAAGAAAACTTCAGTGGCTATTAGGGATATATATAAAGATTGATTGAAACAGTTTCAAGAGGGTAGAGGTATCCTGACAAAAATTTGTATGCTATTTTTCTAACAAAGGGACATATATCCATAGGACAGGGCAAGAATGAGAAATACCTAGATGCCCAATGTCAGTCTCATATAGGAGGAGATATCTGCACAAGATTCCTTCTTCAGCCTGACCCATAGGCTTAATGGTCACATGACTAATCTCAATGGAATTTCAAGTGCAAAGAGCCTTAACTCCATAATTTACATCAAAGGGTCCCTTTGTCAAACTCATTTGAGATCTTATTGATGTAAAGCTGCATACCAAGTTTCATTGAAATCTGTTTATATCTTCTTAAGTTATCATGTACACAAAAGCCATAACTCTGCAAATCATAAAATTAGTCTCATTTTTTAACTCGTCCAAGATCTTATTGATACATAGCTGCAGAACCCTGTAACTAGTGATGGGAATCAGTTCATAATTGAAAACACAAAACTGATTGATTTTTTATTTTAATAAGTTTTCAGAATTAAGTACTTCTGTAGAAAATAGATATTGTCAGGTGCACCATTGGCCTTTTTGAGATATATGCATTCTGTTTACCTGCCACCATATTTTCATACTTTTTAATACTGAACACAAGACAATTTCATGGTCACTAACATACTTTATGTCTTAAGTAAATTGTAAACTTGTAAACTACCAATGAAAATGTTAAAAAATCAAAGAATAAAGACTTCTTGTTTTCAATCAATTGGCTTTTCAAAATCATCCTTTATGTTTTATTATTTTCTTTGACTAACTTTCGTTTTTTTCTATTATAGGCCCACCGATTGCCATAACTTGAAACTCCAATGAAATCTGTCCCATTGTCAAAGCCATGCGAGATCTTATTTACATACAGGCACTTACCAAAAATGTTCATCAAAATAGGTTCAAATATTCTCAAGATTGTAAAACTGTGTTAGGAGATCTGGAAGAAAATTTTATGACTGTTGGACAATACCATATCACAATATCTCTTCAAAATTTCTTGACAGCATATAAAAGTAGTTGCTGTCAGCCATCTTGAATTTTTTGTAATACATTTTATACTTAAAATATAAATAAAATACTGTCAAAACTACATCAATTATTTTTCAAATCTTTAATAACCTTTCACAATTTACATTTTATCAATTGACTATTAAGTCTGCTGATAAGACTGTCAATACTACTAGTCACTGTGGCCATATCTATTGTAAACAGTCCTTGTATTTCTTTGATACAACACAAAAAGATTGAAATAATCTATACACACAAACATGGAGCTTATTCCATGCCTTCATGATCCTCCAAATCACCAATATTTGTTACCAGGCCCAAGATCTCGTGGAGGAAAACATCCAGACTTATTCCTGAATGTTGACATTTCCTTATCAATCCACCATTTATCAACACATCCCCCAAAGAAGAACAAAGTTGTTACACTTCCCAGGTGGAGGTAGTACTTGAAGAAGCGTGGGTTCAGCATCACGCTTCTTGATCTTGCAACAGTACCAGCAGCCATCTTAAAAGAAAAAAAATAAACAAATATGAAATTTCTGTCTAAAATGCATACTTACATGTTTTATAATACTAACTTCCAAGTGTCAAATCCAGCAGCCAATCTGCAGTTCACTTTCATGAGTCCTTCTCAACTTAATTGCTAAAAACAATGGGTCCCACAATGGAAAATTTTAGTATTTTCAGAAATTCTATGAGTTCCAAGTTCCATGAGTAAAGGACTTGAGACTCACAAAGATATTTATCACTGCAAATCAACACACTGTAATATTATTTGATGAGGAATACCAACGAAACTGTGTAAGTTGGACAAAAGAGAGCAAAGGCTGTTCTGTTTGTTAGGCAACTGATAGTTGTCCTGATCTTAGTATCATGAATAGAAATCTAAGAAGGTGGCCATTTTTTCCTGTGATCTGATAACCTTGGTTGGTCAAATGACTAATTGTAAACTTACCAGTGTTGTCTAGATTTTCATACACATATCAGTACTTACACAAGTGAATTGTCAAATTTTCGAGACAATGTGCCTGTTTATCAATTCATGTAATATTTGTGACTTGATAAAGGGGCAGATTGATATGAAAATTTGACAATTCAATTGTCTGTACTGTCGTTAATACTTCATTGATCATATATCTATTCCAGTAATATACATCCAGGACCCAGTACCTGGACCATACTGTCAATATTACTTACTAGATTATATACATATACAAAACATAGTGAAGGAAGACTTATCGTTGGCCTTTGAATTGATCTTGACCTTAAGTCATTTGATTTTCAATTAATTTTATGATATTTTAACCAAAAAATAAAGCAATAAGAAATCTAAAATTGAACCTTGATCTTTGACCAAACTTTGACTATTGGTCTATCAATTCCTTCCAACATTGATTCACTATATCATTACAAATTGTTTACCAGTTAATAGATACAAAATACAAAGACCTTGACATTTTTCCTAAAGCAGCTGATTTGATGAAATGTTTACCACTTCAAAGACAGTAACAAAATGTTTACCAGTTAAGAAACAGTATTATATATACCTTGATGAAACTAGTATTTGCCAAACTAAACAGTTGCCCCTTTTGCTTTGGCTTCTGCTCTTTTCTTTGCTTTGAAGATTCTTGTGTGATTAAGATCCCAGCCAATGTATGATAGAACAAGTGTTGGATACAGAATCGTTGCAAAATATGGTCTAAATTTCCTCAAAACGAGAAGGTCCATTGATCTGTTGAAATGGAAAAAATAATATCAGTTAAAAAAAGTTATCTTAACCAGAGATCGCAGACGGATAATGGCACCCACCATGGAATGACTAGATCTCAACAAGACCAACTTTTTCTGTGACTTCACCTTCTTTTCTCCTTATTATTTGATGATTCTCAAAATCAAAGATGACTACCTGTAGACTATTTTGTTTCACAGATCAGTCTCACGAATTAAATGGGCACAACAAGGGACCATAGGAACATACATCAAAGCTGTACATTACAATCTATCAGATGATTGGCTTAAATGTAGAGATATCCTTTACAACCACTGTATATTTCTGTAATGCAAACCTCTGCCCCTACAAGCCTTTATACAGTTAGCACTTATGTCCACAAACAATTAAAGAGATCCCAGTTGATTGGTCTTTATTCAGTCTTTGAAAATTGCATTCTTCTCCATTTTCTATTTGTTCCTCATTCATGCTCTTTACGAAATTTGAAAACTCCTCTAAAAAAAACAATAATCTTTGTTTTATGTAGGGCCAGAATGATAGGTATTAAAGTTTCTATTCATAAGAGCACAGCTCTCTCAGGGAGCCTGTGGCACCAAACATAAGTCTTCAAATACAAGGAAACAATACATTAAGCTGTGTTACTTCCTTTCCGATATAAGGTACCATTGAAAATCACATGGAACTTAAATAAGAAACTGTACTCCAGTTGAAAAATAGTCTCCCTCAAACACCTCTTGAAAATTTCATGAAGAGCTCAAATGGCTTGGTAACCAAGATAAGAGTTATTTCCCTGATATGAAAGTACCGAAAATGTTGCTATGGTATACAAAGTATTCCACTTAAACTTAATTATGACAAGCTAACCCTCCATTCATTGTTGAAAGAATATATAATTTCATTCATTTAAAAATATTTCACACTTAATATAATTATACTTTCCAGATATTGATGTTAATTTGGAGTGCTTTCACTATGCATATATTCTAGTACAAGAAGAGCAATTTTGTAAACATGATTTAAAAACTGAGCTACACTTAGTTTTGCACACAAAATTGCCATCTGAAAGTCACCAAATCAATATTGAAATCAAATTTTCATCAATGCAACAAGATTCCAAATTTTTACTTGCTTTATTCACAAATGAAACTTTAATGCTAAGGTACACTACATGATATATATTCCTTGTTTCAGTCTGATATTTTGGTTTTAGTAATTATGAAGCTTCACCCTTTTTAGGCTTTGCCTTATTCATGTTAGACAGGTTTTGCAAAACCCTGTACATGGATAATAGTACTGCAATTGAGGGATAGTTACTGATTTGATAAATCAGTTAATTACTCCAATGCAGAATCATTTTGGAATAGAAACATGAAGTTCTTTTACAATTTTACATTGAGTGCAAATGTCATAAGTAAGCATGAAATTACCCGTGTTCTGTTTTAAGCCACATTATACTTAGTTCATTAGCAGTGCAGGTGATAAAGTTTGCGATTTTTACATTAAACGAAATAACTGATTCACTTTTTGTGTAGAAACGCAGTGTTGCATTGGTTATTGGATAATGACGAAAACAGGACGACACTTTTTGTTGCAAACGTTCAAATTTCAAAATGACTATGCAATTCAGCAGCTAATTGATTACTCAAAGCGATGTGTATTCTGAACTATTCCTCGAATGCAGAACTATTACCTATATGCGGAGTTGTGTTCAACCTAATGGAACGCCAGCATAATTCAGACTACTTGTATACGGAAGTGCCCAACAAACGTTATCAAACCTGTGTATTTCTTCCAAACTTGCTTAACAAACGAAAACCCCAGGCCTCCACAAGTTACAAAACACTGACTGTGGAAACCCAGTCTCGCGTCGAGTCAAGGTCACGTCGTCAACTACAGCACCGTGTTATGCAAGTGTGTTGTGTAAACGATCGTCAAAGTCTTTACCAAACATTACATTAAGTACAACACTTCTAGCATAAATATAAATTGTAGACAATATTCAGATATTTTCATCGAAAAACATTTATAAAACCAGTATGTCAATACACGAAACAAAAGTTTTACCGTTCGCCATGGACCGGAAGTAGTATAATGAGCCACAGCGAACAAGAAGAGAATAAAAAGCAACAAGAGCGAATAACAACAAAAGCCTATATCAGTGTCAATGTTCCGTCGTTAAGACTTTATTTTGTTATCAAAATACTTCATAAAATAAATGTGTGCGGTTTTCCAGAAAAAAAAACTTTTTAAAAATCCAAATAACTTTAACATCTGTACATTTAACAGAGTTGTCGTTCCTTCTGTACAAGTTCAGAGTATAAGTTGACTTACTAGCTTCGGCTGGTAGAAATTTCTCTTTGGTCGAATAATAGAGTGTCTGGGAAGAGACCAAATAGTCGCTAGTTCGAACTCAGCTGGGCGCAAGGTAATTTCTATACCTCCTTCCTGTTCCACTTCCAAAAACGAAGTCGATACCGTGTGTGATCTATACACATTGCAATTAGTTAGGGTTGGTCAATTCCCACGAAGTGTCTCTTTGTATCCATCCTCGGTACTCCATGGGTTACGATCACTTTCACTCTCTGCACCCGTGGAACATGTCATAGCAGAAATGAGAGTATGGAGGATGCGATACACCCAACAATACGATAACTAGGATTAAACTGGGGTACCCTGTACTCTAACAAAATACACGTTGACTTTGATGTCAGTTACTAAGCTACAACAGATGGTATCAAATGCCCTCTTCACTTTCTAGGTCATGTTTGGTCACTGTGCTGATATTAGTGAACTATCAAGATCAATGAATAAGGTTTCAGTGGAAAATCTTGTTTTGTTAACTTTTTCTTCTGTTAATCATCTTCAAGTGACGGGAAAGACAAATGTGATTGGTGAATGTCCATCTTTAAAAAGTTTGTCTGTACATCAACAACTGACATATTTGATACAAGTTTATTGTAAAAGCAGCTAGATAAAATAGTCAATTACCCATGTCCATTTACATGTCGGACTTATAGTATTTGTATCAACGCCTTCCAGAAATTCACTTACCAAATCCTAAAGTAGTCTCCCAATGGATTTACGATATTGTATACAAAGGGGAAATGTCCGAAACCACACGTCGGGTCTCCTTTGTTAGTGTAATAGGTCATGTTCCGTTTCTAATCTATACTAATGTATAGTAAAACTATTTGCTGATTAAACGTGTTCGAATTAGATAAATTTACCGTTGAGAACTTAAGAGAGATGAATGGATAACGTAAACAAGACAGTAAGAGTTAACACACGATTAAAGGAAACTTGAAATAAGTCCCATGATTCTCTGTATCTAAAAAGTCTGATTTATTTCACTTCATTCCTCTTCAAGTTTGATCGTAATTGTTCTTAATAATTTATTGCATTGACAGATGAATTGATAAAACATACAGTTTCCGTATGTTCTGTCGCGCACGTTTCAAGAAAGAACGGTATTAAACTGTGTTTATCATAATCAAGGGCCAAATGGCGGCCAGCTTGTTCTTGCAACAAAAAATAAAGGAAACTAATATACTAAATTTGAGAATGAATAATCCACCAAGTATTTCTTAAGACATGCAGATAAAAGCTGTAACTGTTGAAAGCAAACATGGTCCCTTGTTGGTCTGTCTTTCTGATAATCCAATAACGAACAACACACATGAAGGAACCAATGACAACATGTATATGAATTATGACAACGATCATTCCAAAACTTCACAATAAATAGCGACCATCAAACGTTAACTTTCTAAACCCAAGACGTTATCTTTTGGTTATTCTCACGTTCCGATCAGCCCGAAAGTTGGCAACACTATATAGAGATCAAAAGAGGAACCTATATTTATGGAACCTGAGAAAGGTCGATTCTGTACTTCTCAAAACAAAGCGATAACAAAGTTTCGTTGTCAAAATCTAAAATGACTACTCGTGTTAGTAATTTTATCTTTCATAACATAAGACCAAGGAGGACCTACATATGAAATGTATGAAAGATCTGTCCAGCATTTCACAAGAAAATAAGAAAGAGGATAACGAGAATTGTTTAAGGACAAATCACGGATGCATGTTGACTTGAATAGCATGTCATCTGAGGAAGAAGTAAAAGTGAAAAATAAAGAGAGAAAGAAGAAAAAAGTAAAGATTTATGTATAGTCTTCATTAATAAACGAATCTTTAGTTAGTTTTAATGCCATTGGATATCATAGTTTTCATTAGAGGTAGGCGAGATTCTTTATCAATGTACCAAGCTAGCCTTCCGGTTAAGTTCAGGTTTAGAGACAAACACTTTGCAAGGACCTTTTCTGACATGTTAGTATTCATGTTTAAGACATACCCTTTCTGGTGTGTCAAAACTCGTTTAGAGTGGGACACATTGCTGTGTCCGCTATCTGACTATATACAGCTCGACACTTGACTGATTAAAACAATTGAATAATGATAATGAAAAAAAAAACCCCAAAAAAAACACACAGAAATGAATTATTTCAGAACAAAACACAGAATTTTATGTTATTTTCCTTTATGTCTTGATATACATGAATTAAAAATGCATAAAACTAATGGTTGGGTTTAAAAACTGTGTGTTTACAATTTACTGACATCGTGTAAAAAGGATGAATTTGTTACACCAATCCTTAAAAACACGATAATGTAGTCCGGTATTCGCCAATGCAACAGTGTCAACTGAATGCTATATTAATATATTGACAAATTAATCAACTTCCTTTGAGAGACTCGATCATAGAAATGTTTCGGAATTGAAAGATATGCTGAGCCCATGTTTTAGTGTCGTGCCATTTTTTTTTTTTTTTTTGCAATATGTCTGTTCCTTTATGAGAATGCCGCCTGATGGTTTCGATGTTATTAACTTGGTTTTCATTTGCAAACATGGCTTTATTTATGTGGATTGGCAAAGATTTACATAGCGGATTTATTCGACTAAGCAGAAGACACTGATCACGAAACCGCTCTAAAATTTGCCGATGGCCATTATTTGCAAGAAAACTAAACCAAAACTTTATCACAACACCTCAGTGTAGAAGCCACTGAATGTAACACGGCACCTCAAATCACATACGAATAAATAAACCGAGGACATTTATAATTTGTATTTTAAATGAAAATAGGAGCTACACCCCGATTTGGACCTTGAAAGAATTTACTTTTACAATTGCCGTCAAGTATGTGTGGCTTTTACTGGTAATTTTACCGTAACATTTAATGTACTATATATTTATATTTATTTAAGATGTTTGAAGATTGGTTCGCCGTCATACTTATAACGCAATTCATGATTATTTGTAGAACTCTAACACACAGTTCTGGATCCGCGCCAAGATATCTAGATAACAAAAACAAGTTTCTAGTCGGTAACATTAATTTTAGCCATTATTATCTCGGTAAAATAAAAGTTATCTCCCTTTGATCTACTTACATCATTAAAAAAAAGTGAAGGAAAAAATCTTCTTTGCGAGATTCTAATCGTCTTTACAGTCTTCATAAAACATTACTTGCAGATAATGATTGCATGTGCTGCTAAATATACGGCAATTAATAAAATGAATCGACATGTCCCTTACTGCACACACAAAATTTGTTTACAGGAATGGCGGACATTTGAAACTGGATGCACGAAAACGTACATCATTCTCTTATCAGGTAATTTGAAAAAGAGAAGATTATGAAAAGGTTACTTCAGATCGTTTTGCAAACAAAATATATTTTGACATTCATTTACATGGCTTGGTCCCATATATATGCAACATTGATTGATGATACAGATTTAGATCGTGTTTGAACCTGCTTTTTATCCGTCAGATATTCTACTTCTAGTGTCCTATCTAAAAGTGACAAATTGTCTTCATTTGTACTCAATAAAGTCAGCAACATTGCAAGGCGTGTTTTTACATAATACACCAACCTACTAAGTTTCATTTTGATATTTGAAATTTTGTTTAGTAATATAATAAGGGAGAATAAAATTGTCCTCGATCGTCGGCGGTACACATGTGTATTATATATAAACTTTATTTATTTTACAACAATTGCGAAACAAGTTATGTCAACTTATACTAATCACTCTTGTTGGCCCGGATGTAAGCGCGCGAGGGGTCTTATTGTGGGAGGAAACCGGAGTGCCCGGGGAAAACCCACGTGGTCCGGCAGGTGGCCCCTTACCTTTTCACGTCCGTTCCGGGAATCGAACCCCGGTCGGCTTGGTGAAAGGCGAGTGCGTTAACACTGCGCCACCGGACCACATGTGTATTGTGTGTACCATACTTGCAAGCATCGTCTTCAAACTATTTGTCTTAAAATACTCATTAAAGTTGGTGACATCAAAATATTTGTTTTTTATATGGTTATAAGATATTATTTTTGAAACTTCAGTTAAATATACGAAAAAGTGACAAAGTTATGGTAATTTTGCCATAGCGAGATAAACAGCTTGCATATACCCGGGTAGAATCTAGATCTACTCATACGGATGTAACTAGGACCCCAAACTTAGTAGTCTGACACACAACCGATCAAACTAAAGAGAAGTTCTGTCTAGCGGAGCAGTATATTGCAGCTAGTATTTACCAGTGTTACATGGATATAGAGACTGAAACTATGCTGCGTCCTCTGTATATTCTGTGTCATATTAAATCATCTTTTTACACACAGGAGTAGCCTATTTAAAGAATATCAGGCATTAGGCCTATGACACATTTTTAGGCAAGACGTACTCAGTAGGCATAGCCTATTGCGACGGCCTTTCAGACAAAATTTACCGATCCTGGCCTTCTCATTGGCTGAAATATCGAAAAGAGTTAGAGCCCCCTAGTGGCGATTTTCTTTGTAGATAATGTCGCGATCTTTTAAATCGCTATTTTAAAAGCATCCAAAATTAGTTTATTTTTTAAATAACAATACGATTACTATATATTTCAAAAAAGAGCACAGTGTGGTTGAACTATTGATAAATTTTGAACAATATATTTTACGGAATTCACGACATGACGTAAGCGTACAGAACACTACGTGCGAGTTGATAAGAAGCTAGTCTGGGGGCTTGGTTTGAATTATCATCTAACAGCACTTATAAACAAACAAAACTTACAAACAGAACATCAATTTTGTTTTAATCCTTGTCGTTGTGGCAAGATCGTCTTAATTTATAACATCACTTTACCTCATTAGACGTCACAAAAGTGGACTGTTCGTCCTACGCGCACACCCGCCAATATTACACTTTTTCAGGATTTTCACACCCACCACCATGACACTTTTTCAAGCTATTGAAGATAAAATGTTTGCGCTTCGTAGGCAAGGTACATTTGGTGCTCATGATTTATGAATGATATATTTTAATACTTTACTGATCATGATGTTGACTCTGTTATAACTTATTTTTTTTTGTCTTTTAGTTTTATTTGATGAAACTTGATTGTGCTGATTTCTTAAAGTTTGTAAATGTGTATCAAAGTTCCTTGAAATGAAATTATTCCTTCAAACAAAACGCGTATAAAAAAACCCAAAATATGCATGTTTATAATTATCAATTAACTGGAACGAAATATTTCCACAACATATTTATTCATTTAGCGTGTTATGGTGACATTATCTAATGCATTGGAGATCAGAAATAGTAGTAGCTATAGTGAAAATATTGTAAATTTTGTATATATTTGGAAGTCTGGTTTAATCTCAAAGAATTATGTCTTTATAGACATAATTACTGGAAGAAAAGTCTAACCATGATACTTCAAGGAATATAGGCATGTAAATACATTTAATGTAATTACTTACACTTTAATCTATCTGAAATGCTGTGTACACCTTATCTACTTTCCTCAACTACAAATATAATTATAATAAGTAAGGACTATTACTTTGCAATACATTCAAAATAAAGAAGTAGGTATAAAGTCCTTTTGATTTGTCTAAATCCTCATATTGATAGGATAGTAATTGCAAAATCTTGGGTATTTCAAAGGTTTCATTTAGTCAACTTCATCATAGAGCTATTTATCATTTGGCTTGTTGGCGATGAATATATGGTTGTGTGTATTTTGTAATTTTTTTTTACCTATTTTGATTTGTTCACATTATTGTCGTCAAATTTGAAATAAGAATTAAAGAAGATATAAAATCGCTTAAAATTAAGAAAAATAGCCTCTGATTCTCTTATTTTAATAATTTTTGCATTCCAAAGTGTAGGTGTATGGGGAAAGTAATATAGCTTTGCGGTTATTTGTGAACATTTTTCAAGACGTTTAGCCTTTCAGTACTTTCAGTACTTTGATTAAATGTTTCACTCTCATTTCCAAAAAATTTACTTTCATTCCAAATATGATAATGAAACTTGGTGTACTTGGTCATACTAGGAGGATGTACAGTGTATTAAATTCAGTGACTGAAAACCCTTAGGTTTTAAAATCATTGCCCTTTGTTAGTATTTTGTGTTCTATAAAGTTGTGTTTGGGAGCATTCATCAGCTTCACTGATACTCTTGTAATGTATCTGTATTATTTTTGTTAGGAAAATGAGTTTCTCAATTGATGACAAAATAGCTGTGATCAGGTCAGTCAGTGTGAAGTCAACACTCACTACAAGCTAGAAGTGAATGGGACACAAGTAGATAAGATTAGACAAAAACTGTGAACAGAGGGGGCTTCAATGACTTATTGGTTCAGAGAACAAACATGAAAGCAAACACTAGATAAGCATCTAATGGGGTCACGTCTCCAGTTTCTGCATGATATGTTCTGGGAAAGATGGATTATTTTTAAGTGTGCTGCATGACCTGAATCAACAGACACATATATAGTGCACAATTAATATTTCAACCATTTAAATTAATGTCAACAAAAGAAAGATAATTCCAAAAATGTAGCATTTTTCTAACAAATGTAAATCACAGAATAGAATTACATATTCCTCTTAATTTTTTAATAATTTTTAATCATTAGCAAACAGGACAAAATAGTGAAACATGTTATCATTCTGCTATGGTTTGGATGGTCTCTCGCATGAAATGACAACATAACTACATTGTTTCATTCATCTGAGGTTTTACATCTGTGAATAAATTGCAGTTTATATTTCATCCACATTGGGTGCAAATCAAACCAAGCCTTTGAGCAAAATGTCCTAGAAGGAACAATATGTTTGGGGCAAAACATTCAGATGTGAAACCAAATGGGAATAAAATGTCAGGATATGCACTTTTAAAACTTCACACAACTACCAATATATTTACCTCTACCAATAGCTCATTATCAGCTTAATAATATAGAAATAAAATGGCAAATTCCATGAGATGCTTTTCACCAAAAGTTGGTAATGATTCATAAAAATATAGCAGGAATCTCTGTATGATGAATTTAATATGAAGAACATGAAATATTAATATTATATAAAAGTATTTCAATGCTTCAAAAGTCACCTTAAATATACATGTATTAGCAGATATTGCAGATGTTGAAAGGAGGGAGAAGTTTGTCAAATAAGCAAAATTTTCATGACTTTTTAAAACTAAACATGTGATTTCTTTTTCAGATTGTGCTCGACTTTAGAAGAAGAAACCAGTTATAATACATAATGGATCTGGAAGAAGAAAACAATTTCACTGATGATGAGATCAGATATGAATTATCAAAACTAGGCTACAACAATGTGCCAGATCAAAGGCTGAAAGAGTTCAAGAAAGGTCTATATTTTGTTTAGATTAGTAGTCTTAGGACTAAATTTAAGTCTGTGTTGCACCCAAGCATCCATCCATTGATAATCCTTAAAACACAACTATTCTTGAAACTTGATAATGAAATATCCTCAAGTTCTCTGGATTGCAAGTTTCTGATGAAAATGGGAAAATATTTGTCGATAACTTTCATTGTGAACGATTTAAAAATAAACACAAAATACCGTAGCTCAACATTTTTATCCTATATTTGTTGTAGATCTTAAAGTGCTGATAAGACATGAGTACAGTAAAGAAAGTTCACAGAACAACAGCATGTCATCTCACCCTCCACCAGACACATCTACTTCAATCGGTGGTAAGCAAGACGATCAGTCATTCATCAGATCAAATGAAGAGTCAGTTGATATGTGTTTGTTTAATCTGATATTTGAAGTTGTGGATATATGAGTTTCTAGAAAAGGAAGTAGGTTTGTTTGTTGCTTATGTCATTTTTCAAGATACATTTTGTTGCATTACAGTATCTTCCATGATTATTTTGTTGAGTTACAGTATCTTCCATGACAGTTATTATGTTGAGTTAATGGTGTCTTCCATGATAGTTATTTTAAGATCATCTGATTGTCTGTATGTATGGCACTATATCTGTGTTTTGACCAGGTTTCCCACACAGCTATAATAGGAGTCCTTTAGAAGAATCACAACAGAGATCTACTACACAAGATTCCTGGAGGGTGAGTAGTCATCATAAATTAGTCCACTACTGGGAACCAGTGTCTGACTATCCAGCTGTCTGTCTTTCCACTATCCTAGTTAGACTTGTACATATCAAAAGTAGGTCACGCTTACTGACATATTGACCTTTGACCTATTTTGTTCGGCTTTATCGCAGACACTGTAGTCATTAAAACTTTATACTGTGGGAACATTTTGGTGTTTCATGTATCAAAGATAGAACATTCTGACCTTCATTTTGACCTTTGACCTACAGCAGAAGAAAGGTATGGCCGGACACTATCTCTTAACTTCTAGTCACTGAAGTAGAGGCAGTATAATCCAAATTAAAGATCAACTTATAGCTTCATCCAAATAAATGATGGAATAGGTGATCAAAATTAAAGTATGGTAATTTCAAAACCAAGTAAAAAAAAAACCCCAAAGAATGGTTATCATTACTTTGAATGAAAAGTGCACAGGAGATCCAAATGTAGTCACTAGAATTTCAGTTGAATGATCTAAGTATGTCATTGTTAAAGATATAGTGCCTGAGAAGTTGCTATTAGCTCATTAATGTTAATATTCTATGTGCACAATCTCTCTCCAGTCTAGTTATTGTATTACATTATAATGATAGAAAGCTTATTTTCTTCTGTTGTCCTAAATTTGAATACATGAATAACTCACAGATCAGGAGAGATGAAAGGCAGGGTTTAGATCTGGAATGCATTAGAGTAAGAGAGATGTTTTATTTTCTTGGAGAGGTTTCCAGTCAGCCAGGTTTGACGTTTTAGGTAGAGTATTGCCTGTAGGAATTTAAGTGATGTTAATGTTTTTCATGCACAGATACCAAATCACCAAGGCGGTAAGGAGAACAGGTATGACATTGGCATTGACCCTATTCTGAGGAAACCTCTTGGTCCAGCCCCTAAACAGATTGGTGGGAATTTTTCCATGTATGACTCAACAACAGACACGTCACAACACCAGCACAGAGATGATGTATCAGACACTGACACAGAGCGCAGAATGGTCAAACGTAAAGTATTAAGGTAATTGTAAACACTTTAGCTCAACATCTGGAGTCTTAGTTATTCCATTATCAATGACTGGCATCTTAACATAAAATTCATGTTCATCGACTGATGCAACAGAGTTCAGTGAATTACAAAGTACACTGTAGTTCATGTTTGAATTGTCATAGTGCTTATGTAAATCTCAAAGGACAAACTGGCTGATTATCATTTGATTCAGCTCAACAAAACTATGGGAATGCACTGAAAAATGTTGATCAGGGAGTAAGGTATCACTGTTCATTGTAAACTAAGCCAATTTTAAAACTATCAGATCATTAAATAGTATTTTTATAGAAGTCTATATCCATGAAATGAAAAAAAGAGGTTTTGTTTTTAGAAACTTGTGTTATAATGTAATCTCCAGGACTAAAATGTTGATGAGACTTTTTTTTCCCTGATATAGATGTGAAAGAATAAATATGTGATGCTTTCAGTAGTTATCATCTACTTGCTTCTTTTTCTTTGCAGGAAAAAAGATGATGGTTCTAAAGTGATAGATGAGTCCATGAGTGATATAGGTAAGTTTGAATTGTAATGTCAAACAATGAGTTATATATGTGATGTGTGTGTGTAATGTCAAACGAACATGTAATTCTGATATGTTTAAGTATACATGTTACATATGATCATATGCATTGTTTCAGGAAGTATACTTGACCTCGATGAGAGACTAAGGGATCTTGGCATTGACGATGAACGAACATCTCGAAGGCCTCAGTCCTCCAGAGAAGTGGTGAGTACTTGTTGTTTAAAAACTCATTAAATCCTGGTTTCATATTTTAGTTTGAAGACTTCTGGTTTCATTGTGTACTTGTGATATTGTTGCATATATCATTCCAAACAGTTTGCATAATTAAGGCATTTAAAGCATGTTGCTGTGATATTTTAATATTTTGATGATCAATTTTTCAGCCTCCCTACAGACTGGCACCGGATGACCAGCGCCCTGCCTCAGGTAAGACTCATACATTACTTAAGTGTCCTGCCTCAGCTGAGATATATAGCATCAGTGTTCTGCCTCGAGTAACATACATTACATCAAATGTGATATCCAATACGGTTGTGATTGTATACCTATCCCTTAAACTTCTAATACTTATTCAAACCAACATAGGGAATTTTCTTGCAGAGAATAGTTGATAGTAAAGTTTCAGATCAACTAAGACTCATCTGTATAAAATACTTCAGTCAGTTTGGACTTCCCTGTATAAAATGTTCATCAGTTTGGACTCCCCTGTATAAAATGTTCATCAGTTTAGACTCCCCTGTATAAAATGTTCATCAGTTTAGACTCCCCTGTATAAAATGTTCATCAGTTTGGACTTCCCTGTATAAAATGTTCATCAGTTTAGACTCCCCTGTATAAAATGTTCATCAGTTTAGACTCTACTGTATAAAATGTTCATCAGTTTAGACTCCCCTGTATAAAATACTTCAGCCAGTTTGGACTTCCCTGTATAAAATGTTCATCGCTTTAGACTCTACAGTTTAGACTCCCCTGTATAAAATGTTAGATCAGTTGAGAAACTCCTGTTTAATGTGTTAAGATCCCTTATGATTCCCTTGGATAACACTTGTTCCCTACATGCATCGTTAAAATTCTTCAGAGGTTACATTTCTTTTGTACACAACATTAATGATTATTGTTACTAAAAAGTGTTAAGATCAGCTTAGATACTCTTTTTAATTCAACAGTTATTCTAAGATCAGCAAAACATCCTCACACTAAGAATCTTCGTAAGTCGGATCCTGTGGCACGATTTCAGCAGTTCCAACAAAGTTGGTCACAGCAGAAGGCTCCAGGTGAAAAGGTCCACAAAAATCTGCGCTGGAACATCCGAGAACACATGCTGAATCAGGACCAAGTGTTAGAGAAGGTAAGCTGTGGTAGCAAAATACAGCATTTTGGTACAAGGTTCTGTTTCAGACTGGAGATAATTATATACTGATCAGGGTGCTGAAAGTATGTATAATGTATGGCAGATGGAACAGATTGTAATTTCATTTTGTACTTGATATTACCAGTAAAATAAAATAAGTCAAACATGCAATAAGATTTTTTTTTTTAAAGAAATTTCCTGAAAAAAAAATCAGAAGACAGATTGTATTGAAGGAAATAAAACAAAGACAGAAAGAAAAAAAATAGTCTTGTAAGTAGGAATCAATGTAAAGTGACTTAAATATATATTTTCCAGAAGTCGCAAAGAGTGTTCGTGCCCAACAAATATGTGGTACCAACAGACAAGAAGAGGCGAGATCTGAGATGGCAGATACGTATGGACATTGCTCAAGGGCAGATGCCACCTCATGGCTTTTATCATGAATACTGATGACTAATAAGTGTTTTATGTCTGCATTGCTCACCTTGTAAGTCTGATCTTGTGATCATACAGCTAGAAATATCCTGCTGTGGACTCAGACAAGTGACTGATCTTGTATCAGTATCAACCCGGCAGCTCTATCACTTGCTCAGTGTTTTCAAGTCTGACATCTGAGCATTACAATGTTGTTGTCCTTTGTGACATTGTTAGATGTGAGATGTTGGTCCTCTGTGACACCTTTGGGTGTGAAACATCAGTGTATTCTGAAGGGTAGTTAGATCTGAGCTGAACAACATTGACCTTGATGACATCTTTTAATGTGACACATCAGTGTATTCTGTAGGGCAGTTAGATCTGAGCTGAACATTTGTCCTCGATGACATATTTGGATGTGAAGTATCATTGCATTCTGTAGGGTAGTTAGATCTGAGCTGAACAACATTTGTCCTCGATGACATATTTGGATGTGAAGTATCAGTGTATTCTGTAGGGTAGTTAGACCCGAGCTGAACAACATTGTCCTTGGTGACTTTGTTGAATGCAAGCCTTTGGTGTTTTCTATCATCCTCTGTGATAATGTTGTTCATGTTGGTGTATTCTGCAGGACTAATCATGACTTTGCTGAAATACGCTAGGGTTTTATTGCAACAAAACTATAGAAATAATTCTACATTCTGTTTATTGACTTTGCTGAAATATGCTAGGGTTTTATTGCAACAAAACTATAGAAATAATTGTACAATCTGTATATTGCACAGATTTCATTGGTATGTTTGTGTTTATCTAAACTTTTTCATTATGACTGTATTAACCAGCAGTTTGTTCAGCAGTTGTAAGATGAAGAATTCTTTATTTGATAATATCTAACAAAACTTTTGTATAAATTTATAATGAATGCAAAATAATCTGGATTCTCAGCATCTACGTTTAAAGAAAGTGTTGGAATACGACACAGTAAAGTGTGTTAAAATGTTTGTTTTATAGTCATAGTGCTAACATTACAGAAAGGCACATCCATTAATACATTTGTCTCAAGATCTTCACACAAAAAGTTTTCTTGATGTAAAGAATACTGGTTATGTAAAGATCACATCAATTAATACGTTTGTCCCGAGATCTTCACAGCAAAAGTTTTCTTGACTTAAGGAATGCTGGTCATGTAAATATTTGTATTTTACTAGAAAGATTTTATTAATAGAAATCATGTTCGAAGGATTGGTTTACATTGAAAAGCTTTCATGTCTGTCTTCTGCTGCTTTTACTTGTGAATATAAACGTAATTTATTTGTAAAGTAACGTACCAAAAATATTCATGTATATATGTCTAATGAAAAATAAAACAACGTAGAAAGATTTCTGTTATTTGCTTTTATCAAAACTGTTATTTGAAGCACTGATGACAAGTGTTGATACATCTCATTTTCTTATCTGACCATTAGAGTTTGAATACATATACATCTCCTAGAAGCTCATGGCTCCTTTACTGAGTATACATACTATGGGGTAATTACTAATCCATTTGCATCTATACAACCTTACTATTTACACTGGTGAACCTCTGTGTGGGCATGTGTACTGAGGAGTAATTATCAATCCGTTTACGTCTATACAACTTTACTATCATCACTGGGGAACATGTGTGAGTATACATACTCAAGGGTACTTACTAATCTATTTACATCTACACAACTTTACTATCATCACTGGTGAACCTCTGTGTGAGGTAATTACTAATCTATTTACATCTACACAACTTTACTATTATCACTGGTGAACCTCTGTGTGGGCATGTGTACTGAGGACTAATTGTCAATCCGTTTACTTCTATACAACCTTATTATCATCACTGGTGAACCTCTGTGTGGGCATGTGTATTGAGGAGTAATCCTGAACCTGTTTACATCTATACAACTTTACTATCATCACTGAGGAACACCTGTGTGAGTATATGTATCGAGGATTGATAACTGATGTTTTATGAGTAAACACATTGACTATTTACATGGGTTATCATCTGTTTGAGTTATGTACAGTGAGGTAATAACTAATCGATTTACATCTAAACCTTGGTACGGGCATGTGTACCGAGGCATAATCACTAAACCATTTACTTCTGCACCTTGGTACGGGCATGTGTACCGAGGGTTAATTACTAATTCATTTACTTCTGCACCTTGGTACGGGCATGTGTACCGAGGGTTAATTACTAATTCATTTACTTCTGCACCTTGGTACGGGCATGTGTACCGAGGGTTAATTACTAATTCATTTACTTCTGCACCTTGGTACGGGCATGTGTACCGAGGCATAATCACTAAACCATTTACTACTGAACTTCTGTGTGGGCATGTGAAAAGAGGGTTAATTACTAATTCATTTACTTCTGCACCTTGGTGTGGGCATGTGTATCGAGGGGCAATTACCGATCCGTTTACGTCGAAACAACTTTATTATCACTGATGAACATTGGTGTAAGTATATGTACCTTGGGGTTATTACTAATCCATATCAAAAACGGCAAACATCTGTGAGAATGTGTTCTGAGAGGTAATTACTTATCCTTTTTAATCTCTACAACTTGACTATTATCACAGGTGAGCGTCTGTGTGGATATAGGTATGTACCATGTCGTTAACATTAATTTTAATGGGTAAACATCTGTATGAGTAAATGGAGCTTGAGGTAATAACTAATCAATTTACATCCATACAACTTGACTATTATCACTGGTGAGTGTCTGTGTGAGTTAATGTACTGTGAGGTAAGCACTTATCTTTCTAAATCTCACAACTCGATTATGATCACAGGTGAGCGTCTGTGGGAGTTTATGTACTGTGGGATAGGTACTTATCTTTTTACATTTCACAACTTGACTATTAACAGCAAACAACATATGGTAGTTTTTAGGTTTTTAATATTCGATCCATTCACTACAGTCTTATATCACACAACATGTCCACAACTTTTCACCATTCTTGGTAACGCGTTGAAAAACTGTATTTCTTTGGTGGTGCAGTCTTGTGCATTTGATATAAAAGTTTCTTTTCAATTTTTTCAACAGCTGCTAGCGTCAAAACCAGAGTTTCGTGTTTCAACATACTGAATACATTCAAACCTGAAAGACAATGTAAGAGCAGAATGTTTACAGATGGCACCTAACACTCATGTCATCATTTCTAATTTTGAAAATAATTGAACAATAAAATTCTGACTTGGAGCCATAAACCAGTTGGTAAGGTGTTTCAGTGTACAAAATAAGAGGTCAACCAGAAAATGATCAAAGTCCTTGTCAGTTCTCATAAGCAACAAATTTGTACTTTGCTTTGGATTCTTCATCATTGTGAGGCAAAACCCAAAAATTTGGATTTAGAATATGATTCTGGAATGACATCAGTGTAAGCAGCCTATAACCCAACAATTAAACAGAACTTTATATCTAAAAAATGTAAATATAATTTCACCATACACAGGTGTAGCTTATTGGAACTATCATCATTGTTCATGTTTTCATCATCTTTGGAATTATGAGACCTTCTGTTATTTAGTAACTTACCATAAACTGGCATTAAGTTGAACTCGGGTATCTTATCTAAAGCGAGCGAGATGTTTTCTGGCATGATATCAGTGCTGAAAGATCAGAAGAATAAAGCCTTACGACATGTTACAATGTATAGCAATCAGTTCTTGTACTTTTGATGGTATGTGTGACTTGTCTTTGTCGTAATCTTCCATTAACAAACAAATAATTAATGATAGATTGAATCAGATTTTCGTTTATCAGGATAAATATAATTCCCTCTCCATCCCAATGAAATGCTTTCTCCTCAGTGTTTGCACCAACTCAATGAAATGCTTTCTCCTCAGTGTTTGCACCAACTCAATGAAATGCTTTCTCCTCAGTGTTTGGATCATCCCAGTGGAATGCTTTTTACTCAGTGTTTGTACAATGACATTGAAATGCTTTGCATCGCGGTGATTGAACCATCCCAGAGTAATGTTTTCTCCTCAGTGTTTGGAACATCCCAGAGAAATGATTTCTCCTCAGTGTTTGGAACATCTCAGAGAAATGTTTTCTCCTCAGTGTTTGGAACCTCCCATTAAATGCTTTCTTCTCATTGTTAAGACCATCCCAATGAAATACTTTCCTCTCATTGTTTGGACAATTCTAATGAAATGTTTTCCCTCAAGTGTTTGGATCATCCCAGTCAAATACTTCCCCTTCAGTGTTTGTACAATGCCAATAAAATGCTTTGCCCATCAGAGACTGAACCGTCCCAGTGAAGTGCTTTCCATTTGGTACAAGTCCTTCATTCTGTTGCAATTAATATTTTTTGGTGAAAATTTTGCCTTTAAATGAAGGTAATGTCTGCACATGTGGGTGTTACCTGTCGCCCTTTTCATTTTTCTGGTCAGTCTCAAAATGAAATTGGTAGAACTAGAGACCAAGGGGGAACCTACATATGAAATTTAGGAGAGATCCATAGAGTACTTTTTAAGGAATAGTGATAACAAAAATTGTTTACAGGCAGATGACAGACCATGGACGTAGGGCAATTTGAATTGACCACCATCATCAAAAAATAAATTATAAATCCCAAAATTTTAAGTTGGCAATGCACAGCTAGGACCAAAGAATACCTATATATCAGAGAATTACTTCTCAAGAAACTATAAACTTTTACTGTCAAAATCTAAAGCTGTTGCCTGTCTGCTCATTTGTTTTTCTGATCACTCCAAAAATCAGACAATGCATAACTTTGAACCCAGAGGAGTATATAAATGAAATTTGAGAAGATATTGATATTTTTGTCTTTAGAAATATGGTAAACAAGAATTGCTTAAAATTGCTTAAGGAAAGAGAGACGCATAGACAAAGGAGATTATGACAGCCCATCATCATCACACCATGTGATAATGGAGGCTAGAAAGACAGGAAAAATCTCAGGATTAAAATCCTATTACAATGACATTGACTCATATATAGAAATATAGTTACTTACTCATCCACAAAAAGACAGGAAAACCCCCAGAATCTTGTGTCCATTAAATCCTTGAGATACTACAAATAAATATCAATACATAGTTAACTGTACACAATTAACAATAAAACACCAAAACTATGTGGTGCAAAATATCAAACGGACTGAGATATTCATCCTTACTGCATAAAGGACCTCTATTCACTAGCTGAATCTATTGAGAATAATCACAATAAAATGTGAGAGAAACAATCCAACCATACAACAAAAGGGTTTTGGATGTGATTTTTCATAATCCAAATAGCACTACCACATATGTCCCGACACCTATTTTTATGCCGGACACTTTTCATGTTTCTGTGTTTTCACAATACCCTTGATTTACAGTGAGATATTCTACTTTCATAAAAAGCTATAAATTATTTGAATAAAATGTCCACATTTAAGGGTTGTGAGTCGGCGATATCCAATTATACATGTACATAAATCTCTGGATACATGATTGTGGTTCGAACAGCTGTCAATTTCGTCTAGTCAATTTCTGAGTTCAAAACTGTTTTGTAAAAGAGGTATTTACACATGATTACACATACAGTAAGTAGTTCCATACAATGTGGTGTACATGTGTTAATTTGTAATGTAAACAAGGGAATTATACAGATATCCAGGACTAAATGATAAAAGTTATTAATCTCCGAGTTCAATCCAGGACTTAAAGATAAGATGATATGAATCTGAAGTCCAGAGTTTGATGTTTATACGTACAAAAAGAAATCAGAGTACAAAAAAGAATTGTAAATACTTAATATATAGGTATGAAAGTATATCCAAAACTGGGTGAACTGGTTGGTTAATATATATATATTTATACATATTCATTACAATATTTGTGGTAAATGTATGTGTGTGTAGATCATTAGGACAAGCTGTTTTACGTGTCAAAAGCCAGGACCCCGAACATGTTACCTTTTGCATATTTTTTATGATTAAAGCAGGTTCATAAAAGACAAGCAAACCATTAAACACCTGTAAATTACACACATGAAAACTAAAGCATAACACAAGTTATAATCTTCATTTCTGTTTCACTGTTGTCTGGACTGGTTCATTTGGAGAAATCGGTCAAGTAAAAATCAGCCCTTTGCCACAATTTCAATTGACCACAGTCCACGAAAAAATGATGTCATTAAGTGTTCAAAATGAACAAATTGATATTTTCTATATATGAAGGTACCACTGACCTTGGCCTCTTAAAACACAACAATGTCCAAGGTATACTCGTACTTGATTATTGCATACCTTTTAACCAATGCTATGTTTTTAAATTGAATCAGTTGATTTTCTAAATAAAGCAATGGTGAACTTAGCCTTAACCTTGGGTCCCAGAAACGCAACTGTGTCCATAGTTTAATCATAATTCACCTTTGTGTAAAGTTTGACCAAAAACTGTCAAAAAGAAGTTGCTATGTGCTTGCATTGATTGGGACAGGACAGCACAGGACAGGGTGAACATGCCGTTGATATAGAACCCCATTTTATGGCAGGGCATAAGGTCACAGATTCCAATGAGGCTTTGTATCCGATCTTTGTGTAATGAAGTAAAATAAATTATAAGTATCTGCAGACTGAACATTTATATATATAGCTACTAGGTGAAGATATATTCTTATTTTACTCAATACCTTTAATCATCTCTATCAATATCTAAAGATAGCAAAATTCCTTTGTAAGATCTCTAACTTCCTCAAAACATGTCCGTATGGTCCACTTTTGGGTAATTAGTATTTGATGTACCAAATTATGTAAGCAGCAACAAAAGGTTACCTCTGGGTCATCATCTGGTATTTCCAAGGAGTCAACAATGTGGAGATCATCCTGAGCATACTTAACAGAGAGAGCCACTCGAAGGCCCAAAGCTCTGTAGCTGGCTGGCAGCATGTAGAAATGGCTTTTAGGACCCCTGGGACCATTTATTATTCCACCTGTAAAACAGAACAGAACACACACAAATTTATTTCATCACGCCCACTTCATAAATAACATTAAACTGATCATTAAATACCAATCTTTCAAATTTACTTGCAGTATCAATCAAATATACACATTATCACAACAGTGTACACCTTTGCAATATCATACTTTATAATAAAACTGTTGTTAACAATTTTGTTCATTTCTCTCCTTGAAGAAGATATTTTATTTATTTTCTATCTGCCTACATCAATGAAGTTCTACATCCATATGTCCTACAGAAAGTGTATTGTGTGTCACTGCACAGATCCTTTTAAAATAATTGTACTCTATTGCCCTTTTTTTACTTAAACAATGCAAAACACACCAATCAATTCTTAATACTGATCATTTCTTGATACCAAATGAAATGGTGCTGTATGGCATGGTGTCCTCTAGTGGTTCCACCTTGAATTCAGCACAGTAAATATAGATGGCAAAATGTGTGAAGTTGATCAAAAATCTCTGAGGGAAGGAAGCCATTATAGTGTTGACAAGTGTTTTTATGACATTGAATTCTGGAAAATGTATTCCTTTGAAAACCTTTTAAGTGATAAACCAATGAACACCTACCCCCTTTCCAAATCGGAGAGCGTGTACTGCCATGCCTTGCTTTTCCAGTACGTTTCTGTTTCCATGGCTTATAGCTACCACCTCTCACTTCTGCTCTTGTTTTGGTATGTGCATAATCCTGTGGTATAAAGTATTAGATTATCTTATACATCAAAGCAATCATTCATAAATTCAATTTTTTTTCTCTGTTATGAAATGGACCATTGGCAGTATGACAGGACCACATCCTATAATGTTGACCTTGTGATAACATAATTACAACTGGGCCCATATTCATTAAACCGTTCCCATGCTCAAGATCAAGAACTTTGTCAGGCTTCAATCCAGCAATCCACCTGCCAAATACCATCATATTTAGTCTGTTGCTTAATGGGAAAATATGACACTGGAAGGACAGACAAGACGAGAGACAACAAAAGGACGACAGAAGCCACAACACAGCATATGCTCACTTGGCATTCAGCCAGGTGAGCTAAAATGCTTAAGACCACTAGCAATCCCTTTTTTGTAATATCAATTGACAGGATGAAGATTATCAAATGCTCGATTATTTCAAATCTTGAATAAGAAACTTGAGGATTGCCATATCATAGCTAAAGATTTTTGTTGCTTGGAATTCAACACAACCAAGCAAAGTATCTTTCTGTACTAAATATGGGCACATTTGCATCACAATAAGAGTAATACACATCAAAACTTACAATGAATCTATATAATCTCTGCCATTTTACATTCTGTTGGAGGACATCTAGTCTGGAAAGGAAATACAAAATGGTTATGACTATCATTTATTACTTAAAGTCCCAATTAGACTGACTTCAATTCTTTAGAATAAAAACAATTTATTGGTCCTATTTCATTTTAAACCAGCTGTAAAACTTGAACAGTCATCCTGAAGATACAGTACACTATACTAACTTAAGGAATACTGCCACATAACATGATTCTGTCCCAAGAATGATTTCAACATATGACATGATACTGACCTAGGGTAAGTCCCAAATATTTCTGGGTGTAAATCTACCATTCCATACTTCTGATCCTCAAGAGTGGACAGCGTCTCAACCCATGCCTGTTTGGGAGGCAAATATCTGTTGGGGAATTCAATCTTTCTCGATGTGATGAGAGGTAGTTTGGGTTTAACAAGTCTTCCATCAGTATCTGAGAAGGAATACACAGATTTCACTAACAATACACATCAACCATTCAATAAAACACATCAGCTATTTAGTAATAAAAATATCTCAACCATTCAGTAACAACTTGTCAGCGATTCAGTAACAACACATATCAACTATTCAGTAGCAACTTGTCAGCGATTCAGTAACAACACATATCAACTATTCAGTGGCAACTTGTCAGCGATTCAGTAACAACACATATCAACTATTCAGTAGCAACTTGTCAGCGATTCAGTAACAACACATATCAACTATTCAGTAGCAACTTGTCAGCGATTCAGTAACAACACATATCAACCATTCAGTACACTGTAACAACATATTTTCTATGAATGCATTTCCATTTTACAAATTTTTGTTTAAACTTGAAAGAACCCTCAAGTTTGTTTGTCACTAGGTTAACAACTTAGATCATGGTGAGGTGGGGGTCTTTTTTTAACAGCTGGTCAACTACCTCACTTCATTAAAAGGAGAGACATACCACATGCTATCCAGAGACATGGGTAAAATTGTCTTGACCAAGGACACATTTGTGCAAACACATAACGGTTGTAATCTCAGCTTCCTGAGATACATAACAACCCCAGTAGGGGTAGAACCATACACCTCAAACCTTAACGAGAGATAAACAAACTTCCTCAAGTAGGGATTGAACCACACACCTTAGATATTCAGCCGAGACAAAAAATTGACATGAGTTTGGATTGTAAAACACCTCTCAGATCCTTACAAGAGATATAAAAACCACCCCAAGTAGAGAATGAACCACACACCTCAGATCTTCACCAGAGATACATAAACCGCCCCAAGTCAGGAATGAACTGCACACCTCAAATCTTCAGCTGAGATACACCAACTGCCCCAATAAGCATTAAACCACACATCTAAGTTCTTCACAAGAGATACACAAACTTCCCCAAGTTGGTCATGAACCACACACCTCAGATCTTTAGCTGAGAAACACGAACACCCTCAAGTAGGGATTGAAACACACACCTTAAATCTTCACATGAGGTACACAAACTGACCCAGTAGGGATCCAACCACACACCTCAGATCTTCACTAGAGGTACACAAACCGCCCCCAATAGGGATTGAACCAGACCTCAGATTCTCAGCTGAGAAACACAAATGCCCCTAGTAGGAATTAAACCACACATCTCTGATCTTTAGTTGTAATTGCAAAGTCAGATTGACGCTCTAGATCTACAAATTGAAATGTAACATCAATGCTGATGTAAAGGAACCACTGAATTGTTTCTTTTTTTAATTTAATGGATTATATTCAAATGATTAATACAAAATGTTATTGTAGTCTCCCTTAATTAAGTATATATCTTAAGGTTGTATATATTTTATGGCCTGATATTCAGGAAAAAGACAGATTAATGTATATTTATACCTTTGTGCACCAAGTCTGAGCTCTCCCATCCCAAATCCATATCAATATGATCTGTGGTTGTGGAGTATAATGCCTTCAAAACAGAAACAAATCAATTATAATTAATGATGACATAATTAACCTCATATCACTGGAATGTTTTTATGCTGAAATAAAAGAATATACACTGTTCATGTTTGTGCTGTTTTAAGATGTCAATATCACAGAGAGATGATATCAACAATAATCACTCTAGATCCCGAGCATTGTTATACATCCCTATATATTATGGGGGGGGGGGGGATATTAACTACTGCAAAGACATAACAAGGAAACTAAGTTCCTGACGGTGGGGCCAGACCCCTGGGTAAATTATTACATTATCTCTTTATGCCAAGCAATGCTTCATATGGTTATGGAGTGGGGATCTCAACTTTTCAAATATAAAACCCATTTTCCTTATTGAGCCTCCCTACCCCACTCTCCTGATTTATAAACAAGAGGCCCAAGCCTAGTGGCCTACTGTATATCACTCACCTGGCTAATTTAGGTATTGGACAATTTCCTTGTATGGAAAAAAGATTTCAAAAAATCTTATATTTCCCCAATTAGGCCCATTCCCTCCCATCCAAAGGGGACTGGATGCATTAATCATACAGAACTGATTACCATTCGCCTTCACCCAAGAATACTTCAGACCAATTTTTGGCCAAATCCAATCATTTCTACAGAAGGAATAGGATCTTTAAGAATTTTCTCTATTATCCCTATCAGGCCCCAGGAGTTTGAGACCTACCATTTATACAATATTGAATTCCCTTCATCCAACAATGCTTCAGACCGACCTCTCAGGCCTGTGGAGGCTGAAACAAACCATTTATAAAAAAAAAAAACACTTCCCCTAAGGATGCTTCAGACAAAATTTGGTCAAAATCTGTTTAGTCGTTCATGACTATTAGCAATTTATAGAAAAAGTTGACAGACTATGGACACTGCAGTCTACCAATAGCTCACTTGGCCATATACATAACCAATTCATTCACTGGATAAGCACAGAAACCTGACCTTTGTCATGCGAAACTGTGAATTAATAGCTATTCTGCAACTAGCTTTCCAGGAATCATGATTTTTCAAAAGCAAACAAGGATAAAAATCTGAAACAGTATGATCAAAGCGACATCATAAACACAAATTTATATCACAAATCATCATTATCATAAATGCACACCATTCATGATGTAGACTCACCTAACCAGTGCTCAAACACAAAGCATTGTTATTTGGCTGTTTTAATCTGAATACTTGTCAATTTTTTCAATTGTTGCTGTGTAAACTTAGAAAAGACTTGTGATGAACATTTTCAGCAATATTAGAATGATATACACTAGTTGTTGAATAATCAGCAGTTGTTCAAACAATGCCACTGTAATGGCAGATATTGACCTATGCTTGAACACCTTATTTAAACTTCAAATATTTACAATGTTGTTCCAAAGAACATTCATACATCCCATGCAAAAAAACCTATTTTCTAAATGAATAAAGTAAGTCTTTTTTTTTTAATTTTTTGCATTAATTGGTGCCAGAAATCACAGATCAAAATATGTGTCTATTGGGGAAAGTGTAGTGTGGAGCAATATTGTGGTATGTACTGCATTTTTTAAATAACATCAAATTCACATTTGAAGCAATACTGTTCTTTTGAATAAAATGTTTCAATTTGAGCAATTAAAACAAGGCAATAAATGAAGTATGCAAAATATCAAGGAACTGACGTTTATTTTGGGGGGGGGGGGGGACGGGGTGAAAGTCGTTTTTTTTTTATTTTGTTTTTCAAGATTTTACAAAGGTATGCAACACACGATATATACTAGACTCACATACACATACACACCCTGGCACACATCACACTACACCCATGTACACTCACTCAAAACATGCACTCATTATTTCCTACTCTTTCCTCTTTGCTGACATTACATACAATGTACTACTGTGTTTCATTCACACGCCCCAATAATAATACAAACTCAATGACTGCTGTCATCATCATCATCATCATCATCATCACCATCGTCATCATCATCACATAGTTATCATCATGATCATTGTATCATCATCACTTCATTATCATGATCATCACCATATCGTCATCATCATCATCATCACTATCATATCATCATCAGCAGTAACACATATTCAGCATTGTAATCATCATATCATCATCACCACTTCATCATCAACCTTTCATCCTCATTATCACATCATACACTGATCAACAACAGAGCTGTTTATTATTATTAGTGTTTTGCCTCATCATCATCTATTCACACCTAATCCCCAAACTTTATTCAAAATTATATGTTTTCAATAGTGTAATCCCAAACCAGAAGTGCAAGCATGGATTGGGAGTAGCGAGATACGCCCCACATAACAGCCTTTCCATGTTGCAACTTCTGCTTGTTTGATACAAAGTGTAATTCACGTTAAAAAAAAACATGAAAAAATAATTGAGGTGTGAATAGCTGGTGATGATTCTTTGTTATCTGCCCTTGTTGTCAAAGATTACACAGAGCATAGTACAGCCAGACTAAATGATAGCATAGAGGAAATATCAATAATTAACATTATACATAGATTGCTCTCTCTCACTGAATCATTCTCTACAATTAAAGAAACAGACAAAGCGATGAAAACAGAAATAGGAAGATAGGGGATGGGGAGGGGGGAATGACATAAGAAGTCCATGGGATGTTGAAACAAATTTTTAGCTCAAGACAGTGAAACAAAGATATGACAGCACTGTCAAGGATAAAAAGTATTATAATTATTTAAATATTCAATTGGATAAGATTTTCCCATTTTTTCCAATCATTTGTGAAATTTTGTTTGTAAGACGTGTTTTTGCTATTTGAAATATATTTTTGAACAGAATAGTGATTTTGTATAATCTTTACAATGGCGTTGATATTGAGAGTAGCATGGAGGCATCTTGTTTTATATATATAATGTTTAATCATAAGAATTACTTCATTGTCAACTCTAAAGCTAGGGCTATTGTTCCTTTTAATTCCAAGTATAAAAGACCTTTTGTTGACTGAGAATGGTATTAATAAAGAATCTGTTAGTGTTTCAAATGATTGTAAAAAGTTTTGCACTTCCTGACATTCCCAAAGGAGATGAGTGATCGATTCTCTTTCTGAGTTGCATAGATTACAAAGTGGACTGGACACAAGTTTTGCCTTAAAAAACCTACTATTAGTTGTCAGAATGTGATGAGAGATCCTATACTGGAGCCATTGAAGTTTGGTGTTTTTTGTAATTTGAAATGGCATTTTGTAGAAAATTTCCCAATCACTATTTGTTCAATCAAACTGCTCTCCCCATTTAGCTTTACCAGTTGGCTCTGTCCGAGTTGTATTTAAAATATTATAAAATATTTTTGAACCTTTTAAATGCTCGAAAAACATCTTTATATAAAATGGTATTACAGGCCGTTGAGAGTCATTCTTCACAGGTGGATTATCTCTTAGGAATTTTTTAACTGCAGAAATGATACCTTGATAGTTCAAAAAGTTAGTTGTCACATTGTATATTCTCTGAAAGTCTTGAAAACTAAGAAAATTATTAGTATTACCAGCTTCTAGTAAGTCTGCTATTGTTCTTATCCCTTTTCTATACCATTGCCATTTGGTACCTGGTTGTTTCGGTACTTCAAAAATAAGTTATTTCGGTACTTTAAAAATAAGAAATATTTCTCCTTTCTTTACTGATAAACTGTTAAATCGAAATGACACTCCAGCTGCGTAAACCGTTTTGCAATTATGGAAAGGACTGGGTGCCAAAATGACTAGAATTCGTTTATTTTGACAGATTACTATGGTAGTTAAAAGAGTTTCTCTTAATATAGGTAGAAAAGTGTTCATACACTCCAAAGTTACCATGAGCCATGTGTGGACAAATCAGTTGTTTTGTGGAATGAAAACAGAAAATATAACAAGTGTTCGAGCACCGGTTATGTTAGTTAACAAAAACTGATGTCTACATAACGTGTTATGTTAGAGTTTTCGTTAAGCTTGTAATTCTTACACATGGTCTTATCCTTTGATGAATTCCGCTTGCTCTGACGATTTGACATAAACATTTCACGCATGACGACAAATTTGACGATCTTAAAGCCATCATGCTTGCAAATTAACTTCTTGACACAAAAAATTAGTCGGTTGCATACGGCTTTGCGTATCGGTACTTCCGAAGGTCACCGATTCTACCTCCGTTGACCCATGCTTTTTTTCTACGAAACAGCGTGAGAAACATTTTTATCTGTAAATATTAAGATGTTTTACAAATCATTATCTGTTCATGATCACAGTAAAAGATATACATCAACAAAAAACGTAGTCCTGAATAGTATTGAAAACGGCTATGTCAATTTTATTGAAATAATCTAAAAAAAAATATCGAATATACAGGTATAGCAGATTGGTTATGGAAAATACATCATTACATGTATATATATTTATAAACTATATAACAATTACATTAACAGTAGAGAGATGAAATTTGTGTAAAAAAAAATTCCTCTGATTTCTGACATTGATTGTCATGGTTACCTACTGAAAAAATGCTAAAAATACTGCTAATTCCAACCCAACACTACAACTTTCTAGGAGAAATTTAATTCTAAACACCTATCTTACAATCAACAACACTGTCATGGTAACAAAGTACTTACATTTCAGCAAATTCCAACTCGGAAATTCTTCATAACATGACCACATGTGAACACTATGAAAATTTCACTTCCTGTAAAGCTAGTTTTTGGTGCGTAGACACAGATTCGAGACTGCCCAAATAGTAATCTCCAACACAAAGCTAAAATATTATCCTGAAAAAAATGAAACCCCACATTGTCCACTTTCACATGACAGGACCAATTTTAGCAAGGATTTTTTTTCATTTTTAATTAAAACCTTTATAATGGGGTAATCTAATGAGCAAAAAAATCACCCATGGCCACATCGAGAAACTGTGTACATGACATCGATTGGACAAAGTGGAAGTATTTCATCCAATCAAATAAGGTGTTACTGTTTCGTGCCCGGCAGATTTGGAAGGTGCAAG